CTCAGCCTGGCCCCAAAAGGATGGGGTCTTTTTGGGGATGGGGCTGCCAGAGGGGAGCAGAGACCACGAGCAGCTGCAGGGCACGGCTGGGACCCCCACCCCACAGCTCCCAGCGCCCTCACAAGCTCGGGCTGGGCTTCCAGAGCCGCATGGGGTAAGGACAGGCACAGCCGTGGGATGAGCATCACCCACGGTGATGACACACTGGGACCAGGGCGCGAGAGGAGCTCGACCTGGCAGGGATTTTCCAGCCCCAGGAATCAGCGAGGGCTCAAAAGGAGCACGGGAAACAAATGAGGCAAAGGCTGGGAGGTGCACGGCACCGCTCTGACAGCCCGGCCACGGGGCAGGACACGGCACAGCACCAGGAGACCCCAGCCAAACGCAGCCCCCCCCCCGGTACCACTGGGGCCGTGCCTGCAGCTCGGTGCCAGCTCTGCCCCACGTCCCCGGTGCTGGCACCTCGCGTCCCCCGGACGGGGAGAGCCGGGCAGGGAGCCCGTGAGTCACCGCCGCGATCGGAGCCCTTTCAGCCTCAGCGTATTAATTTCTCCTAATTGGCTTTGACAGGGATCCGTATCGCCATCCAGAACGGAATCACCCGAGCGCGCGGGGCGGGGAGGGAGCAGCAAGCCCAGAAAGGGAAGGAGGGGAAAGAAAGGGAGGCAGGGGGGGGGGAAAAAGAGAGAGAGAGCCACCGGGCACCCCCGGGGGAGCAGCGCTGCCGGCTGGCTCCGTCCTCCCGCAGCGCGGGGCCCAGCTGCCCTGCTGCACTGCGGTGCTGCGCGAACGCCATTGCCAGCGACAGCCCAGCTGCGAGGCTCGGGGGGGGGGCTCGCTGCCAGCCCCTCACCCTGGCCTCCACAGATGGACGGACGGACGGACGGACACGGCCCCGTGCCGCTGACACCTTCCACGCACCGGCTGCTGGAGGAGAGGTGCAGCCCGGTGGGCGCGCAGATCCCCAAGCTCTGCCGGGTGTCACGCTGCCCCCGCAGCAGCTGCCTTCACCCCAAGGCTCAGCTCCCTGCCCCACGTCCCCCCCTGGCATCCCATCCTACTGCCCTCACCCCCCAGCACCGGGCAAAGCCGGGGGGATTTGGGGCTCCTGGTGCCACTGGGGGCTCGGCCCCTCTGCCGTTGCGCTCCCCCCAGTCCCCTGCCATGCAGGGCCCTTGTGATAATGGGGGCAGGGGGCTGCAGCACGCACCCATGTTTTGGGGGCTGCGGAGAGTCCCCCTGAGCCCTCGCTGCCCTGACACATGTGGGGTCCAGGAACAGGACCCCAATTGCCCTGCTCCCCCCAGGCTGCATGGCCACGCTCGGAGCGCCCGCTGAATCCCCACGCGGGTGGCACGCAGCTCCCAAAGGGGTGGGGGGCAAACGGAGCCATCCCAGGGCTCACACAGTGCCAGGGCACGGCCGTGGGGCACCGATGGTGCCGGCAGCCCCATGGGCATGGAGCAGCCCCAGCACGGCCCCAGTGCTGCCCACCACAGCAGCCCAGTGCCTCCCAGCACACCAACTGGGGCCCTGCACCCAGCGGTTCCGCTTGCTCTTCCGTTATTAAAAAGCCGTCAGTGCGCTGCTCGGAAAGAAAAGGGGAAGAAGAGATCTGGGCAGGGGAAGAGGGGACGTTTCTCACGATTTCAAAATTTCGTGCTCCTCGGTCTGAGACGGGGAAGTCCAGGCTGGGAGCCAGGGCAGCGGCAGAGCCGGGGGCAGGCGGGGAGCTGGGGGGGGGACATCCTCACGTCACTGCCGGAGCTGCCACAGACTTCACGGCGAGAGGATGGGAGCTTCTGTGGCCTCAAAACAAACGGGGACGTGGTGGTCGGGACAGGCAGGGGCGCAGCCAAGCAGCCCCACCGATGGCACAAGCTGAGGATGGAGCAGGTGCCACCACCGTCCCTGCACTGTCCCCGCACTGTCCCCGCTGGTCCCCTCAGGGCCCTGTCCCCTGCCCGCTGTGCCAGGCTGTGCCCCCCAAGCGCTTCCCCCTGCTCCGTGCAGGCGCCAGCAAACAGCAGGAAAATCAGGGCCGCCGCGCAGACAGGAGGTGCTGCCAAACACCCAAGATGACGAGCCCGTGAAGCAGAGGATCCGTTTTTCCCCCCTTTAATTTCTTTCCCTGACGGTAATCGTGGGTGTCAGTCGTAGCAGCAGCAGCAGCAGAGTCCCGGATTCGGGAGCGCGCTCCGCAGCATGGCGATAGGCAGCGACAGCAAACCTTCTTGCAGGAGGATTTTTAAATCAAACGTGCCCTGCAAATCCCCAGGTTGACGGGATTAGCATGGCAAATTGGGCGCTTGGAGAAAACCCGGAGAAAAATCATACCGAAGGACGAGGACAGTAAATACATCTTCATTCCCAGCGCTGCCACATTTTAGATGCAAATAAAAGAGGTTTCCTCCCTAACACAAATCAATACCGAGCAGGCTGAGAACCAAGTCTCCGCCAGCAGAGACCCGGCCGGGTAAATCCCGGGGCTGCTTCACGTCGAAATATCCCTTCCAGCTCAGGAGATTTTAGCATTCTATGAAATCCCTCCACAGCCTCAGCCCCTGGCAGCTCCTGGTGAGCAGGGGGGGCGCAGCCTAAATGCGAGGAGGGGATGAGGGGGACGCGGTGTGGCCGGGTTGTGCAGCCCGGTGCTGACACCCAGAGCTGAGCCGTGTCCAGCGAGGGCAGCGCTCGGTCTCCTTGGCACGAGGACCTTGCTGGAGGCACGATGGCACGGGTCGTGCCGCCAGCAGGTGCTCGGTGCCGAGCCCTGGCACCGCTTCCCCAGCTTTGCCAAACAAAGGGACGGTGCCAACGCGCTGGCACCCGCGGGTCACCGCGGATTTGGGGCGCTGCCACCCCGCTGCCTGCTCCCGGGGGTCAGATCCCACACGCGAAGCTGTCCCCGTGCCCCCAGCACATGCGAGCCACACGGGGAGGGCTCCGAGGCCAGGAGCCGGCTCCCTGTGCGCCCCGGCTCCCGGAGCCCCGCGCCGCAGCAGCCCCGAGCGCACACAAAAGCCAGCCCCGCTCCGCGCTGTGCGCAGCCTTCCTGCAGCTGCAGCGCGAGCGAGGCCGCGCCACGACGCCTTACATAACGGCCCCGCACACCCCCGCACACCCCCCGTACACCCCCCGCACCTCACCGGCCTCCGCCGCCCTCCTAACGCCAGCGGGGGCTCCCGGTGCCCACCCGGCACCGAGCCGGCACGGCGGCGGCGGCTCTGCGCTGAGCCCCGGGCTCCGTTCTCCTCCTCCTCCTCCTCCTCCTCCCTGCGACCGGCAGCAGCATGGCCGGGGGGGCGGCGGCGTAGGGAAGCTGCCCCGGTGCCTCCGGGGGCGGCGCGGTCCCGGGGATCCCTCGGTGCGCCCCGGTCCCGGACCGCAACGGCGCCCGGTGGCGGCGGCGCTCGGGGAGCTGCGCCCCCGCGGAGCAGCCCCCGCGGCTCGGTTCCATCCGGCACAGCCAGGGGAGGGCAGCGCACTGACATTTGGAGGCGAGGGAGGCGAGGGAACGCTTCATTCATCGCCGCCCAGCGGGGCCCCCAGCGGCACCCACCGGGCAGTGGGGACGGGAGGGGGGCCGGGGGGGTGCTGGGTGCGGGATGCGGGGTGCTGGGTGCCGGCAAACCGAGCCCGGGGGATGCAGAGGTGCCCGGGGGGGTCGGACACACGGTGGGAACGGGGGGTGCGGGTAGCGCAGGGGAGCGGGGGGACCCCTGCAAGGATGCGGGGGGGGCCTGGAGGGAGCCGGGGGGAGCCGGGGCTGCTCGGGGGGGGGGGATGCGGAGGGGCTGCAGCGATGCAGGGAGCTGCGGGGCGATGCGGGGCGGTGCGCAACGGAGCGCGGCTGCCGGTGCCCGGCGAAGGGCGGGCGGGTGGCCCCGCGGTGTGGGGGGGGACACACGGAGGGGGGGCTGCGGCACTCACCGGGATCGAAGTGGGAGCTGAAGGCCAGGCTGGGGCTGAGGAAGGCGGCCGACATGGCAGCGGCGGCGAGGCGGCCCATGGCTCGGCGGGGGGAGCCTCCCGGCCGCCGGCTGCCGCTGGCCCCGCGCTGGGCACGGCGGCGGCGGCTCCTCCTCCATGGCGGCCGCGGCCCCGCGCCCCCTGCCCCGGGGAGGGGCCGCGCCGCCGCCGCCCCCCCCACCCAGTGGGATTTGGGGAGGGGGGGGCACCGGAGAGGGACCGGGGGAGGAGGAGGGGGGCGGCAGGTGGAGGCTCCCCGAGGTCCCCCCCGCACGCAGAGGGGTCGGGGCGCGTCTCCACCGCCCCCGCGCGGCCCCGACGGGGCCCCCCCGGGGAGGGGAAGACCCCCAGTGGGCCCCCCCTAAGGAGGGGAAGAGCCCCAGAGGCTCTCCCCCCATCGGCGGTGCAGGCAGCGCCCCCCCCGCGGAGCTGTGGCCGTGCTGACCCACCCGACACCGGTGGGATGGGACGGGTGGGATGGGGCGCACTGTGGGTCCGCAGCCCCCCCACCCCATCCCTACACCCCCCCCATGCCCCCCATCTCCACCTCACCCCCTACAGGACCAGGACCCCAACCCCAGCCCCCCCACTGGCAGCACCCCCGCCCCCCAAGCCAGCCCCCTGCAGTGGGGGCTCCCCTCAATCAGGTGCCCCCCGAGCGCAGCCCGGCCTCGGGTGCTCGATGCCGCAGCCCCTGCACGTGGGGCTGCAGCCCCAAAACGTGCCTGAGCCACAGGCGGGGGGGGACAGCCCAAAGCATCACCCCCACCACGGGCAGCTCCCAGCCCCACAGCCCCCAGGGGGTCCCGATCACCACCATCCCCCCCGGTGCAGGGACCCCCCCAAAAGGGACATCGCGATGGGTCCGTGCTGGGATGCTCCTGCCCCTGCCCCTGACCCCCCCATGGGGACCACGAGCTGCGTGCACGGGGCTCTCGCTTCCCCGCGATCGGTTTTAATATTTTAAAGCCAAATTTTTTTTTTTTTTTTGCGTACACAATTAATTTTTTACAAGGCTCGAAGCCTGCACAGAACACCACGCTGCACATGTCACGTTGCCGCAAATAGATACAGGGCTGGAAAAATTACAGGCTGCTCGGCGAATAAACATTCCTCCGTCAGCTGGAGCCAGCTCGCTGCGCCCCAGCCTCCGCGCTCGCTGCTCCGGAGCAGCTCTGACCCGATCTGCACAGCGGGGCAGGGGGCAGTCCCCCCCCAACTCGCTTTGCTTTCATGGCACCAGCATCCCTGTGACCCCCCCACTGCCCAGCAGCCCCCCCGGGGGCTTTGCTCTCCCTGGTTCTGCACAGGCCATGTCCCAACGCGCTGCCTCGGTGCAGCTTGGGGACACCCCCGTGTCCCCCATCCACCCTGCCTGGTCCTCAAATCGGCCAAGCAACCCCTGTGTTGTGCCAGGCACCCTTGGGTGACATTTGGGTGCTCTCGAAGCTGCGGTGGCATCTACACATCCCTGGGGGCTTCATCTGCTCTGGCACCCCAGGCTGGACCCGTTGCCCCCTCCCCGTGCCACCGTCCCCTGGGCATGAGGTGGTGGCCTCGCTGTCACTCGTGCCGTGCCAGCACCAGCTCTGCTGCACAGCCACAGGAGCAGCACTGGGCTCACTGGTTGGAGATGGAGACGTTGGGTTCGAGGCACTGGGATGCACTGGGGTGGCAGGAGCTGGACCCGTTGCCATGCTGCCGGTGCCACAGGGATGCTGTGGCTGTGTCCTGCTCCTCGTGCTGCTGAGCTGGCTCCAGCTGAGTCCCAGCAAGGCTCAACCCAACTGGGGGTGGGCGCCTGTGCAGGCACCCGTGCTGGGCACCCACCGGGCTGTGCCGGGCACCCGGACACGTCCCCGAATGCCTTGGTGAGAGGAAGGGGATGAAGTGACCCAGACACCGTGCTCGGTGCCCTGCATCCATCCCCAAGGGACGAAGTGAGGATGGGGTGGGAATTGGGGATGGGATGGGATGGGAAGTGGGGACATGATGGGATGGGATGGGAATTGGGGATGGGATGCGCACAGGATGGTGCACGGGGCCTGCCCAGCCAGGCAGCTCTGCCCCGCACTCCTCTGTGAGGCTCTGGGCTCCCAGATCCCCAGGCCCAGGCTGAGCCCTTCCCAACCCCAGCACAGGCCTGGGCCCCTCCATGCCCAGCGTCCTGTCCCCCCCCCTCATTTCCTTGCAGCTTTCTGCCACCACCATGGGGAAGATGCCAAACGGAGGCCAGAAGCCCCGTTAAGGATCCCCCCGGGCATCACCCCCGCGGCACCTGCCCCCCTCCAAGCTCCGTGCCGTGGGGCTGTGCCAGCAACAGGCATGGTGCAGAGCCCCCCAGCACCCCAAGCAGCGTCCCCCCCCCGGCCAAGCAGCACACCCCAATTAGCAGGGGAGATTACCCCGCGCGCATCCTGCCCGTTTACTCCAGCCCCCCCCAGGCTGATTTGTCTGGGGCCAGGGCTAATCCCTGCCCGGGCAGACACCAGCTTGAGCCGCGATCTCTGCGCGGTGGCTGCCAAAAGCACCCAGCCCTCCTGACCTCCTTCCCCACCGAGCCGCTCGGCTCGTTTGCAGCTAACGAACGGGCTCCACTGATCCCGGCTAATCCACGGCGGGGAGCTGGGGGGGGGGAGGCTCCTTAATTGGGGAGCTTTGGCAGAGCCGGTGACAGCCTCGCTCAGTCTGCCTGGCAGGGACGAGGACGGGGATGGGGACGGGGACAGGGCTCGTGCCACGCAGCCGGCAGCCCTGGCCCTGCTCCCGGGGACCCCTGGCACGGGGAGGGGGGGGGGCCGTGCAGCAGCGGGGCGCAAGCAGCCATCCGGTGAAAATCTGCATCCCTGGTTATGCAACGCCACCGGTTTATTCATGCCTGAACCGGGCACTGGCCTAGAAACCAGGCTCCGAGATGCCGGGGAGGGGCAGGGCTGGGGGCTGAGCCCACTGGGGAGGGCTGCGGGCACGGGGTGGGCACGAGGGGCACCAAGGGGACCGGGCATGGGAGCCCACCCATGGCCACAGGACGGGGATTGGGGCTGCCTTCCCCACTGAGTGGCAGCAAAAAGGACCCGGGGCTCTGCAGGGGATGCTGCAAATCCTTATTTGGGGCAGAGGCATGGCACAGCCCCCCCGGGAACCCCCCGATCCCCAGCCCCAGGCAGCAGTGCAGCCCCAGCAGCTCATCGCACGCCTTGCTTGAGCCCAGCCCTGCCCCAGGAGCTCTCTTGGAGCCCGCACAGGGCAGAGGATGCTTTCCTCCTCCTCCAGCATCTCAGATCCTCACTCAGGTCCCAGCAGCGCTCCCGGCTCCCGGTGGCCGCGGGCATCACGTCCCCTCCGTGCCGGTGTAGAGGCGCAGGAGCCCGCTGCGCTGCAGCCGCTGCCACAGCCTCATCTCCAGCTTCAGGTCGTGGTTGACGTAGAACTGCACCTCCTTGTGCCCGCGGTCAAAGTAGTGGTCCGAGTACGCCCGGTAGCCTGGCGTCATGAACCCAAAGGCGCTCACCTGCGGAACGCGGCGATGAGCACGCTGCCGGTGCCCGGCGCGGGGGTGAGGACACCGCAGCTGCTCCAGGGGGGGACACGAGCAGAGACGGTGATGGGGAGGATGCACGGGTGCAAAACGGCCTCGGATAAGCCTCGGGAGGGAGCAGCTGTGGGCACGGCGCTGTGCCATGTGCCCTGTGCCTTGTGCCATGTGCCCAGCCCCGAATCACCGGGCACCATCGCGGTGGAGCCGTGCACGGGCTGCCCACCTCATCGCAGGTGTGGATGGCAGCCAGGAGCATCACGGCGCCGGTGGAGGGCCGGTAGAGTTGCCAGAGCGGCGTGGCCAAGATGTCAGAGCGGAGAAAGCTGCGGGCAGCGAGCAGGAGCCGTGCTAAGGGCTCCCCCGCCGCGCTGTGGGGAGGGGGAATCCACCCCGGGGGGGGGGGCTCCTCACCGGTTCCGGAGGTAGCGGATGAAATCCGGGTGGAGCATCCTGAACTTGTCAGCACGGAGGTCCTCACCGAAAAAATCCTGGGGCCTGCGGGGAGGTCCCAGCTGCTGCTCGGAGGTGCGGGGTGGAGGGGACCCACCTATCCCACCCCCCCAAGCCCCCACGCCCACCGTGTCCCCACTCACCAGACCCCCTTGTCCCGGCCCCTGTCCACGCGCTGGTGGGTCAGGGCCGCCCGCAGCAGCAGGTAGTCGCGGTCGTGGTCCGGGAGGAAGACGTAGCGAGTCTCCTGTTACAGGGGACATGGTGAGACCGGCACCGTCCCCATCCAGGAGGTGACAAATGGGGCCCCAGCGGTGCCGTGCCCACAGCATCTCCCCTCCCCGTGAGCTCCCTCACCGGACTCCGGGGCGGGTGCTTGAAGCCATCCGCGGCGTAGCTGCCGAGCGCGTTCACCAAGGTGTTGGTGGAGAAGACGTAGAAGGACGTCCTGTTGCCAACGTCCCCCTCGAAGCCCGCCGTGATGGCCCCGTTCACCCTGGAGGATGAAGCAGGGAGCAGGGCAGGCGCTGGCCCCGGCTGGGCCATGCGCCCCCCCCTCATCCCGTGCACCCTCACCTGAAGACGAGGTGGTGGGCGTCGATGGCAGCCCCCACACGGGACCCGTTGAGGATGCCGCCGTTGCCCACCACGGCGCAGCGCACGCAGGGGGCCGCTGCCTGCCCGCTGTCCACCAGGAGCCCGCTGGCCGACGTGTTGAGGAGGGACAGGGACGTCTTCAGCACTGGGGGCAGCCCCGGGAGGGTGAGTTTGGGGAGGGGGCAGCGGGGGGAGCCCCGCGCCCCTGGGTCCCACACCCCCTCTCCATGGCACAGCAGCCCCCAGGACGCAGCCCCGGTGCCTGCGGTGCCCACCCCTTCGTGCAGGGCTCCCCCCGTGCCCCCCGCAGCCCCACGCCCCCCGCACCGTCCCAGCTGACGTCCTTCCAGCCGTGAGCCCCCCCGTATCTGCGGAGCCGCCGGTACTCGTCCTCCCGCAGGTGCTGCGCCCACTGCAGCACCGGCACGGTGGCCAGGAAGGCAGCCCCAAATTCGGTGCCCGTAATCCTCTTCCTGATGCTGCTGGGACACTCCTGAAATCACGGGTGACAAGTCCCTGCGTGTGACAGCGACTCAGGGTGTCCCGTGCCAGGGGGGGCACGGGTGGGCTCCTTGTCCCTGCCCCAGCCCCGCAGTGCCCGTACCGAGCTGCGGGAGGTCTCATCCCGCCCGTAAGTGTCCCCGAGGTTTGGTGGCAGGCTGGGGGCAGGGGTGAGGTGTGGTGACCGTGTCACCAGCTCCGGGGCCTCTGTCGTAGGGGGTCTGGGTGCCTGCAGGCGGGTGGGGGTCCTGCTGGGAGGAGAGAGGTGGCTGGGGGGGGACACAGGGTGGCGCACACGCGGGTGCCCCATCCCCGAGCCCAGCCCTGCCCATGAAAACACCAACAGAGGAGCCCCGGGGAGGTGCAGGAAGTGCTGCTGAGGCTCTGCCGGTGCCACCGGGGCACTGTGGAGGTGACGATGCCCCGTGGTGGTGCTCAGCACCCCCCTCCCCGTCCACCGTCCACCCCCGTGTTGCAAAGCAGAAAGCAGGAGCCAGGCTTGGAGCTGGCCGCAGGACAAGGTCCAAGCCAAGGCCGGGAGCTGCAGCCAGGCACCCGCGGAGAGGGCAGACAGACAGAGGTGGACTCGGGGTTAATCATTCCCCAGGGCAAAAATGGCTCTGAGGAACCCCCCCCCCAGGGCCAGGGGGCAGCCACGCAGCCCCCAGCCCAGCCCCACGACCCTCCCAGCCCCACGGTACCTGGAGAGCTCGAGCCCCAGCCTGCGCTGCGTGGCCAGGAGCAGCAGCAGCAGGGCCAGGAGGGCGAGGGCCAGCCCGGCACCACGGCCACAGCGCCCCGGGCACGGCACGGGGGTGGCACGGCAGCAGCCGAGTGCCGGGGGTCTTCTCATGGCAGCTGGTGGCAGAGAGGGGACAGGAGACCCCCGACACAACGCGCAGAGCTCCGGGTGGCCCCCACGGCGCCGTTCCTCGTCCCTGGCTTCCTCCAGACGGCCGCAGGACCTCCGCTCGCACGTTGAGGGACAAAGGGTGGACGGTGCCCGTGACACTGGGCTGGAAACCAGGGGACAGCCCCTCCACCGCCACCGCTCCCAGGCTGAGGCCTCCCGCGTCCCCGCTGCGTTTCCCCAGTACCCAAACCCGCACCAGGCTCCTGGCCACGCTGCTCAGCCTCGCTGCCTCCCTCGGGCACGGCCTCGTCCCCACCGGTTCTCTGGGGACCGGGGTGCAGCCGTGCCAACGGGGGCAGCGGGGGCGCAGGGCACGGCCACGGGTGGCCCGGGGCGGAAGCTCGCAATAGGGAGGTGGAGGTAGGAGGGGGGGTCAGGAAGCAGGCGTCAGAGATGAAACCATGGGGGAAGCAGGGGCTGGGCCAGCTGCCTGCGCAGGATGGGGCCGTGCGCCCCCCCTGCCCCCTCTGCAGATCAGCTCCAGCTCTCACCCACCAGCACCCGGCACAACGAGCCCCTCCAGGAGCAGGAGCTGGACCCGGAGCCGCTCGGGTGCCCCCCTGGCCATGGGTTTTTGCCCCTCAGCAGCGGTTTTGGTGCAGGTCCCACTCGGGGGACACCACCACGGGGAACACCCGGGGGCAGACAGCACAGCACCAAAACGGGGGGAGAGGGGAAGGGGCTGCCGCAGGATCGCTCAGCCCACCTGCACCTGACAGCCATTTACCTCGTAAAATGGAATATTTTATAGCGGGTGGCGCAGCCTCAGCCAGAAAACACCAAATCCTGGGGGGCTGGGACCCCCCCTGCCTTGTGCGCACACAGCCCCCTGCCCCGGCCGTGGGCAGGAGCAGATCAGGATCTACAGGAAGCACCCGAGCACCCCCCCGGCCCCATATCAGGGCCAGGACCCCCCCACACACACTCCTGGCAGCCCCCCAGGAGGACGGGGGTCCCAGCAGCAAGGCCGTGGGGTGCCCCAGCCCACCCAACCCCGCTGCTGTGAGCGCAGAGCCTGTGGCACAAAGCCACAGCGGGGCGCAGGGGCTGGCAGGACGGATGAGAAACGCCCCGGGACGGCGAGGACAAAGCCTCTGCTGGCCCCCAGCACCAAACCCCGGCCTCCTCGAGCACCAAACCCCAGCCTCCTCGGAGAGCAGAGCCCGCAGGCAGCCGTCAGCACGCCCTGCTGGGAGGAAACAGATGCCCCGGGCTCGGTCCAGGCGTTTCCCGTCGCTGTCGGGGGGTGCTTAGAGATTTGCAGGGAGCAGGGGCTGTGGGATCGCATCCTGCCCCGGCACCACCGCCCCCACGCCAGCCCAGCCTCTCCTCCCGTGGCACCACGCAAATATTTCATTTTAAAAGCAAAAAGAAGGAGCAGAGAAGGGAGCTGGGCACAGCCGGACCCACACCCGCGTGCGCTGCGCTGCGTGGCCTCGGCTCTTCCCCTCCAGCCCTGCCCTAACCCAGCCTGGGGGCAGCCAGCGGGGAGGAGGAGAGGTGCTGAGCTCCTGCAGCACCAAAAGGGGCTCCCAAATCCCAGCCCTGCCTCCGTGGCTCAGCCCCGCAGCTCCCAGCACCAGGCTCAGGACCCAGGACCACCGACTGCTGCCCAAACACGCCGCGAGCAAACGCAGCTCCTGCCCCAATGCCACCACACAAGGGATGGGTAAAACGCACCCATGGAGAGCAAATAAATAAAAAATAAAAAACAAAAAACGAGGATGCCAACGGCACCGAGGCTTCCCTCTGCCCCCCTCCCCGGCCACAAATCCGACAGAAACGGCCGTAGAAACCAGCAGAGCTTTTATTGGTAAAACGTCGGAGGAAGCTGAGCGCTGCCGAGGCGTAAAAAAATAAAAATAAAAATAAAAAAAATCAAATCCTGGGTGTGGGGGGGGAGTGGGAGGGTGGGCGCCCACCGAGCGCCCCCCGGGTGGGGGGGTTATTTGGCTGCCAGCAGCTGCTGGCGCTGCTGCTCCAGGAGGGCCTCCAGGTGCTCGGCTCGCTGCACCGCCGCCTGCAAGAGCGCGCAGGGTCGGGGAGCTGTGCCCGGGGCAGGGCTGCAGCAGCAGGGCAGGGGCAGCCCCCCGAAGCCCCCCTCACTCACCTCGTACTGTTTCCGAAGGCTGCTCACGTTCTCCTCCTTCCTCGCCACGGCCGTCTTCACCCTGAGCAGGGGGATGGAGAGGGGCTGAGCACGGGGTCCAGGCACCCCCGGGGCTCAGGGCGGTGATTTTGGCACGGCTCAAACAACCCCAGGATGGGCAGCCCCTCTCCTCTGCAACCCCAAAGCTAAAAGGGGTGCCAGGGCATGCTATAAATGGGGCTCGGGGTGCCAGGGCATGCTATAAATGCCTTCATTCCACTTTGGGAGCATTACACGGCTTGCATCGAGTCCCCCGCAGGACGAAGGGGACCCCAGCCTCACCAGACCTAATGAACAAGGTCCCAGGGACACACATTCCTATTTCCCACACCCACGGTCGCTGCCTCATGGCCAGAACATCCCACAGCTCTCAGAGCCCCAAATCTGCCCCGTTTTGCCAGGTTTTGCACATGGGACTGACGGGGAACCCCTCTCGCTCACCCTCAGGGTGTGACTCAGAGGGAATGGGAAGCGCTCGGCTGGCTCTGGGAAAGCCGCTGAGCTCCGCGCGCTGATGCAAAGCTCTCCCACTGCAGCTTTTCTCCCCAAATTTCCTCCCTGCAGGCTCCGGCAGCAGGGCTGGCTCTGGCTGTACCACCGGGGCAGCTGGCAGAGAGCTCAACCCCACGCACAAAGCGGTGCCGGCAGGAGCCGCTGCCTTCCCGGGGAGATAAAATTCCTCCCCCGCAGGCAGACGGGGAGGGAAGCGAGGAAGCACGGCGCTGCCTGCTTGGTGCCGAGCCCAGCGCCGGCTCCTGCTGGTGCTGAGCCCCCGCAGCACAGCCCCGAGGTGCCAGAGCCCTGCTGGAGAGGCGAGCGCAGCCCCTGCCCCCCTTCGGTGCTGGGGTGCTCCTGGGGAGCCTGCAGGGCACGGTGACACCCCCACGTGCCCAAAAAGAGCCCCGAGGAGTCACCGCAGCCAAATTCCTGGCAACGCACCCCGGCTGCGAGCCCCCCAAGCCCGGCCGGGCTGCCTCACCTCCTGTGCACCTCCTCCAGCTCTCTGTCCTTCTCCCTCGCCACCCTGTCCAGCTCCAGGCGCTGCCGGGCTCTCATCTCCACCATCTCCTCCTTCAGCCTCTTGTTCTCCTCCTCCGTGCCCACCAGCCTGGTGGCGAACTCCTCCCGGATCACCTCCGCCAGGCTGCTCCGCTCCTGGGCCAGCTGGTCCCGCACCTACGGGGGGGCAAAGGGGTGACCCCAGGGTGCCGGGGTCCCAGGGGGACCCGGTCGTGCTCTCAGCTCACCTTCCGTATCTCCTCCAGCTCCTGCTCCCGGTGTTTCAGCAGCCCCTGCAGGCGGCTGCTCTCCCCCTCCAGCTCGGCCAGCCTCCCCTTCAGCTCGTTGCAGCGCTCCTGCAGCTTGCGCTCCGACCTCTCCAGCTCCTGCAGCTCCACCTCGTACTTGTCCCGGATCCTTTTAATCCTGGAGGAGAGGACAGAGAGCTCAGCCCGGAGCTGGGGGCATCCCCAGCACCCCCTCCCCAAGGCTGCAGCAGCGACCACGACGCCGCAGCCAGCGCAGGATCAGCCCCACGGGAGGTGCAGGATGGTTTCAGGCTGTGTTTGGAGTGGTTTTGCTGCCACTTTCCAGCCCTAGGGAAGGCTGCCCACTGCCACATCGCTCTGACACCCCCGAGGATGCCTCTCCAGGGGGGGCGAGCAGGGGCACACACCCTGTGGTGTGCCAGGGAGGGAAGGACGTTTGTCCCCACCAGCTGCTCCGTCCCAAACTCGTGCTGCACAGCGCCGTGCACGCAGAGGTGGCTCAGGAGCCCACGCAGGTGGTGCCTGGAGCTCGTGGGGGAGGCACAAAGCTCTGGGGGGGGGCAGGAATGGGAACTGGGAAGGGCTCAGCAGGCTCACGTCCCCCTCCTCACCTGTTCTCCGCTGCCCTCTCGCACTCCTCCTTGGCGGAGGACATGTCGGCCTCCAGGCGCTGGATCACCAGCTCGATCTCCTTGTCCCTCTCCTTCCTCACCTCCTCCCTCAGCTCCCGCTCCCGGGCGAGCAGCCAGGCTTCCTGGGGACGGTGACAAAGATGCTGAGCGTTGCCCTGAGCCCTCTCGGAGCTCAGCGTTAACACCCTGCAGGGAGAGCAGCCCTCGCCCTACCTCCTTCTTCACGTAGTTTGCCTCCCAGGCTTGCCTCTCCATCTCCAGCCGCTCCTTCAGCACCTTCACCTCTGCCTGCGGAGAGACAGGACAACTGCTCGCCTCCGGTGCTGCCCCCAGGGCTCCCAGCCGTGCTGGCACACAGCTCGGGGCCGTGCCTTCCTCATCAGGGGGGGCGAGGAGCGACAGACCTGATGCCTCCTCTCCCTCTCCTCCTGCTCCTTCGCGTGCTCCTCCTTGAGCGCGGCGGTGACGGCCGAGCTGCTCGCCTCCAGCTGCCTCCGCAGCTCCTCCACCTCCGCCCTCTGCCTGCCCGAGGACAGAGCGGAGCTTTCAGCCCCCCGAGGGAGCCTCCACGAGGGCGACCACCCCCCCAAGGGCTGCCAGGCGTGCCGGCTCCTGGCTCTGCTCTCACCTGGCCGCCTGCTGGCTCAGCCTCTCCTTCTCCTCGGCGACCTCCGCGTAGAGCCGGCGCCGCTGCTGCTGCAGCGCCTGCTCCTCCTGCTCCAGCTGCTTCTCACACCTTGGAGGGGGGAATAAGCGGCCTCAGGGGGCTGCCAGGCTCTGAGCAACCCAGTCCCCTGGTTTTATGTGGTTTTCCCTTCTCCCTGCCCCTTCCCACCCTGTGCGCAGCGCCGGCTCCGCGACACCTCTCCACGAGGCCATTCAGTGCTGCAAACCCGTTAGCACCACAAATCCACCCCGGTGGTGGTTCTGGCCACCATCCCCGTGCCCTGGAGCACTCACCGCTGCCGGGCCAGCTCCCTCTCCCTCTGCCCCTGCTCCTCCTTCTCGCGCTGCAGCAGGCTGCGCAGCTCCTGGGCCTGCCGGCAGTACTGCCGCGCCGCCCGCTCGTCCGACTGCAGCAGCTCGGCCTCGTGCAGCATCTTCAGCTGCCGTATGTCCTGCCGGTGCTTGGCCATCAGCTTCTGGATCTCCGGCTCCAGGCCTGGGGTGGCAGGGCAGGGCAGTTAGCACAGCCTCAGGGGGGTAAAAGGAGCAGATTTGGGGCCAGCACGGGTGCCCCCGGGACCCCGGGCAGCTGGTGGGGAAGCTGCAGGATTTGGCTCAGCACAGACAGGCTGGTAAGGAAAGGGCCCATGCTGGTACCTTTCACGGTGATCTCCTTGATCTTTTTGGTTTTCTCATCAATCCACTTCTCCCGCCTGATCTTCTCCGTCGCGCTCATCAGCTCCTTCAGCTTCCTGAGCTCCTGGTGGGAAGCCAAGGGGAACCCGTCAGAGGGAAGCCAGGGAGGAGATCCCTCGTTAGCCTGGGAGCCCAAAAAGCAAGGTGCAGGCAGGAGCCGACGACCCCAGCCACGCACAGCCCCGGTTCCACCCTCTCCCAGTGCCCCCCACCCCGTACAGGACGGGGCTTTGCATCAAGGGGGAAGCAAAACCCTTGGGAAAGCCCCTGCTGGGGTGACAGAGAGAGTGCCCCCCACCCAGCCAGGGCAAAGCTCCAGGGGTGACACCAATTTCCTGCGCCCAGCTCCCCAAAAACCAAGCAGCGGGGGCTCCCCGAGGTGGCACCGAGGTGGCACAGGCCCCAGGTGAGCCCCCGGGGGTCCCCAATGTCACCTCACCAGCTCGTGCTGCTCCTGCATCTGGCTGATCTTCTTGCTGTACTTCTGGTCCGCCTGTTTCAGCTCGGCCACCACAGCCTCACACCTCTCGCTCAGCACCTTCTTGTCCTCGATGAGCTGAGAAAGGGGGAAAAAGGGGGGAAAAAGGAAGGCGTGAGGCAGCCAGGAGGGTGCCTCCAGCCCGGCCCGCGGGCTGCGAGCTGCGGAAGGTGAGGATGACCTGATCGATGAAGGCCAGGTGTCTCTGGATGGCCGCCTCGTACTGCTCCCTCTGCAGCCTCAGCTGGTGGCCGAGCTCCTTCTCGGTTTGTTGGACGTGCCGGACGGTCAGTTCCCTCTGCTGGGCCTGGTGGGTGCCAAAAACGGACTGAATACGGAAACCCCTGCTGGGTCAGCTCACCCCGAGCAGCCAAACCAAGCCCCTGGTCCCCCAAATCTCCCACCCTGCTGTCAGCGGGGCCGCCCAAACCCCCAGGGGTGGAGGAAAGGAAAAAATTCAGCACAGCTCCACGCTGAGAGCTGCCCAGGCACCTGCTGAGGTGGTTTCCAAACCTTGAGGGAGCACGGAGAGAGCCCACAGGATGGGGAAGGACCTCGAGGACCCTTCCCATGCTAACAAAAACCAAAACCACTGCATGACCCAGCACCCCACGGCCCCACAGCTCCCCTGAGAGCTCGGGGAGCACCGCAGGACTTGACCCTGCTGGAGGATGGATGGGAACCCCAACCCGCAGCGCCGTGCCCCCGCGTTCCAGAGCCTCTGCTCCAGGGAACGGGTGCTGAGGGCTCTGCTCCTTGGCTCCCCAGCGAGCAGGAGGAGCCGAGCCACCCACCAGCGCCGTCTGCAGCAGGCTGATGGCTCGCTTCTTCTCCTCCACTTCCAGCTTCAGCCTCACGATGGAGCTCGTCACCTCCGTGGCAACAGCGGACGCTTGCTCCAAGTGCGCCAGCTCCTCCTCGGAGAGCAGCCCCTGGGGTGTGGGGAAAGGAAAAAAAAAGAGTGAGAGGAGCTGGAGGGCAACTAGGCTCTGAAAAAAAAAAAAGAGAGCCCCTTCCTAGGGGGTCTCAGCGCCCACCTCCCGCTGCGTGGCCGAGGCGGCGGAGCGCGGCCTCTCCTGCTCCGATTTCTCCATCTCGTCCAGGAAGCTGATGATGCTTTGGAGCTTGGCCTCCGAGAGCAGCGCCCCGTCCTCGGGGACCCCGGGGGAATGGTTCAGCTTCCCCAACTTCTCCAAGTTGTCAGCGGTCAGCGAGTTGGAGCCGGGCTCCTGCGGGGCAGACGGAGCTGCTTGGGGAGGGCGGCGAGCCCCGGAGGTGCCCGGGGAGGTGCCGGCTGCTCCCAGTGCCCCCAGTGCCCCCCAGTAGGCAGCCTCCTCCTCTGTGCTCAGCCCCAGGAGGAGGCAGCCCCATCTCACGCTGCTCACCCCGTCTATCCAGGCGTATTTCTCCTTCTTGAAGAGCTTCGGGGGGGGCAGCAGCTCCGGCTCCTCCTCCAGCAGCCTGAGGGTGTCCAGCAGCTCGGTGAGGGTCACCTTGGACTGAGCCCTGCTGGCGGCCGTCCCCGCGGTCCCCAGGTCCTCGCCCCCCATCTCCCTGGAGCTCACGTCCTGGAGGACAGGCAGACGCACCTCAAAGCTTGCCCAATTTCCAGAGAAACAAACCCAAGCTTGGAGAGCCCCTCGAGTGCCCGGAGAGCCCCTGGAGCCGACGCCAGACCCACCTGCAGCTTGTCCTCTGCCCCCTGCCCCTGCGAGGGCACGGCGCTGAGCTCCACCGGGCTGCTTGCTTCTGGCTCTGCAGTGAGGGCGTGGAAATTGGCACCTGCAGGGACCAGACCGCTCCCACACACCACAACCCCCTCCCCGGGCTGAGAACTGCCCCCTGCCACCCTCCTGTCCCCGTCCCACACCGCTGCAGGGGCAGGGGGACGCGCAGGGGGACGCACCGGCGTTGTTGGCTTTGAGGCCATCGTTCCTCGTGGCAGCAGCAGGCCTGGCAGGCTTCTTCTTTGCTACCCTTCTGCTCTCCTTCACCAGCGCGAGCTCCTCTTCCTCCAAGCATTTCGCCTCGGCAGCCTTTTGGGCCCTTTTCTGGTGCAGCTCCTGCGGGAGGGAGAAGGAGCAGCAGCTCCAGGAGCCGAGCACCACGGGGTGGGGGGACACCGCTGGGCCCGGGGGGGGCTTTGGCAGGGCTCTGGGAAGTGGCTCCAGGCACAGGCACGTGTTTCTGAGGCTGCTGCAGCATTTCGCCACCCTCCAGCTGCTCGCTGCTGTGCCTCCCGCCAGCATCCCCACCGAGACCTGACTCCATTTGGGCCAAAGAGGAGCTGGGGCTCTTAAAATCCCTTTTTTACTACATTGCAAGCCAGCAGGCACCTCCCCGAGCTCTGCCCCTGGCCCAGCCCCTCGGGTTCACCCCAGGAGCACCCAAGGGAGCTGCAGGAGCACGGTGGGGGCGGTGAGGTGCCTTTGGAGGGCACAGAGGGGAGCACAGCCACCCTGCAGGGTCCCGTCCCCTCCTGGGACCAGTCCCATCCCTGGCCGTGCCCAGTTCCGTGGCAGGAACTCCCCTTTCCCCAAAAACAGCCCGAAACCAGCTCTGGAGGAGCTGCCAAACCCTTGGCAGGAGCACAAACTGCTCTGTGGCACCTCCGTCTCCACGGGGAGCGCTGCGTCCCCAAGGCTCGCTCAAATTCCAAATTGTGGAAAGAGGAGGAGGAGGAGGAGAGGCCCTGCCACCGCCTCACGGAGCCGGGCAGCTCAGGGGCCAGGGGCAGGCACGGTTCCCCGAGCCCTGTCCCTACCTGGATGGCAGCACGCCGCGCCAGCCGCGCCTTCTCCTCTCGGATCTTCCTGCGCTCCTCGTCCCTCCGCTCCTGCAAGCCCAGGATGTTCCCCTCCTCTGTCTGCCGCTGCCTCTCCTGCCAGGAAAAAAAGCTCAAAGCTGAGTGAGAGCTCCCACGTCCACTGCCCGGGGCCGAAAAGTGGGGAACGAGGCACCCCAAGCGCTGCACCCGCGGCCATCCCCTCCCGTGGGTAAGGAGCCCGCAGGGAACTCTGCTGATTCTCCTCGGGCACCAAACGCAACCATCGGGCACCCGGGGCTGAAACCACCACGGAGACAGGGCTCAAAAATAGAAGCTCACATGCGGGAGCCCGTCACAACGGGGACACCCAGCAGGGTTTGTGCCCCTGCCCCCGGGGACCAACCTCCCTCCTGGCAGCCAGCAGGCGCCCCAGAGCCGCCGCTCCTGCCTTGTGCCGCTGCGCGTGGCGGCGGTACCAGCGCTGGATGGTGACGGCGGCCAGGTTCACCTGCTGGATGAACCTGCAAAAAAAAGGGGGCAGCGTCAGCCCCACAGCCCCACGGCACCCCACAGCCCCCCCAGCCTCGCTCCCTGGCTCGGGGAAGCCGTTTTGGGGAGCAGGAACTCATTCCTTTGACAACTCAGCGGAGTCAGGGGCAGGGGAAGCCAACGCAGCCCCCCAGCAGCTCTCTGAACCCCTCGGCAGCTCCTTTTCTGTCCCAGGAGCCAGGGTGCAGCCCGCGCTCAGCCTCACCTCTCCGCCTCCTCCTCGGTCACCTCCCTCCTGCGGGGCAGCCCGCCGGCGTTGTTGCGGGCGGCGTTGTTGTTGCTGGAGAAATTCTTCTGCGACTTCACCAAGCTGCTGCTTTCGCTCTCCTCGTTGGCGGTGGCTTTGACGACATTGCTAGGGCAGAAAATAACACCAAATTGCTCCAGCACGGCATGTGGTGGGGGCCCAGCACCCCCCTTGGGGGCCGTGCAGCCCCCTCCCCAAGGCCGTGTCCTCACCAGCACTTACTTGAGGTTGCTGCTCGGAGCCTGGTTGGAGCTTTTGGGCGCGGGGCCCCTGTCGGCCGTGTAGTTGTTGTGCACCATGGTGGTGACGCAGTTCCCCATCGCGCCCTTGTTGCTCCTTTATTTTTTTGTTGTTTTAGGGGGGATAGAACCCGTCAGGGCCCTCCAGATCCATGGGGATGGGGCCAGCGGGTGCCCTGCACCCCCCCTGCGTAGTGGCCACCACCCCTCATACGAGGGCACCTGGCCTTTTCCAGACCCCAAAAACCCTCCCTCGAGCACCCAACCCCGCAGGCACGCTGCCCACAGCCCCAGCTCTCCTCCCCGGGTATTTTTTGGTTCGTTTCCTCCCCTGCAAGCTCCTCCCGGGGGGGCTGCCCCCCTACCTGTTGTTGGCGGTGAAGTTGGCTGCCAGCAGGACGGCCGCTTCCTTCTTCCTCATGCCCGCTGCTGGCTCGGCACCGCCGGAGCTGGATGGGGCCGGGAGGGCTCGCGGCTGATCGTCCTGCGTGGGGCCGGGCACGAGGCTCAGCCAGCACCAAAAATGCCTCCCCCACTCCCCATCCCTCCCCCAGACCCAATTTCTGCCCCGCAGCCCCACGGCTTCACCTGCTGGAGGGGAATCCCACCCGAAATCCCAGCTCCTCGTGCCAGGAGCCAGCTGCCCCGTGCCCCCGCCGAGCCCTGCCCTCACCAGGACGTTCCAGGTGGTTTTCTGCTCCGGGGACGCCGTGCTCGGGGTCGTTCCTTTCTTTCTCCCACCAGAAGCGCTCTCAAAAAAGGCCAGGAAGGCTCCTGCCTGCTCCGAGCTGCAGCACGGGGGAGGCAGAGAGGAGAAAGGGATGCGTGTGCTGGGGTTAATATTAAGATGACAAACAGCAACGAGGCAGCAGCAGCAGGGATCTCATCCTGCTCGGGGTGCAGGTGGCTCTGATCCTAACGCTTTGATCCTAAAGTTTTGTCCCCTAACGCAGCCTGGCGGGTCCCCGAGGGGCTGCGCTAAGAGGAGGCTCCCCAAATGCCACCCACGTGCCCTCCCCTGCAAAAAAAAAAACCCACTCTGTGCCTTTCCAGAGCCCCTGGTGCATGGGACAGGACTCAGTGATCACCCTGCTGGGTTCTGGTCCCCTCGTGGGGCCGGGGGGCGCACGGAGCAGGGGGTTCCTCGCGGTGCCATCCCGGGGGAGCCGTACCTGTGCCCGCTGCTGGCCCGCTGGGCGACCTGCGTGGTGCTGTTGGACCTGCGGAGGTTGTTGATGGCCCGGGACCCCGAATCCTCCTGGGGGGAAGAGAGTTCAGCTCAGCTGGGGTTCCAAAAGGGCAGGGTTGGGGTGCCCGGAGCAGGGGATGAGCGCGAGGGAAGCCACCGAGGCAGCAGGGATTGCTCAGAAAGCTGGGAGCACCCAGCAGGAGACCCCAGGACCCCAAAACTCCCCAGAGGGAAAGCACTGAATGGAAAAAAGGGGCTGGAGAGGCTGACGCTGCCCCCCCTCAGGCACAGGGAAGAGCTGAGAGGGGCCCCAGCGAGCAGAAAATTCCAGGGGATGAGGTTTGGGAGCGCGGCACCGCAGCGCCCAGATCCCACAGCAGCTCTGCTCATCCTAAAAAGAACAGGGGGGGCACACGAAGCCCCCCGGGACCCCCACCCAGCCCCTCGGACCCGAGAGCACCCGGGGGTCCCACCGTGGCACCCACCAGGGCGTTCCTCTTGGGTTTGCCATCGGCCACGACGGAGAGGGAGCGCGCCACGTGCTTGGCGGGGGAGGCGCTGCTGGGGCGCCGCAGGACAGGCACGGGGAGCCCCGTCAGGCTCAGGTCCACGGCCACGCCGCCACAGCCGGCACCGCGGCATGACGAGCTGCTCCGGGAGCTCCTCATCCTGCACGGGGAGAGGGCAGGTGGGTGACCAGGGGGTGGAGAGCAGCGCGAGCGCAATGGGGACATGAGGGAGACACAATGGGGACCCGAAATGGACCCAAAGGGGACCCAGAATGGACCCAAAAGGGATGCAAAGGGGACTCAAAGGGGATGCAAAGGGGACCCAAAGGGGACCCAGCATGGACCCAAGGTGGATTGCAGCGCAAACCCAATGTGGACCCAAAGGGGACCCAAGGGAGACCCAAAATGGACCCAATGGGGACCCAAAATGGACCCAACATAGAACCAAAAGGGGACCCAAAGCGAACCCAACATGAACCCAACGTGGATTGACAACCCAATGTGAACCCAAAGGGGACCCAATGTGGACACGAAGTGGACCCAAGAGAGACCCAAAGAAGACCCAAAATGGACCCAAAGGGGTCCCAATGCAAACCTAAAGGGGACCCAAGGGAGCCCCAACACAGATCCAAAGAGAACCCAATGTGAACCCAACATGAGCCCAAAGGGGATCCAAGGGAGACCCAAAGAGACCCCAAAGGGGACCCAAAGGGGCCCTAAACGTGGACCCAAAGGCGACCCAAGGGAAACCCAGACATGAGAGGGAGACCCAACGTGGTCCCAAAGCGGCCCCAAAGGGGACCCAGCTCAAAGCCAACGCAGACCCGATGTGGATCACGGTGCGAACCCAGTGTGAACCCAAAGATGACCCAACCCAAACCCACCATGGACCCAAAAGGGACCCAGAGGGGACCCAGTGAGGACCCTAAAGGGGTCCCAAGGGAGACCCAGTGTGGACCCAGAGGGGACCCAGTGCGGACCCAAGGAGGTCCCAAGGGAAACCCAGCATAAACCCACCACGGACCTAAAAGGGACCCAGAGGGGACCCAACGCAGACCCTAAAGGGGTCCCAAGGGAGACCCAGCACAGACCCAACGGGATCCCATTGTGAACCCAACTCGAACCCGGTACAGACCCAAAAAGGACCCAGGGCAGACCCAGCACAGACCCAATGTGATCCCAAAGTGGCCCCAAATGGGTCCCAGCTCAAACCCAACACAGACCCGATGTGGATCGGGGTGCGGGCCCAAAGTGGACCCTAAAAGGACCCCAAAAGAACCCAAAGGGGACCTAAAGGGGACCTAAAGGGACCCAGTGAGGACCCAAAAGGGACCCCAAAACACCCCAAAGTGGACCCAGAGGGGACCCCAAATGGGTCCCATGGCGAACCCAACTCGAACGCAGCGCGGACCCAAAAAGAACCCAAAGGGGACCCCAAAGAGACCCCAAAAGACCCCAAAAAGACCCCAAAAGACCCCAAAACAACCCAAAAGACCCCAAAAGGGACCCAGAGGGGACCCCAAAACAACCCAAAGTGGACCCAAAGGAGACCCTAAAGGAGTCGAACCCAACTCGGACCCTAAAAAGACCCCAAAGGGGCCCCCAGGGCGCCCCCCCCGCCCCCCGCCCCCGCCGCGGGGCCGCCCCTCACCCGGCCGGGCCTCCGCCGCCCCGCACCGCCCCGGGGCCCCGCCCCCGCGCCGCCATTGGTGGAGGCCGAGCGGGAGGCGGCCGCCCCATTGGCTGAGGAGGCTGCCGGTCAGCGGAGGGGCGGGGCGAGGACAGGGGTTGGTGGAGGAGAAAAGAGGGCGTGGTCTAGAAGGAGGGGGCGTGGCTTGGTGGGTGAGGGCGTGGTTATGTGGAAAGGGGGCGTGGCCTCGGGCCGGGGAGCCGCGGGTTCGAATCCCGGTGCCGCCGGCTGGGGGTTACTGGAGGTCATCGGGGTTATCAGGGGTCACCGGGGTTATCAGGGGTCACAGGGGGTTACCGGGGGTCACCGGGGGTTATCAGGGGTTACCGGGGGCTTCTTGGCCCCAGCGTGGCTGGGCAGAGACCCCCGCAGCAGCCCCGCACCCCCTCCCTGCCCTCCCACCGGCCCCAGGGAGCCAAAGCCCCCCCGCAGCCTCGCTCCCGTCTCCACGGTGCCCAGACATCGCTCCCCAAAATGGACTGGGGGGGGACACGGCCCAATTATTGAGCTCTGGCACCAGCCCCCGGTACACCCCATACCCCCCGGCCGCCCGCAGTTCCCTGCCAAAGCCCCGTTTTGCTCTCCCCTGCGGGGCAGCTCCTTTATTTGCCCCCCAGTGCCGCGGGGGGAGCCGAGGAACGTGCCCCCAGAGAGCCCCCAAAATTGGGCAGCACGGGGGGGTCCCAGGGCCGGGTGTGACAGCAGCTACACGTTGAGGAAGGAGAAGGCAGAAGGCTCCCGGCTGCTCTGAGGGGGCCTAGCCTCATCCTCGGGCTGGGGCAGCGTCCGCGGCTCCTCGTGGGGGGAGAGGGGGGCGAGCACCGTGCCGGGCCGGGCCACCAGCTCCATGCCAGCAAAAAGGGACAGGCTGCGGGGGGGAGCAGCCGTGGTGGATGTGTCCCCCTGCAGTCTGCTGGCCGCCTCCTGCTCGCTTGGGGTGGCCGCTGCCGTGGGGCCGGGCTCCCCCCAGGGCTCCGTTTGCAGCTGGGGATCCCCCCCGGGGGCCGGGACAGCAGCGGGGGGGAGCGGGGCCGCGCTCAGGGGCTGGAGGATTCCCTCGTTGGGCAGGGGGGGGACGTCCGTCAGCAGGTCCGCGGCGCATGGGGCTGAAGCTTTGGGGAGGACGGAGGGGTGGGGGCTCTTCAGGGACGGGCGGCCCCTGCACAGAGCCTCAAACTGGCGCAGGAGCTGGGGGAAAAGAGGTGGGAGAGGGGAAAATCAGCTCCTGGGGCAGCGGCAGGGAGGGGGCAAAGAATTCCTGCCCCTCTGTGACACCTGGAAGCCGCTCCCGGGGGGCTGGCAGCGAGGGGTGCCACCAGGGGGGGGGCACAGCCCGGTCCCTGGGAGTGCCACGCACTGGGATGGGGCCACGGGGACATCGTGGTGGTCACCTTGGTGGCTCGGTTGGCCACGGGGCCGGGGCTGCCTTGGCTGAGCTGCTGCAGGTGCTGCTGCGTCGCGGCGAAGATCTGGTCGAGGGCCAGCAGGTCGGAGCACATGAGGGACGAGATGGCGCACATGGAGCGCTGCGGGGAGGGGAGAGCTGAGCGGGGAGGGCACCGAAAATCCCCCCCCTTCCCCCCCCTCCCCAAGGGGGCTGGGGGCGGCCAGCACAGGCTCTCACCATGCGGACGCTGTCGCTGGGGTCCTGCAGGGCCCGGCTGAGCAGCTCCAGCACCACCTCGCAGTTCAGGAGCCCGCACCTTGGTGAAAAGGGCAGGGGTGAGCCCCAGAGCCAGCTCGGAGCCCCCCCCAAGCTCCTAAACCACCACAGCCCCCCCCTGTGCTCGTGGGGAGCCCCCTCTCCGGGCACTTACTCCTTGAGGAATTGCTGCGCCTCCTCCCTGCTCAGGAACACCCTGGGGCCCTGGGTGAGCGCCGCCACCAGGCTCACCTCCCGCAGGCAGTCACCCGGCCCCTCAGCGTCCACCCTGCACGGGGACAGCGGGAACAGGGCTCAGAGGGGACAAACCCCAAGGGAAATTCAGCCTGGCAGCGTCAACAGGGCACCGTGCAGAGGATGGAGCCACCTCGTAAAGGTTCAGGGGAATGGGAGCCCCCCCAGACCCCTTTTTCTCACCTCTCAGCCCCGTTTGCCAAGTCCCTGCTGGCCCCGGAGTGGCTGTCGCTGCCGGATTTGCTGTAGGAGTCGGAGGCTCGGCTCAGGTCAGCGTTGTCCTGCGAGGAATCCTGCGAGCTGTGCCCGCTGTCCGCCTCCTCCCAGCCTCCCCCGGCCAGCCCCGGCTGGTGGCTCGCTGCAGGGACTGGCAACGGCAAACCAGGGGGTGACACCACGGCCCCTGGGGTGAGCCCAAAACACCCCGGGACACTGCCAGACCCGCCCCCCAGCAGCCAGCAGCCGCCCTAAAACGAGCGGCGAGGGACAAACCTCGGGTGCTGTGAGCTGTGGTGGCTGCTGGAGGCCTGGCGGAGCTGGGCGAGCTCCTGGAGGGAGAGGGAGCCCTCACGGGCTGGTAGGAATCCTCGTGGAGCTCCCTGCAGGGGGGCCGGGGAGCCTCCGGGGTGGGGAGCACGGCGTTGGCCACCGCTTCGGCCGCTCGCTGGATGGTGCTGAGCAGGGCTTCACCTGCAGAGCCTGGGAGAGAGGCTTGGGAAGCTGAGAGCCTGCGCCCGGGGGCTGGGTTTCACAGAGGGGGGGGCAGGGCAGAGCCCTTGGGTTTCACAGAGGGGGGAAGAGCAGAGCCCAGCGAGCAGCCAGCACCTACCGGAGCCACTCCTCTCGCTGCTGAAGCCGAATCCTTGCAAGGAGCTGCAGGGGCTGGGCTTGGATCCCATGCCTGGGGGTGCACAGGGCACGTTCAGAGAGAGCACGGGCACGTTGGGGTCCCCCCCGTTGCTGCTCATCCCCCTGGGGAGCTTTTGGGGCTGCCTGGGGGAGCCTGGGACCCAGGGCAGGGCACTTGGAGAGCCCTCAGGGCAAAATCTCCCAGCTCCCCTGGACAGGACGGGGTCCGTGGGGGCTGCAGGGCCCTGCACTCACCCGCGGGAGGCAGGGGACGGGCAGGCAGCGGGGCAGGAGTCGGGAGAGCAGCATCCGAGAAGAGAACGCTGGCCAAATCCTGCCGGGAGAGGACGGGGGAAGGGGCAGAGGGGGCCGGGGAGCACCAGAGCTGCCCCAGACCCTGAGCGGTGCCCCTGGGCACAGCGGGATCGGGACCAGCACTCACCTGTGCAGCCGCCCGCACCTTTTGGTTCAAACTGTTGCCATGGAGGGGGTCTGGGGGCCCAGTGAATGCTGCAAGGCACGAGGCGAGATTTTTGGGAGATTGTTCAGCTCCCAGAACGGGGCAGAAACTCAGACTCGGGCAGAGCTCAGCCTCAGGAGCAGCCACAGGGGCAGGAGCAGCGCTGGGCTCTCTGCAGGGCCGGGCTGAGCCTGCCAGCACCCCGCAGAGCCGCTCGCTGCCCCCGCTGCCCCGCTCCTCGCCCCATTACCTGCAGCCTCGCGGATGAAGGCGGCGTTCCTCTTCAGCTGCAGGACGAACTGGGGGGAGCCCTGGGCGCACGTGTGCAGCAGGATCTTCAGCACCTGCCAAGGGGGTTGGGGGGTGAGACGGTCACACCGCAGCCATCCCGGGGGGCTTGGGGCTGCCCCACAGAGCCCCACACAGCCCCATGGAGCCCCCCACGGCCCCACACAGCCCCCCAGGGCCCCGTACCTTCAGCTTGACGCGGCAGGAGCCGCTCTGCAGCCGTTTCAGCAGGTACTCCAGCAGGCACTGGCTGCTGCCGGGCGACTCGCGGGAGATCTCTGGGCCGTGCGTTAGGGATCGTGCCCTGCTCTGCTCCGGCCCCGACCCCCCCGGTCCCCCCCGCTCCTCCCCGGTCCCCCCCGGTCCCCCTGAGCCCCCCCCCGTCCCCCCCTTTTCCCCCCCCGTTCCCCGGATACTGGCGATCTCCTCCAGCACGTACCCGGGGCAGGGCCCGTCCTCGTCCGCCGTGCCCCGCAGCAGCACCGGGAGCTGAGGGGAGGGGAGGGGAGCAGGGAGGGGGTCGGGGTCAGGGCCCGGGCCCGGTACCGGGACCCCCCCCCCCCGGTTTCTCCCCCCCTTCCCCGGTTCCACCCCAAATCCCCGGTGACGTCACGGGTGTCGGGGTGACGTCACGCCCCCCCCGCAGCCCCCCCTCCAGTCCCGGCCCGTACCCGGCTGAGGAAGCACAGCCGGTCCCGCAGAGGCGCCGCCATGACAGCCCCGGTACAGGCCCTGCCCGCACCCGGCGCGGCCTCACGGCTCCGCCCCCCCGGAAATGGGTGCTGGCCAATGAAAGGGCGAGGTGCCGCGGCTCAGCCAGTCAGCAGAGAGAAGGGGCGGGGCTCCGGGCGGAAGCGGCCCCCGAGGTTGACGCCGACAGCAGCAGGGCGGGAGGCCGGAAGTAAACAAGAGAACCCTCCACCAATCAGAGCTACTCGACACAGCTGACCAATCCGAGCAAGCCTCGGGGACTACCAATCAGCGTTCAGCAGCGCACGGCTCTCCACCTATCACAGCGCTGAGTAGGCGGGGCTTTCACCTTCCCCCAACGCGAGGGCGCGGCGGCGTGATGGACAGCCCGGGCGGCCAATGAGCGCCGCGCCAACATGGCGGCGCCCAGCCCGTGACGGGACGGCGGCGGCGATGTCGGGCCGCGGCGTGTGGCTGCGGGCGCGGGCCCGGCTCCGGCGCTTCCCGGCGCTGCTGGGGGGCTGCGGGGAGCAGGTGAGGGCCGGGGGGGGGCCACACGGGCCCCCGGTACCCCCTCCTTACCCCCTCGGTACTCGCCGGTACCCCCCCGGTGCCCCTCAGTCCCTCCCCGGTGTCCCCCCGATACTCCCCCGGCACTCTCCGGTACCCCCCCATATCCCCCCGGTACCCTGTAGCCCCCCGGTGCCCCCTCATTACTCTCCCGGTATCCCCCGGTACTCCGCCAGTGCCCCCCCCGGTACCCCACAGCCCCCCCGGTACTCCCCGTACACCCTCGGTACCCCCCCGGTGTCCCCCCGATACCCCCGTATATCCCCCCGGTACCCCGCAGCCCCCCAGGTATCCCCCGGTACTCCCCCAGTGCCCCCCCGGTAACCCACAGCCCCCCCCCGGTAACCCCCCGGTACCCCCCGTACCCCCTCGGTACCCCCCCGGTGCCCCTCAGCCCCTCCCTGGTGTCCCCCCGATACTCCCCCATATTCCTCCGGTACCCCACAACCCCATCACGACCCCTCCCGGTACCCCCCGTTTCCCTCCCGTTACCCCCAAGCCCCCCGGTACCGCCCCGACATCCCCCGGTGACCCCCCCATATCCCCCCAGTACCCTGCAGCCCCCCCAGTACCCCCTCATTACCCCCTTGTTACCCCCCGGTACTCCCCCAATACCCCCCGGTGCCCTCCCGGTACCCCTCATTCCCCCCGGTAACCCCCCCCGCCAACCCCTTTTAACCCCGTTCCCCCCTCCCCGTCCCCCCCCCAGGCCGCCGCCTACGGGCGCTGCGTGGCCGCGGCCTCGGCGGGCAGCGGGGAGGTGCGGCGGGACGGCTGCCTGCGGGAATTCCGGGCGCTGCGGGAGTGCTTCAACCGAGCCGTACGTGGGGGAGAACGGGGAGATAACAGGGAGATAACGGGCTGATAACGGGGCTGATAACGAGGGGGGGGCCCGGTTGGTGCCCACCACGGTGACCGGCAGCGTCTTGGTTTTTTCTGCAGGCAGCAACGAGAACGTAACGGCAGCGATAGTCACGACATGACGATAGTCACGACATGACGATAGTCACGACAGCACAAAAAGGCAGGGGGAAGGAGCCCGGGGCTCCCAAAACGGCCGGCCCCAGCTCCCGGGCTCCTTCCCCCCGCCCCCAGCTCTTTTCCCGATTTATTTAATAAAAAAATAAAGATTCGGATAAAAATGCTTCAGCTTTTTTTTATTGATGTGCAGCACAGCCCCGGCGGGGTTGGGTTCTTCTCCTGGCGGCGCTGAGGAACGTCGGGAGCTTCTTTGGTCCTTTGTGGTCACCCCAAAAATACCAGTAAGTCATCAAAAAATGCCAACGAGTCCCCAAAAACGCCAGTAAGTCCTCAAAAAAACACCAACGTGTCCCTGTCGGTGCTGCGGGTAGGGCAGGAGCCCGTCCTCTCCCTGCTGCGGGGTGCCAGGAGCTCCCCCCCCAGCTCCTTTTTGCTGTAAAAAGGCTCCTTGGTGCTGCAGGAGGGGGGGACAAAGCACAAACCCACCCCAAGGACTGCGGGGTCGTGCTTAGGATCGCGTTCAGGAGGCTGCCGCCTGCCCCGGGCCTGCCAAAATCTGCAGCTCAGAGCTCCCCGCTGCGGGGTTTGTGCTTCGGGGGGGCGCGAGGGAGAAGATCGCTGGCACAACGGGGTCCTGGGGGTTAAGGCCACGACCGTCACAACCGAGACACGCACAGGGGGGGTCCTGGTGGAGAAGCGGGGGCCGAATCCCCTTAAAGCAGGGGCTGAGGATTTCCTTCCAGCAATGGGTACGCGGCTCAGAACCCGTCCCCGGCTCCACCAGGTCCCGCCGGGCACGAACCACCCCCCCCTCCGAGGCTCGACGACCGAAGACACTTGGAGATCCGGCTCTAAAAACCACCACAGTGATGAGGTCTGCAGGCTGCGGGCTGCGGAGGTTCCGCTGTTCCAGCGAGAGCTTTGGGATTTTTCTTTCTTACATTCGCGCGTCAGGATGTAAAAATAAAACAACAATGGGATGAATCACGGGCTGGGAGCCCGGAGCGAGCCAGGGCTCCGCCAGCAGCTCCTTCCCCTGCTCGTAAAACACAGGGGGCACAGAACCCACACGGAGGGATGCAAACACGGCACGGAACGGGGCTGGGAAGAACACAACGAAACAAACGGCTCCAGCGAGTCAGAGAAGAGGTAGGTTTGCTTGAGCCAAGCCCCCCAGTCTGCCCTTTTTTTTTTTTTTTTTGCTCCTAAATGAGTCATTCTTTTGCAGAAAAAGGCGGGGGGCAGGCTGCAGCCCCCGGGTTGAGCTTTGTAATGCACTTTGGAGAGGAGAAAGGAAGCTGGAGAAGAGAGAGGAGAGCGCGAGCAGCCAGAGGGAGGAGAGCCAAGCTGGGCGTTATTGCTAGCGCGCGGCCGCCCAGCTGGGTCCCTGCGAGCAGAGGCAGCACAACGGCAGCGGTTGTGCCCGTTTAAGGCAGCGTTTCGGCTCAACGGGGGGTTCCGAACCCACAGCCACCTCCTGACCACGCAGGGCTGACAGCGCCCACGTCAGGAGGGACACCGAGCACTTGGCTGTGCCTGGCCCGGTGCTGCTCCAGGAGGGAAGCCCCCCGAGGCAGGAATCTGCCCCTAGAGCGGGGCAGGGGGGGGCCGGGCGGGGGTCCTGGCAGAGCAGGGAATCCTTTCCAGGCAGGGGAACCTCACGGGGGAGCCCCTCGGGTCTGAAAAGGGAGCTGTGAGCTGGGGGGAGAAGGCGATTGGGTAGGAACCAATTTGTGAGAACAATTTGAGAGCAACGAGATGCAAAAAGGACCCACGAGAGCCACCCGGGGGGGGGGATCCCAGCTTGGTGGCAGCCCCTGCCAGGCAGCAGGCACCCAGGGGTGCTGCCCTTCCTCGCTGCCATCCCCGCAGCCCCCCCGGGGTGTGCGCAGAGCGGTGGCACCCCCGCAGAGCCCGCAGAGCACCCGAGCAGGCTCTGAGCAGGACCCCGGGGGTCTCACAAGGTGCTGCGGGCTCTGAGTCGCCGCTGCCCGCTTCGAGCCTTCCCCTCGGACCCCCACGGCCACCCCCGCGCCCCCTCACACGCTGCTGTCAGCCCCCCCCAGCTGCCGGAGCCGCCGGCTGCGCACCACTTGCTGCGCCCCCTCCGCCACCTGGCTCAGGCGCGTCTCCAGCGCGCTGCGGAGGTCGTTCACCTTCACATCGGGGAGGGGGTTCAGGCCGATTAAAACCCCCGCCCCCTGTGCCCCTTCCTCCTCCTCCTCCTCCTCATCCTCCCCCTCCTTCTCCTCCCCCTGGGGGGGAAGCAGCTCCCGTCTCCGGCGGCGCAGGTCGAGGTCCGCCTGCAGCTTGAGGTCGCGGTTGGGTTTGAGGTCGTGCTCCTGCCGGCTCCTGTCCCCGCGGGTGGCGGCGTTCTCCAGGCTGGGTTTCTTCTCAAAATCATTCGTGAGCCGCCCTTCCACGCGCCTCTGCCTGCTCCGGAGGTTTCCCTGAGGGTCCTGGGCCAATTCCACCGCGTTCTCCCCGGGGTCCCCGTCCTTCCCCTGCCCTTTGCCGGCCGCGTGGCCCTGCGCGGCCGCCTGCTGCCTGCCGGCCCCCTCGGCCCCCTCAGCTCCCCGCTGCTCCCGCGGGTGCTGCTCGCTCCCAGCCACCTTCAGTTTGCTCGAGGAGCCCGGTGCAACTGCCGGCTCTCTGGGCTCCACCTGGCTCAGAGCTTTGGCTTTCAGGTCTGCTCCTGAGTCTCTTTCCAGGCCCTTTCCTGCCGCTCTCGGAACTTTGGCAGCCCCCGGCGGCTCTCTTTGGATGGGAGCTGTGGCCGCTTCCACGGCTTTCAGGGAATTCTTCTCCTGGACGTCTCTCCCAGCTTTGGCTCCTCCGAAATCCTCGGCCAAGGGCTTCTTTTCTAGGTGGTTTCTGGCATCCTGAGCATCCCAGTTCTCCGCGGCCTTTTTAGCAGCTCTGTCGCTCTCCTGCTGCGGCGCCTTCCGCTCCCTGGGAGGAACCCCAGGAACCTCGCGCCTGTGCCCGGCCTCTTCCAGCTTTCCTGCTGTGCCCCTGCGCTGCTCGGCTGACTCCGCAGGCTGCCTGCCCAGCCCTGCCACGGGGGGCTCGGGGGGCTCCTTACCCCCTGCCTTGGCAGCAGCTTCTTGTTTAGCTCCTGGGTTCTCCTCCTCCTTGCTCTTGGACAGAGGCGCCGCGGGCTCCTGCTGCATTTCTGCTGCGGAGGAAAAACTGACAATGAAACCTTACAGCAAGCGACGGGTTCCCTTCCCCTGCCACCACGTCCTGCACAAAGGGACAGGGGACGAGGTCACCAGGGGAGAAAATACAGAGGGACGTGGAGAGGAGCATTATTAACCCCCCACAGCACCACAGGGGCTCCCCCACAGTCAGGCAGGGATCTGCAGAGCGAATTTTGCTGCGTGCCAAAGGGCCTCGGATCCCCCCCAGCCTGATTTCAGAGCTGCTCCGAGCAGTGATCGCTGCTGACACTCCTCCGTGTTCTCCTCACCTTGCTTTGGCTTCTCCTCTCCTCCCTCCTCCTGCCTCTGCTGGTGGATCTCCTTGTGCTGCTCTTCGATTACAGCCAGCAGCTTCGCCTGCTGGTCGAGCAGCTGCTTCTGCTGCACTTGCTGCTCTTTGATCACCTGCAGCAGCACCGCGTGATCGAGCAGCTTCGCCTGCCCAGCATCTAGAAGAGAAAAAAAAAAATAAGGAAAAATAAATCCCTGACCCCAAATCCTCACTGAGCATCTCCCAGCGCTCGAGGGGCTGCGGTGCCTCTCCCCAGCGGGGCAGTGCTGCCCTGCAAACGGAAAGCAAAAGGAGGCAGTCGAGGGGCTGAGGGTGCCCGCACGCGGCTCCTGGGGTTGCAGGGAGCAGCCGGGGGCGATTGAGGCCAAGCAGAAGTGACTCAGGCTGATTCACTCGCTGCAAACCCCACGTCAGGCCCAAAGTATGAGCCCCGGGTCTGCACGGAAACGCTGCTGCCTCCTCTCCTCGCGGACAGTCGGACGTATCCCAGCTGAGGCACGGGGCCGCTGCCTCTCGCCTCCCCCAGCAGCAGCTCGAGGTGTCTCCAGCCTGCTGTGCCCCGGAGGAAATCGTGTCAGAATCAATCTCCTGTGAAACGCCCTTGAAATTAAAAAGGGATGCTGCGTGCTAATCCCTTCCCGGCACACGCTGCCTCCCCCGTCCCGCTAATAACCACAGCGAAACGTTTCCAGTCCCCAGCAGAGCCCTTAGCCAAGGGCCTCTGGAATTCCCCTCTCACTGCGCTGCCGAAAGCTGGGTGAGGAGGGGGAATTCGGCCCCTTCCGAGAGCAATTGACTTCTGGAGATCTGTTTATTTTTCGCACTTTGCTCCAAATAAGCACTGGGAGCAGCAGGCACTCCTCTGCCTCGTCCTCCAGGCCCGCGGGTCCCGGCTCAGCATGGGAACGTTTGGGCCGGGCCCGCAGTGAAGGTTTCAGCCAAATGAAAGAATTTCACAGCAAAGGCTTCAGCCAAATCAAAGAATTTCTCACCGAGAGCTTCGCAAACATGTGTGAGTGCGTGCGTGACACACCTCTTCCAGGCAAACAACAGGCTGTGCCGCCTCCCCGCGCCTCCTTTGATCTCCAAAAGGCCCCAGCCAGCGCTCGGGCTGGATCTGAAAGGCGTCCTTCATAAAAAACATCTCCAACAATTACCCAGCGGAAGCGCTCGGGTTCACACCGCCCAGGGCAGCTGCAGCCACGGCTCCGAGGAGCAGCCCCAGGGTTTGGAGATGGGAGAGCTCCCTGGCATGTTCCCCAGGCAGAGGTGGAAGCCCCAAAAAGACTCCGACCCCAAATCCTCCCTGAAATGTGCAGAGTCCCCGTAGCCAGTACCTGCTACAAGCTATTCACACTCAGCTTTTTCAGCCCCGTTGCCATGTAAAAAGGCAAGAAATGAGTTAAAAAACAAGAAATGAGTTAAAAACCAGGACGTGACCACCGAACCAGGAGGGCAGGAGGCGCCCCACGAGCTGGCTGCAATGCCCACGGACGCCCCATCAGGTCCGGAGCAGAGCCCCAGGGCATCAAACCGAGGGAACTGCACGGCCTGGGGACAGTGCCATGAGCCACCCTGGCTCCAAAACCCCCACGGCACCACAAATTTGGGGTCCCAGCAGCAGCACCCTGAGGACGGGGCAGGCTGGGTTCCCTCCTCCCTGTGCTAACGACCCCAGGGCGATGCCCTGGTACCTCCCCCTGCCGCCGAGCCCTGATTTTTGCAGAACCCAAAGGGTTTCGGGCTGGCTGCGCTCGGGTTGAGTCAGCACTGCTGGCACTGGAGCAGGAAGCCGGGGCTGGCCTCCAGTGACTCACGTCCCGGAGCCGGCCTCGCCTTGCCAGGGACCTCTCCGGGAGCGTGCCAGCCTCCGCCGGAGGCGTTAGCCTGCTGCAGACAGGCACCGCTCGCTGCGGTGACGACAGCCCAAAGCTATGTGCTCCCCAGAGCCAGGACAGGCAGCGCTGGCACGTCCCTGCCGCAGAGGAATCCGGTGCTCACAGCCCAGGTCCCAGGTCCCGGGGCCAAGCACTCACCCTCCAGCTTGCTCTCGGCGTTCTCGGGTTGTTTCTCCTCCACATTCCTGCTCTCCCTCGGCTCCGGCTGCTGGGGCTGGGCTGGGGCAGCTCGATCCGGGAGGGGCAGCTCCTGATTTTCACCTGGGAGGAGAAAAAAAAAACAGACCCCACGCTCAGCAAGGGCTGCCCCAAGCAGAAGTTTCTCCGCAAGGACTCCGCGCCGTGCCGGCCCCGCCTGCCCCAAGCAGCGCCGTTCATATTCAACCCGGCGGCTGCGAGGGAAGCAATAAAAATAAATAAATAAATAAATAAATTAACAACCTTATAGAGCGGTGGCAGCGAGCCAGCGCTAACTACCTCGGCCAATTAAAATGCGAGAGGGGTTCCGAGCAGCTTTTAGACGGGCACTTAGCAATGTGTTACCTGTCAAGATCTCCCGGCTCCGCGTCCCCAGTGAGCTCGGAGACGCAGGGGGAACAGCACGGCACCTGACATTTGGTAGGCCAGCCAACAACTGTTTGACAGATATTACGGGAGCTGTCAAAGCCACCAGATTCCTCCCTTTCCCCAGCAGCTGCCGCAGGGGCCGTGCGTGCTCCCGGGCTGATCTCGTGCAGCGGAAAGGAAAAGCTGGGACGTGGGTAGGAGCAACCAGGGGCAGCTCACAGGGCGAGAGGAATCCGCTGGGGTGAGCCGCTGCAGCGGGAGCTTACCGGGCTCGGCTTCCTTCTCTGCAGCCTCCTCTGCTTTCCTGGGGGGCTGCAGCTTTGTTTTCTCCCCAGCCTCAGCTTTCTGCTCCCCGTCCGGCGCTGGTTGTGCCGGCTGCTGCTCCTTGTACGGCGGCCGGCCGCCCTGCTGCACCTTCACCTCCGGGACGTGCTTGGGATTCTTCGCTGGCTCCTCGGTCCCTCCCCGCGGTCGGTTCTCAGCCATCGCTTCCTTCCCTTCTTTCGGGCCCAGCTCCTCTTCCTGGGGCTGGGGCTGAGCCGGCTCCTGCAGCGAGGCGGCGGCGCCTTTGGCTGCCCCAAGCTTGTTCTCGTCGGATTCCTCCCGCTCCCGGCCCGTGTCCACCTGCACCTCGTCCCGTGGCACGGGCGGCTCGTGGCGGTGCGCTTCCCCCACGGGCAGGGCGATCCCTAGGGCAGGCAGCAGGCAGGGTTAGGGGGGGACAAAATAACACCCAGCAGGCTCCCAGCACGCACAGCCGTGCCCGGTACCCGTCACCCTTCTGCTTCCTCACCGAGAGGCTGCGCTCCTAACGAGCCCCGAGAGCTCCAACACGGAAATCACCTTCAACCCACGGGGCAGCCAGCTGAGATCAGGACCCTGACCTCACCGAAGCGCTCTCACACACCTCCCAACCCCAAAGCTGACGCCCCTGCCCCAAATTCCTCCTCACCTTGGTCGGGCCGGTCGAGCTGCACCTTCTCCTCCAGCTTCCCTCTCTCCTCGTCCCTCTCGGGTACCTCCATGGGCACCTTGATCTGCGGCTGCTCCATCTCCTCCTTTTCATCCAGCAGCTTCGGTTTATCGCGGTCATCCTCCGCCTCCTCCACCGCGGGGTTCTGCTCTGTGGACGGAGGGTTAATCGCGCCGGGTTACGCGCGGCCGCACCGCTGCAACCCCTTTCCGCCAGCACGAGCCTGCAGCTACTTCTCCACGGAGGGGCTGGGGGCTTTGTTCTGCCCCCGAGGGGCTGGGGGCTTTGTTCTGCTCGCCGTTTGCTCTCCCCGCAGCCGCTCTGACGAAGCCACGAGCGCGGAGCCGCTGCCGCTGCGAGCCCGTGCCGCCAGATGGTAGCATCCACCCGGCTGCCCGCCGCGGGGCACGCGAGCGCAGGGAGCCCCCAGCACCCACCCGCACCGCAGAGCAGCTCCGCGCCTTTTTTATTCATTTTGTTTGATTTTTTTCCCCTTTTTTTGCAAGAGCATTCCCGTAGCCCTCCCGATGACGCGAAGGAGCAGGAGGGAGGGGAGCAGCGCGACCCCGGGGAAGGTGGCACGCGGCCAGGAGCGCAATCAGGACACGGTCCTGCAGGGACATGGGGCTCTCGTCACCCCTCCCCAAAGGGATGGGGGCTCCTGGGACACAGGGCCCAGCACTGGAGCGGCCCCATAAGAGCCCCTAGGGTCTGAGGGCAATCCTGCTGGCCCCCAGACCTGCGCCGTGTGAGCACGGGGCTCGCTCTCCCCTGGAAGAGCAGCGGAGGAGGAAACGTGATTGTTTCCCAGCACTGAAGTTGTACTGTGCCTTTTTTTTTTTTCCCATCCAACAAACAGCAAAAAAAAAAAAAAAAAATCGTCTTCTGTAAGAAAAAATTCCCAACTCTCCCCCCCCCCGTTCGCCCTCCCTCCACCCCCCCCGCTTGTGATTTCCTTTGGGGAATTAATTCTATAAACATCTTTCAATTTTCTCCTCCCCCTCCGCAGGGCTGGTGCGATTTATTACGAGATGAACTCATGGGAAAGAGGAGATTGCCACAACTTCAGCTGCGTGGGCCTTACCCAAGTTGGGAAAAGAAAAAAAAATAAATAAAAAAAAAGAACAAATCGTGGCCCAGAGGGAGCCGTGCCAGGAACACCCCTGGGCTCCTTGGCCCCGGGCGCGAAGGGCCGCGCGCCGGCGCTGGCTGGCGGTCAGCACCTCCCCGCCTCGGCGCTGCTGCTGGGAGGGGAAAAAAAAAAGGATTGGGGTTTTTTTCTGAGAAACCCCAGCCTGGTGCTCAGGGGTCTCTCCCTCTCCGTTGAGGGAGTGCCCAGAGTTCAGCGAGTCAGGGCAGGACGCTCCTCCTTTCAGGAATAATCCGAGCGCAGGAAGCGGTGCCCGCTGCTGGCCGGGGGCCCTGGGAAGCAGGACGCGGGGCCGGCTGGGGAGGGGAAAAAAAAGGGGAAAAAAAAAACAAACAGGAGAGGAAGTTTTCCAGGCAAACGGAGGAGCTGGGGCCGGAGCGAGCCCCGCGTTGGGGCACATGGTGCTGTGGCAGGTGCCGGTGCCAGCGCCGCCCGGGGAGGCTGCGAGGAGCGCCAGCCCGAAAGCACGGGCGGGCTTCCACGGCCCGGCAAACAATGCGAGGAGGAGGCAGAAAGAAAACAGCGACGAAAACAAAAAAAGTCTCCAACGCCATAATAAGCCAAAGTTGCCTCTGAGCCGTCATTTGCTCAGCGGGAAACAAAATTAAGTTCATCATCGGGGCGTGAATTAACGACCTCGCGCGCTGCATGGAAACCGAGAAGGGGCCGCGTGCGGTTTGCAGAGAACAATTTTGCTCGGGCTGTGCAATAATCACTCTAACTGTCTAGTCGCCCTTCGGGTCCCTTCGGAGAACGTTACAGTAATGCTGCGCCTCTTAATGTTTTATGAGCGGCGCTGGACTTTACAGGCAGGGGCTGAGAGGCTGTAAAAGCTTCTTGGCTTTACAACAACAAAACCCCGGCGCTCGCCCCGCCGAGGGCTCGCCGCTCCCGGGGCTCCGCTCGCCTTCGCCGAGGCTTTCTGCAGCTGATTTGTGCGGGCGTGTGCGCGCCTCTGTCTTGTGGTTTGCCAGCAGCCTCTCCAGGCTGCAATAAAATTTCACGATTAGCAACCTAAAAGCTTCCCTTCCCCCCCCTCTCGCTCCCGGTTGGGGCAGCAGGAAGGTTTTTAAAGCCCTCCCCGCGGGGCTCTCACCGCGCTCTGTCCGCCGCAGTAGCACCGAGCTTCAACCACTTGAGCCCACCGAAATGGAGCGACCCCGTTTTGCAAGGTGTACAGGATGGGAAACCCCCTGCAGAAAGCGAGGGGAAGGGATGGGGGCACACCAGCCCCCCCAAAACCCCCGGGGAAGGCTGCAGCCCCCTGGGGACACGGAGAGAGCCCCCCCCCACAGCCCGAGCGGCGCCTCCAGGAGCTCCCCCCCGGCGGCCGCGAGGGTTCCAGATTTCACAAGGTTATCGAATGGCATCCCTGAAATTAGTTCACAGTTGTCTCCTGACGCACCAGCAGTAAAAAACCAACCCCAATTACCAGAGGCTGCCGGTTCCTTTTCTGTGTCACAGGCGCTATTAAAAGCTCGCTCGCACAAGGCACCAGGGAGAGCTGCGGCAGCGCCAAGCTGCTCCCGCGGCGCTCGGGAAGCGTGCAGAGCCCACGGCTCCACGCACGGGGCTGCTCCAGCCCTTAATAAATAGAAAATAACCCACGGGCACACCGCCTGCAGCCGACGGGGTCTCGTCTCGGGGTTGACGCCTGCCCGAGGAGGCTTGGTGCCGGCGGAGCAGCCGAAGGGGGACCCCGGTGTCACCGGTGTCACCTGCAGCCAGGGGACCCCTGCGGCCACGAGGAGCACGGCCAAGTCGAGGGCTTCCCGTGGCAGCGGGCGCTCTCCTCACGGTGTGAATCGAGGCTTTGTTAGCCGGGATTGCACAACGCCAGGGAAGGGAAAGGAAGCGGCAAGCAGCGAGTAAGGAGCTGAAAAATATTACAAAATCTTAATCCGCCCCGCGAGACCCTCTGGGGTGCTTTCAAATACAGAGAGAAATTGCCTAATTAGCTTTTTTTTTTTCTTTTCTTTTCTTTTTTTTCTTTTTTTTTAAATGGGTAATTGCCTTCATGAGCTTTCACGGGCAGCTTAGCAACCTTTTAACGTGCGCGCGCGCACGGCGCGGAGCGGCTGAAGGGTTCTGAAAGGGGTTTTATACCTTTCCCGAGGAGCTGCTGACAGCAAACCTCAAGCCATCCAGGCCTGGGGCTGCACCGGGCGCTTGGGTGTCGTTAGGAAAAACACCACTCGGAGCTCGCTGGTCAAGCCGCGTTCACATAAAAGGGCAATGTTCTAATATTCATCATCCCCAGACCCACGGGGCAGGGTTTTAATGAAAGTCTGCACAGTTCTGCCCCGTGCACCATCAAAGAGGCCAATAAATGCCGAGCGCACACTGCTGAGCACTGGGGGAGAGGGCTCAGCACCTCCCGGGGCTGTCCTTAGTGCCCCTCTTTGCCCCTCACCGGGGTGCAGGGAGGCTCAGCTCGAAGGAGCAGCACCCAGCAGCCCCCCAACACCGCTCCTCCTCCCGTCCTCCTCCTCCAGCACCACGGGGACGTCCCAGGGGGGAATCGGAGCCTCCACGGGGAGCCCAGCCCCAGGGTTTGGCCCAGGGGAGGTTTAGGAAGCGAGGGTGCCCCAAATGGATCCCTCCTGGGTAGGGGTATTTGGTCCAGAGGCGAGCACCCCGCGGGGAGGATGCTGATGAGCTCTGGGGGCACACAGGGGGTACAGCAGGGCAGCCCCCCAGCCAAGCCTCCTGCGCTGCCGCCCTGCTTCACGTGGAGAAGAAGCGAAGAAATTCAGCAAACTCCACGGACACCGCCGTTTATGGACCCTTTTTTTATTTTCCCAGCCACGAGCACCCGAAAGGAGCAGCTGTTCTTTGGCCGTTACCGCTCCCAAATTAACCAAGACGGAAGAATTCAATCGCATCCCCCCCTCCCGGCCCTGCTGAGCCCCATTAAGGGATTGAGAGCAGCTTCTGCTCGCAGCTCGCGGGCACCCCGGCGCCTGGGAAGGCGCACGCCTCGCTGGGGTGAGCTTAGAGGGTGAAGGGAGAAAAAAAAAACAGCACTGGCAGGGCCCCGAGTGAATGTTATCGGCGGCAGCACTGGCGTCGGGGAGACACCCAGAGCCGCTGGGCAGGAACTGCGGCCAAGAAGCAGGAGGGAGGATGGATAACCTCCAGGAGAGGCAGCCCTCCTCGGGCTTCCGCTCTCAATCTCCGCGAGGAGATTTCAAGGCCCCCGAAGAACAAAAAAAAAAAAAAAAAGCCCAAGGAGAAGCAAAGGAAAATAAACTGAAGGAACAGGACGCAGCCAAGGGGGAGCGCGGGGTCAGGCGACACCTGCCAGCGATGGCCTTGCGAGGCGAGCCCGCAGCTGGGGACGGGAGGGAGCGGCCGTAATTCCATCAGCGGGCGCAGTAAACAAATAATAAATAACGGGAACCGGTAAACAAAGCCGAGGCATAATCACAGGCTTTGTCAGAGCTCAAACCGAATCCAAATTTATATCCTCGCCACCGAAAAAAAAAAGAAAAAAAAAAAGGCAGTGCCCGTAAATTTACATACCTCTGAGCAGGATGAGTGGGGGCAACGTGCTGGGAGCTGCCCCGTTTGGCCACTCAGCCCTCGCACAGGTGGCCACCGCTGAGCTGTCCTCAGGCTCACTGTCCCCATGGGGAGGGGACACCCGTGCCCTGTCCCCAGCCCCGCACCCTGCCCTTCCCCAAGGAACAACCCCAAAGGGCACTGGAGAGCTGCCTGGAAACCACCCTGCACCCACCACGCTGAAAAAATAAAACAATTTAATAAGAGCGGGCACGTACCTGGCATTTTGACGGGGTCCTGCTCCATTCTGCTCTCCTCTCTTTCCAGGTGCTCCAAGCCCACCGCTTCTGTCTTCACCGGGGTGTCCTCGGTGGCAGACAGGGTGGTGTAGGTGCTAATAACCAGCATCCCCAGCCCGATCCACAGGATGATCTGCAGGGAGCAGAGCCTGGGTTAGCACAAAACCAACGGGACCGCTCCGCACGGCGTTTGTCACGCAAAGGGTCCCCAAAACAATTCGGAGCTCGGCGCAATCACACGTGCCAGTAAGACGGGAGAGAAGGGGAAGAGGCAAATAAGTTGTGTTTGGATGCAGAGGCACAAAGTGAGAGCCTCGGATGCTGGAAGCTGCAGAAATGACAACTCCTGCATCAGAAGGAAGCGGACAGGGCACAGGAACAGAAAAATGCACGCGGTGGCCAGGAGCCCAGCTGCAGAGGAGCACAAAATCCAGCCCGGCTGAGAGCAGAGGTGCCCAACCTGTGTATACGGGCTAGGAAGGGTTCCAGTAAATCATTTAAAATGTCCCATTTCTGAGTAAGACCTCCACACACCAGCCCTGGAGGTTAATGCTCCAGGAATGTGGTCAGGGCTAAGAGGAAGCTGCCAAGAAGCAAATCACCGAGCCCCAGAAAGCTGGGAGCAAACGGGGGAAATGCAGCAAGGCAAAACCTGGGTCCTGCGCAGGGAAGGGCTCCAAGAACTTCTCCGACTCGAAAAGGAGACGTCACCACCACCGACAAGGGAATTCCTACAGCTAACCTTATTATCTAGTGACCGGGCCAGCAGGGAAGCAGCTCCCTCCCCTCGCACCGGGGCTCTCCCCACAAACCCATTTCACCAAGGCGCACAGCAGGCCACGGGAGCAGCAGGAAAAATCGTATCTAAAACCCAAACTCCTCTGCAAGGCTGGAACTTTGCAGCAAGTCGTGTTTGTTATGCAGCAACGCTCCACACACACCTTTTTTTTTTTATTATTTTAACATAAATCTGAAGGGCTGGGGACCTGGCTCACTGCTGCTGCTCTTCACCAGGCAATGGTGCCAAAGTCTCCCTCTGCCAAGGAATCCTGCCTCCTGGGTACCCCCCCCTGCTCCGTCCTACAGGAGCTGCCCGGCCCTTCAGGTGAATAAATCCCCCTCCTGCTGCCACCTCAGCAGCTCACGAGGGGATGGGGAGAGTCCCACGGGATTCATCCTCTGCCTTGGTCCCCCCCCGGAGTCCTTACCCTGCAGCACAATTAACAAAAGGCACGAAAAAAGGACGCAGCTCGGCCGGAGAGGAACCAGCAGCAGCCGCTGGGGACCATGAACGCAACCAGGGAGCTGCCGTGGGCTACCGGAGGGAGGCAGGAGATGGAAAATAAAAAAAATGGGGGGGGGGGGGAGACAGAGACTGAAAGGCAAAGGCCAAGCAGGGCCAGCCCTGAGGGAAGGACGGGGCTGGTGCTTTGCTCCCCTCGTTGCTGGGCTGCCCAGGAGCGGGGTCAGCGCCCTGGGAACCCGCTGGCCCCCCCCAGCCACGGAGACGCCTTCGGAAGGAAGGGGCCGGCAGGACACGGAGCAGCTCCGGGCTGGGGACAGGCACGGTCAGGGAGCAGAGGGCAGATCTGAGAGCCTCTGGAGAGGAAACAGAAGCTCAGGCTGCTGCCTGCCTCGCCGCTGCGGCTGCACAAAGAGCAGACATCCTGCCAGCCTGCCCCACGCCGTGCGCTCAGCGGGTCCCTGCCCTCGGCGCGGGGGCTCCTCCGCTTCCTCCCCCCCGTAAAAAGGCTTCTGGTGGCCGCGCCGGCCCCTTCCAGAAACAACAGCAGAGAGGAAGAGCGTTCCCACAAAGGGGAGCTATTCTGGTGCCACAGGAACCAGGAGAGATGGGGGAGAGAAGGGAACCGTAGGAAACGGCTGAGAACACCCAACGTTTCCAAAGGGGGGGGGGTTGTTGGTTCTTATCTTCGTAGGGAACCAGGGGCTCGAATGCCTTGGACTCAGCCCCTCTGATTGTTTAAGGTTTGGAGATCACCTGCGAGCTTCCCAGGGCGCTGGGTACGGGCACACGTGGCATGGGGAGGCCGGGGAACTGCAGCCGTCCTGTGCCTCCGTGCTCAGCCCTCGGGGAGCGGCACAGGACCTGGAGGAGGAGGAGGTCTGTGCTTCGGACCAGGTCCACAGAGATGCTCATGGCACACAAAACCAGGCCCTTTGGACTCAGGGGGACGCCCAGGGAAACCTCTGGCAATCAGGGGACCAAAAGCTGCGAGGCCTCGGTGGCCCCAGGAGCTGGGCACTGCACAGGAACCACCCAAAGTAGCTGGAGCAGAGAACTGGGAGCAAGGGGGGGCAGCACTGTAGGGCTGCTGTGATCCCATGGGAAGGATCGGCCCCCCACGTGTGAGAAGGGGACCTGCCGAGAGCAGAGACCCCTCTCCAGGGCTCCTTAAGGGACAGTCAGCACAGCAGGAGTCCCCGGAGAGCAGCACCGAGAGCCCGGGAGCTCACAGGAGGAAGTTTACGCGGCCGTTTCCTCTGCTGGTTGCTTTCCCTCGGCCGTCCTTCCTCCCAAAAGACAGCTCGACCTTTGCACAGCGGTGTCATTAACCAAAGCCTCTCACCACGCCTGAGCCAGCAGCGGGACACGAGGAGGGTGTTTGTCTCCCCTGGGCTGCTCTGGGCACCGAGGGGAGGAAGGCAGAGCAGGGGGACGTCGTACAGGGGAGGTGCTCAGGGTGCTGGATGGACCCCAAGAGCCCACGGCGAGGGGAACCCTTCCCATCCCCAATTCCCGACCCCGAGCAGCCTCGTGGTGGCTCCTCTGCCCCACGGAGGACGAGGAAGCCAGGCTCCAGCACCAGGAGCCTCGCTGGGAGCTGTTTGCAGACCTCAGCAGGGCTCTGCCAAACCTCGCCCGGACCCGGGGGGCAGCGGGAGAGGGAGCTGCACCCTCAGGGAGGGCACACTCCTCCCCAGCCTGCTCCTCCCCAGCCCATTCCCAGCCCTGCTGCCTGGCTTTCAGCTTTTCAGCTCCTCGAGTTGCTCTAACACCTCTCGGAAAGCCAGTGTGCCGCCCCCAGCCCCAGCCTGACCAGTGGCTGTGCCAATTAACAACTCTAATTAACAACTCGCTGACAGAAGCCAGGGCTCTTTGCTGGCCAGCAAGGATCTGGGACTGCCCCCATCCCTCCCCCGGAGCCCTCTGTGCTGCTGTCGGTGCAGCTCCTGTCCCACAGCCCAGGCTCCATCCTCCCAGCTCCAAAAGGGAACCGGCACGGATCGGAGGCAGCCCCATAAAATCAGCACTGTGAGAGCCCAGGGAGCTCAGGCAAGCACCAGAGCTGGATTTGAGGAGGGCTGCTGCTTGGGGAGGGGGCTCAGGGTGGGACAGGAACACTCACGTGCATTGTTCAAGCCCAGGGCCGGCTCCTTCTCCCCCCGCCTGCCACTCCTCACAGGTTTTGAAGGAGCCTGATCAAAGCGAGCAGGAATGAAGGAGGAGAGCACAGACAGAGCTCCGGGGAAAGAATAAATGAGACTCTGCACAAGACCTGGGGGCACGAGGAGAGGCTGGGCCCCGCGCTCAGCTCCCGGAGAGGTGCAGGGAGGCGCTGAGCGGCTCACACAGCTCTGAGGACAGGTGTTGCCCTCGCAGCATCGGTCAAAGCAAGTATGCAAACCTGACAGGCCATGGATCACTCGGGAGCAGGCTGGACAGCTTGCTACCAGCCCCCTAAAATGCCAGGGTAACCCGGGGGCTGATGCTTGCGATAAGCCCGTAGTCCTTTGTGGGATTTCTGCGGGATAAACCCCCCCCCAGCAGCCTCGGGAGCAGCATTTGGGGTCACTGCGACCTCAACCCGGTGCTCAAGCCCTGGCTGCTGCCTCCGGGCAGCCGGTCGCAGAGCTCAGCACGCCCTGAGTGCAGCTTCAAGGCACTGCAGAGAAACGCTGAGGCTCAGCCGGAACAGAAAGCGATTCCTGAAAGTGCTCTTTGTTCCCCTGAAAAACCCCGGCTGGCAGTCAGGCTCCTGCTCGGGGTTTCAGTCAAAGGAGTTAGGAGCGGAGTGTCAGAATCCCGAGTGAAAGCTGGAAAGTTGGACTACTTCCTCGTGTCAGAGAAAGCGTGGGGAAAGGGGAAAGAAAGAAAGAAAGAAAAAAAAAAACACGCCCTGCTTAAAAACTTCGTGGACGTTTGCAAAGCCACAAGTCATTAAAGGCAGAGAAAGCCATTAGCTCTGTAGGACCCACAAAAATGTCCTGCTCTCCCCCTGCTGACTCCGCAGTTTGCTGAAAACCTTATTCCCAGCCCAGCGCTGTCGTGAGGGGTAACGCTGGAGCAGAGGCCTGCTAAAAGGCAGCGGATTAAGTTATTGTTAGAAAGAAACAAAACATGCGAATTTCAGCCCCATAAAAGCAGGCTATTTGCAGGAGCAGAAGGATCAAGCCCAGCAAAGAGCCACTTTGTTCCAGTCCCCGAGGAGGTCAATTCAACCCGGAGCAGGAGGAAAAGTTGAACTCCTACCAGCCTCTGAGCGACCCCGATCGCTTCAAAATCAATTCCTGGAGCAACACCTCTACGTGGGTGTTCCTTTTTATTATTATTTTGGTTGAAACCAGAAAGCTGAGGGTCAGCAGCAAGAACCGCACGGCTGGGAAGTTTTGTTTGTTTTACCCGGCCCGGGCAGGTTGAGCTGTAAGGCCCGGGCAGGTTTTATAGGCTGCCTGGATTTCCCCGTCTGTGGCTTACAGACCCTGAAAGCCCACCAGAAGGCGGGCTGGAAGCAGCATTTTAAGCATGGAGGGACAAAAAGAGCCGGTGTTCCAGCCCGGGGCAGGGCAAGCACGGAGCCACAGCCCCTCTGCTGCTGTCTGCGTGCCCGCGAGCGGTGCCGTGCAGGGCAGCGACCACGACAGCTCCCACCTGCAGCAGGGGGAGGCAGCAGGGGGGGTGCTGGAGGAGGTGCTGAGCAGTTTCCCTCCTGCAGCCCCAGTCCCTACGTTCCCAGGCTCCGCAGAGGGCTCAGGGGGATGTGAAGCAGCGTCGCCACTGACCTGTGAGCAGAGCGCGTTCTTGTGGATCTTCTTGTAAATCAGAGCCGGGCAGATGAAACAAATGAGGCTTCCCATCGTGGCACCCGTCAGGCCCAGGACTGTTTCCACTGGCAAAGAAGAAGGAGAGAGGTCAGCAGAGCCCTTCCCCTCCAGCTGCACGGCTCCCTGAGCCCCCCCAGGCTGTGGCCAAGCCCGATAATCCCACCCAGTGCAGCAGGACGCAGCCCCTGCCCCAGCTCCTCGCTCACCGTTGGGGATCATGATGCCTCCGATCATGGTTCCAAACACCACGGCCAGCGTCAGGGCTTTGAAGCGGAGCGGGGGCATGTAGCCCCCCGCGGCAAAGGTGCCATCCTTCTGCTGGAAGAGAAACATTGGGAGGGGGAGAGAATGAAGCGAGCCCCTGCTGCACAGCCACACGGCTCCAGGGGGGATAAGGGGGGCACGGGGGACAGGACAGGGGCAGTTTCATGAGCTGAGCGCTGTGCTCTCTGCGGGGTGGGGGGCAGCTAGACGTGGCTGAGCACTTTTAAATATGCAACTGCGCTGGAACCTTCAGAACAAGACTGATGGGAGGCAAGGAGCCAAATCTGCAGTTTCCATCCTGCCCCAAACGTGAACCGTACAGCTGTATCCGAATCCCTCTGCCAGTGCTGCTGCTGCTCGGCCTCTGCGAGTGGCCCCAAGGCCAAGGGCATGAGAAAGAGGCGCAGCTGGGAAGGCAGGAGAGGAGGGGGGGGGGACGGGCACGGGGGAAGAGCTCCGGCACAGCCACCCCACGGCATCCCCAACGCCTCGGGGAGCAGGGCTAATTCCCAGCACGGTGCGGCGCGTGGGTCGGCTCCTCGACGTGACGGAGCTGCGGGGGAGCTGCTGGTGCTGGAGGGCTTCCAGACACCCCCCGTTTCCCGTCCCGTCCCACACTCCCCGAGCAGGAGGTGTGGAAGGAAAGCACAGGATGCCACGGGCCCTAGGGACCCGGCAGGTCCCCGCGCTCCCGGCTGCAGGGGTGGGAGAGAAAAGCGAAGTGACACATCGGGGACCCGGGGGAGAACCCAGAGCGTCCCCAGAGCTGCTCTCCTCCACGCCTGCTGGCTTTCGCCAGCACTCTTCCCTCATCCTCAGACCCTCCCGACGTGAGAAAAGAGCCGGGGGCTTCTCACAGGCAGAAGTGGCAGGATTTAGAGCTATAAATTGCTCGAGTTTTATTTCCTGCCCTAAGAGGTTTCTATTTATGCAGATACACAAAGGCCTCAGAACATTCCCACAATCTCTTACTGTTATTTACTGAATACCATCGGCATGCTTAGTGCTGTACAATACACAGAGGAGAACACGCTACTGCCACAAGGGACTTACAGTCTAAATCAGACAGCCCAGCTATAGCCACAAAGGCTGTCTGAAGATCTGACCCTGGGAAAGGTGAACGTGTGGGAGAGGGGCGCGCTCCGCCGCACGGTTCTGCACCACATCGGCACCAAACAGCCCGCGAGGCACCGGCAGAAGGGGACATCTGAACCCGCAGAGGAGAAGGCTGCTCAGGGAGCTATTGACAGAGGTGGAAAGATGAGAATAATAATAATAAAAGAGCAGAAACGAGCAGGCACGCAGAGAAGAAATGAGGCCGGGCTCCGAGGCCAGGAACAGAAGCTGGAGCTAAATGCAAAGCAAGATCGAGTTGGCCAGCAAAAGGGTGCCAGCTGGAGCAGCAGGAAATAAGGAGGCTCCTCTGTTTCCAAAAGCACATTTCTCCCTCTTTGTGAGGGGGGGAACCGCTCAGCTCTGAACCGTGCGACGCTTCGACGAGAGAGCCGAGCGGGGCAGCGGCTGCCACGTGAGCTGGGGCGCAGCGGAGCCGTGGCAGGATCCAGACTCGCACCCCCAGCCCACGAAATTCCTCTGCAGGGAGGGAAGGAACCTCGGAGAGCCACGGATTAATTCTGCAGAGCGGGATTTAGAGACCGCCACGGGGCTCCTGCCGCACCGCTGCCACTCGGGATTTCACCGTGATGGAGGATTTGTCCCCCCCTGGGGTAGCGAGCGCCCCTCACGACTCAGAAATTCGTGGCTGGCAGCAGAGCCTCGCAGATCCAAGGCAGCAGAAGGCAGACAGCCACAGCAGCCCTCCAAAAAGCAAGTGTCAAAGGTGCAGGCCAAGGCAGGGAGCTGCTCCTGGCCGCGCAAGAGGCTCTTACCTGCTGCTCAAAGAGAAGGGTGTTCAGCGCCTGTCTGCACGGGAGAATCATCATGGGAAACCCCACGGCTACCGACATCATGAATCCCACGCGAATCATCTCCGTCACAAGGTTGGAAGGGAAGTTCATTAGGACGTTCCCAGCAATGGCTTCAGTGTAACTCACGTAGCCAAAGAACCCCACCTGTCCGGCAGGAGGGGAGGTGAGCAGAGGGGGTTTGACTCCAAAGCACATTCACACCCGCTCGCTATAAAAGGGGGGGTCGGTGACCTCCTGGGTGCAGGCCCTCCCTAAAAAGCAGAGGCGAGTTTCTCCCCAAGCACAGGGGGCTTTCGTGGAGAGCACTGCAGCAAGGGAAAGCTGCCGTGACCTCCGACACCAGGCAGCAACGCAGTGCCTGCTGCCAGCCCCTGTCCCACAAAGGATGGGCCGTGAGGATTTCCTGCAGCAGGCTGCCTCACGGGGGAGGCTGCTCTCAGGAATTATTAACTGCTCCCTCTGCATCTTTCCCGCTGCAACAGGGTGAAAGAAGCTCTCCTAAACCCAGGGCTGTGCCCTGGCAGGCAGGCAGCAGGCTGATGTGCACGGAGGAGCTGCGTCCCCACTGCCTCCACCCGAGGAAGCGTGCTGGGCTGAGAACTGGGGCTCTCCAAACGCCTCCTGCACCCTTCCCTGCATCATCTCCCAGCTCACTTTGCTTTCAGCAATCATGAAACATCTTTCAGAATCAATACAGCAGGAACCAGCCCCAGCTGCAGATAAACCATCGGCCCTGCTGCCCCTCCGCAGCACGGCTTCTGGCAAGGGAAGAGAAGGGGAAGTTTCTTACCGTGATGTAAAAGGTGGTGACCACGTTTAGGGAAGAAGCAAATATGGAGCTCATGATTTTAACAGACGGCTCATCCAAGCTATCATAGGTAGGCAAGACCTGACTGTAGAAAAGGGGCAAGTTATTTGAGGAAACTTTCTACAGAGAGAGAAAAAAAACGAACTCGAGCACGTTCCCTGCCTCAGCCCAGCAGCAAAGACTCCCTGACACCTTCCCCCTATGGAGCACAAACACTCGCTGCTATTCCACAATTTATACTGCCAATGCCAAGAGATTTCAGAACACTCATAACTTTAAGTGTTGCAAAAATATTCCTGCTCTCCCCACCCCACCACGTGGAGCTGAACGTGTGATGTAAACATTTTGGTTCAGAAGTGTTGCAAAATGAATGACCATTTGTTCCACTGAAACACCAGTGGCACCAGGCCAGGCAGCGCACTGCGATTATTGTTCTTGGAGCTGGCTGTGCTGATAATTAAAGCAACGCCGTGTTTACAGAGTAAAAGCAGGAAGAAGGTTAGAGCATCGCACTGTCTAAAAGAAAAGTTAAACAAACAAAGCTGAGCGCAGCGCCCGGCGTGTTGCAGCGCTGCTGCTAGGGCTCGGTTCATAGAAAGCTGGGAGCGCCAATTACACGGATTTGGGGTATTTACAGGCTTGGAAAGCATGTGGAATGCACTTTGTGACATCAGGTGCATATTTTAGCAACTCATTAACCTCTTGCTACTCGAATTCAAGTGGCTCCATCCTGGCTTCGCGTTACCCAAGTCGCTCTCAGGAGGAGGGGGGTGCATCCAGGCAGAGGGGAAGGGGCATCCCCAGCTCCAGTGGGCAAAAAGCCATTAACCCAGAGCGTGCGGAGCCGAGGCCAAACAGAAAAATCCTTAACCCTTAATCCCCTAACTTCAAAGGGCTCTGCACAAAGGGAGCTGAGCAGCAGCTTGAGGAAGCGATGAGATGCAGCCACCGGCAGGGACCGAAGCTTCCCGGGGAGCCGCGTGGCTTCGGCTCCTTCCCCGCCTGGTGTGCAGCGACCTCAGCTGGGTCAGCTGCCTGCAGACATTTGGTTTTCTTGGGGTTGGAGAAACTGCTCGGGGTCTGAAAGCGTGCTGTGGGGTCCTCCTGACTGCCAAAGCCAGGACAAAGCAAGAGAGGGAGCACGGAGCAGGCAGCGCGTGCTGGTGCGCCCGGGGTTTGCTTTTAAGCAGGAGAGCGCTGGAGGCAGCGACGCATCGGGGTCTGGCCTGATGAACACATCACACGTTGTCTGTTCTAGCAGCAGCACCTCAAAGAGGGTGTGAGCAGGTATCCTCTCCTCCTGAGCACAGGCACAAGCCAGCAGAAGCACCAAGACCTGACTCGGAGACGATGGCCTTGCTTTGGAGGGGTCGGAGCCGCCGTGCTGTCCTCACCCCAGGGTCGTGGTCACCCCGCAGCCTCCCCAAACACAGCAATACCTCTGCCTGCAGGGAGCTGGTGCTCAGAGGCAATGAACCCCCCTGACTTGTGGTACTCCTGTGAATTTGGCACTCGATGGGCTCAGTGACTCGACCAAGGTGAGGCAGGGAGGCTGAGGGGAGCAGAGGGGAGCCCCGAGTCCTCGCGCTCTGTTCTCACCCCACAGCACATTTCCGTGCTGCGCAACAGGAGAGGAGCGACCTACTTTGCAAGTTCAGCCCCAACAGGATGGCTTTTAAAGAGCAAAAGGCATCAAACTCTCAAGTAAACCACCAGTTTCTCAAGGTTTATTTTTCCTTACTGGATGCTGCCTTTACGTGCTGGAGGAAAGGGATTTTTGTTTTATGTTAGGATTATTTTTTTAAAAGGTGATTCAGAAGTGAGCAAAATTAAGCCTACCTAGCTGAGAATGACATGCTTATAAAGAGTGCTTGGCCTGGGGGCAGGGTATTGCCCTAATGCTTGGAAAAAAAACTCAGCTTTAGGTTTGGCTTGCCATGCCAGAGCTGTGATGGACTCTGTATCGAGGTACGTGCACGCTGGTCCAGAGAGAGGATTTCCCTGTTTCCAGCTCTCAGCAAAACCGTGCTGGGTACCGTGTGGCTACCACGAGAAAAAAAAAATGGGAATTGAAAAATTCTAAGATGTTAACAAGGTAAAGCTGTAGAAGAACACAACTCCCTTCGCCAGTTGTAATGGAGACATTAAACAGCAAGACTGGAGCGTGCTAGGGTAGGAACCAAGCTGCCAAGAGAGCCGATAAGTGGAAAATGATGATTTGGATCTTGCGTGTGGGTGTAAACACAGCAGTCTGAACAAATTTTATCTGTCACATTCATTTACTGCTGGCATGCTACCCATTTGCTAGAACTACAGGGGGGAAAGCCCAACTCTGCCAGCCTTCCAAATGAGGATGGTCTTTTCCGTGTCCACATTTGGATTTACACCTCTATTTAAAGTCTGTTTCTATTCTGGCCAAGCACGTATTGCTCACTTGCCATTCTGGTGCCGAAGGTAATGCTGTTAGAAGCACGGAAAGAGCCTGCTCTGCCATCAGGGCCTCCCGTGAGCCAGAGGAAACCCTCGCTGCAAGCAGGTAGCTGCAAACATGCAGCCAGCCATCCCGAGATCTGCTGAGTGCTCTCAGAGGTTCAGGGGAGCAGCCACAAGCACACGCTGCCCCGCATGCCATCAGGAGCCACGCAGCCTTCCCTGGTACTCAGCCATTCCCTCCAAGAAACGAGGGAAATTCCCCACTTATGGGGCTGCACCAGAAGCAACGTGCATTGCACCGCGGGTCTGTTTGGCCCAAATGATCTCACGTTGCCCACGTGCAGTAACTCCCCCGTGAAATCCAACTCCCTCCCCCACCTAGGGAACAAAAGGGGCACGTCTGAACGAGACGCCGTACTTCAGCGGGCTGGAAAAGATTTTGATTCGAAGAAAAAAAAGGAAACCAGATGGCATCTATCCCTCACAACCCCCCTGCCCTCACAAAGACGTCTCGCACGCCCCAGCTGCCAGAAGGGAAGGGCAGGTACTTACGACTGGCAGGCAAACGACATGCCGAAGATGGGGATGCAGCGGAAGATGCCCTCCCAGCGGGTGTAGCTAACTCGCTGCAGCCACTGCCCGCTGAAGAGGCCGTGCTTGAAGGACGACAGCACGATCTGCAGCCGAAAGAAAGAAAAAAGGGGTTAAGATCCAGCCCCAGACTGACAGAAAACGCCAGTGCTGGGGTAAAAGGCAGCACGTGGCAGCTCACGGAGAACAGCTCGCGCTGCCGACCACAGCCTGAGCTCTGAGAGACAAATTCCCCAGCCCCCCACCCCTCCCACCCACTTTAATAACACTCACGACAGCCTCACTGGCCCCTTGCCACCACGGATCCTGGGTGTATTTTACAAGATGTATGGCATTCCCCCCTGTTTGATGCCATCAGACATCACAGCACGCACCAGGGTGGAACAATTTCCACTGACACATCTAACTGTGAGAGTTATTGTTCCCAGAATGTCTTTTGCGCTTTTTTTAAAACCGTTTTTTACATCCAAACGAGACGCAGCATTTGCCTCCGAGATCCTGTTCAACAGAGAACGAGAAAAGTTCCTTGAAAAGGACCCCACCTGCCCAGTGCTACTCCAGAACCACTTAACACCACCGGTTCACTGAAGACAAGGATAAATTTCATGAAAAAAGGGGAGTGAGGCACCCGGTTGAGGCCAGGGGAGCTCTTTGGCCATTGACAGGGAAGCTGGCAGGCATTGGGTTGCACAGGAAACAGAAGGTAAATATGTCTGAATGCCTGTTTATAATATCGCCTGAATGGGGGTTTTCTAATCCCCAGAGATTACGTTTTAGGGCAGCCAAGTCTCATGAAATGTTGTGGTTTTCTTAAAGGCACAGCTTCTGGAACACAGGAGTTTTGTAAAACACTCATTTACAGTTTCCAGGCTCGTTACAGAGGCAAACTCAGAAGTGTGACACAGCCCGACCTACTAAAAAAAACATTAAGTACAAGAAATCTCCACTCCTTCCTATTTCTTTCGTTTCAGCTCTTCCAGGACTGAAATTTGGGGCAGATCAGGCTGGGGCTCCAAGATCAAGCTGCACGAGCATCCACGGAGCACAAACTGAAGTCATTACAAGGTACATAAAGTCCCCACCTCGCAGTGAATGGTGCTGCGTAGCGAAGCTTGGCCAAGCCAAACAGGGCGAGCTTTGGATCACCCTCCACTTACTCTACTTGATCTAAATGGTCAAGAATCCATTTATCTCAGTAAAGGAGAATGCTTCGAGAAAAATCTGTGAACAAATAAAACGCCCTTGTACCGGGGCTGAGAGTTTTGAAGCTTTCCCTGCACAAGAAACAGAAGTGGTGGTGAACAAAGTCACAACCCTCAGCTGCAAAAAGCCTGAAGGACGCGCGGTTGTTAACGGGAATCGTCCTCCCACGACACGCTGCAAGCGCTGAGGTTTCAAGGCAAAGCTCTAACATTTGATAAAAGCCTTCCTGATTCCAGGAACTTTCCCCCCCCACATCTCCCATCCTCTGATTTAAACTTCAGAGCCCTAAATTACGAGATACCAACAGGAGAATGAACCACAAATGCTCTCGGCCGCTGTAATCCGGTGTTTGTGAGCGCACAGAGCCTGCTGGCCAGCTCCTGCTCGCTGTGCTCCTGCCCTCAGGAGCCCGAGTGATGCAGCCTGGTTGTTACACCAGGCACTCTCAGCACTCTTTATCAGGAAGGACGCGTTAAACTTGAGCCCTGCACCTGCAGGCTGTCCCAGCAGGGTTCGAGCAGGAACATCTGCGGTAACCCCCTGGGAAAACAGCGTTCCCAGCCCCGATACCCACCACGAACATGAACACGGTGTAGAAGATGAGCGCCATGGCACTGAAGGACTGGATGGAGGCCATCATGTTCCTCTGCAGGCTCAGGGGAAGCACGATGCACAAGGAGACGGCGAAGAGCAGGACTATGCGGAAGCTGCCCGACACCTGGAAAGGGAGCAGCAGGGAGAACTGAAGCACGCTCGAAATACCCCGGGGGAGCAGCAAAGCAACTCCCGTCCGTGATTCTGCAGGGATTTAAAGATCTGATGCTGCCATTCCCACAGCCAGCTCTGCGAGGAGCTCACGCAGTCACTGGGTGACACTGTTGCTCTACGCCGTGTGTGACAGGTCCACCCCGAAGTGGAAATGCGGGGAGGGGGGAGCTTTAAATGCTAATCCAGCGCCAGCCAGCTGAGCATTTTCGTGCAATTAAATCAAATCCGAACTTACTCGGGAACCAGGAGATTGAAGTCTTGAAAATTCTGATCCAGAAAATTAATCAAAACCTCACATTGGTATTTATTATAGCAGAACACTCTGAAACGCTGGGAAATATTTAATACCTCATTTGGCTGCAGCCACGACGCATCTTTTTAACTTCACAGTCCCTTAATCAGAGCTTAGCAGCAGCAGGCGGAGCAGATAACGGCCCCGCCAAAGCCCCCTCCACAGCCCCTCTCTGCTCCCCTCCTCCGGGGGCTGCTGCAGCCTCCAGCACCAACACCGGGGCTGCCACGGGGCAGATTTCATCCCCGAGGAGGCAGGTGCTCCGTGGCTTTGGCCACTAAAACACCGAGGGAAAAGGGCAAAAATCCCTCTTGAGCCAGGGGGCTGCAAAGGGGTGAGCTCAGAACAGGCTGGCACTGCCTGGGAGGGGCTGAGAATTAGGACAGGGGGAGTTATTTCCTTCACAAATCTGCTTCAGAATTAATAGTGAGCAATATTAAAAGGATTCATTTTGTTGGCCGTGCCTCACTGGAGGTGTTGCACATCTGACTGTTCGGCATACGTCTGAGCTTCCAGGACCTCACAGAGCAAAAGAATCGGACTTGATGATCTTAAGAGGGTTTTCTGTATGATTCTAAGGAAATTCTGCTCACAAGGTGTGCTGTTACAGCCTGCCAGGAGATGACCCCACAGCAGCCCATGGCCTGCCACCTGCACGGGAGAGGCAGCGCAGCGAGGATTCGATTTACCTGGAATCCGAGGAGCCGAGCAAAGAAGTTGGACCCCAAATCACCAATGACAACATAGAAAGCAATGCAAGTCCCCAGCATCAGCCCGATCATGCTGCAAAACAACAGGACAGAGGTTAGGAGGCTGAAGCAGGAGCCCTGGAGCGCAGCTGCGGCACAGGCGAGGTCTCAGGGGCCTCTCTCTGCGCCCAACCACGACAGCCACAGGTGGCTCAAAACCCTCCCGCGCTCTCCCAAGAAGCTTCCCGAGGATTTACAGGGAAACAGCAAATGGAGAACCTTTAAAATGCCTTCAAATCCATGCAGCCAGCTGCTCGCTTGTCTTCAGTGGGGAAGCAGCCCCAGAGCACCTTGCTCTGAAGCACGTCCACGCCCAAACTAACCCAAGTTTTTGGCACATCAATGGAGATGACCGCCAAATTTTGCAGAACCCACCCCAAAACACATTTGGTGACCAGCAGTGAAGCAGGTTCTCCATCCACAGCAGCTGCCTGCATGGACCAGCAGCATTTGAGAAAGATTCTGCGTATTTTTGGTGCTCGGCAGCAGGGATCAGAGAAAGAGAGGGCACCAGAGCCCGGCCAGAGCACAAGATGCCTCCACCAGGGGATCTCTTCTGGAAAAGGCAGCGTGGTAACAACACCCCATCGCCTGCCTGGGCTGCTGAACAACCTGCGAGGGATTTTCTGCAGCAAGGGATTGTCTGGGGTCAATTTTTTGTCAGGGTTGTCCAAGGAACAGGACCACCAGCCCTGGGGACAGGACTTCCACCGCAGGGCACCTCCCAGCGCCTGGGGCCCCGCGGGGCAAGGCGGCACCGAGGGGAGGAGCGGGCGGCTCCGGGAAGCCAGAGGGCAGATTTGAGGTCCTGACCTCTCCTGCGAGCTCACGGCAGCCTTGGCAGGGATCTCACCCCTGGAAAACAGCCACGAGCGACCTGCCCACGGTTTCCCAGCACGCAGCAGAGCCGGGGAGGAGCTCACGAGCTCAGAAGCGGGCACGAGGTGCTGGGGACAAAGTACACAGGCTGTGCTCGGGCACCTCGCTCACTTTCGTGTTCAAATTCTAGCTGCCAAGGAGGCCTGGTGGGAGCAGGAGAGGCAGCAGCACGGGAAACGAGCACAGAAAGGCCACAGGAGGCACGGGAGCATTCCTCATGAAAGCCGAGCTGTTCGAGCTTTGAGTGCAGGTTACCTTGTTTCCACCAACATTTTTCCTGCTTTTCCATAGGCGTGAAATGCTGGTGTAAGAGGGAAAAAAAAAAAAAGTTGCAGTTAATGCAGGGAACGTCCCAAACATCAGTCAGAAATTCAATAATAACAGTGGCAGAGGGCAGCAACCCGCCAGGGCTGGGTTTTGGGGCTGGTTTCCCTTGCCCACCCTCCCATTTTCCTTTTCAGCCACTCCCTCCACAAACTGAGAACCACATCAGACGGGTAAGAAAGACGAGGGGAAGACAGACAGCAGGTTATTTTTCCTTTTTTTTTTTTTTTTCCTTCTTCCCCATTCTATTTTTAAAAAAAAGGAGCGCGAAGCAGCAGCCACACATGGCAACCATTAAAGGCAAGTCGGCGCGGCGGAGGGAATGCGCACGTCGAAGATGCTGCGTGGCGAGAAGCGACCGCGGCGCAGAATTGCAACCAAGCTCCCCCTGTTTTATTTTTATCTCCCCACTCGAAGCGAGCCGCCTGACGCTGCTGGATGGGAGAGCTGAGCCGGTGCCCAGAACGTTCAACCCCACGCCCAGAACCCCCGGCACTCGCAGCCCACACCAAAGGGCTGCTGCCAACGCTTGGCTCCCCCCTTCCCGTGCTGGGGCTGGAGCGGAGAACGGTCGCTCCTCTTCAAACCATTGTTTTTTTTCTTAAAAAGAAAAAGCCAAGAAACCGCCGCACGTATTTTTAGATCTCGCTGGGCAGAGTGGGAATTGAGGCCTCCAGTTCCAAGCAGGGACCGCGCTGCCCGCCCGTGGCACTGCAGAAGCCCAGCACGAACCCCCCCCGGGTTCCCCTCTGCCCCCTCCCCAGCGCCCGCCAGAGAGCAAATTTATTCCCTCCTGGAAGCTCCCCCTGTTATTTTAAATATTAACTTACAATCGACGGTTCCTTTGGACTCGGCTCGAGTTAAAAATTAAGGAGACAGCGTGTTCTCCCGCGGAACGAAAATAAAATAATAAAAAAAGGCTCAGCGGGAGGGCGGCAGCAGAAAAACAACGCGGAGCTGCGGCGAGGGGCAGCGCCGAAAATAGCCGGCGGTGCGAGGAGCAGCCTCCAGCTCTCATCGCCCCCGGCTCCATGGGGCTGGCACGAGGGAGGGGAGCCAGCAGGGGATAAAAACGATAAAAACGTCCTCCCCGGGGGCTGCTGCAGAGGCCTGGTGCTGTGGCACTGACCCCGGGGCTCCTTTCTGACGCCACGCAGCCTCGGTGCCTCCTGTTGGTGGCAACCAGCAGCCTGCCAAGAGCAGCCTTCAGAAGTTAGGTCAGATATGGGAAAATTGGGTCCGTTATCTGCTCGGGGAAGGGGATCTCAAGCTGGGCAGAGCCGAACCCGCTCGGTAATTAGAGAAACCCTTTTTTAATTGTGGTCACTGCACCGAGCAGCCTGCATTTCGGCACTTCTCGCTGCAGGGAGCTGCCCGAGCTGCTTCTCCTCTCCCCGGGCAGCCCAGCCCCGCAGCCATACAGGACCAGCATCAGCCCGGTACGAGCCCGGCTCTTTTGTGCCCCCCCCAGCTCTCAGAGCACCTCCGGAAGGGCCCCCAGTCCCTCGGCGCTGCCAAAGCCTCCCCCGGGCTCAGCTGCAGATGCAGCGGGGCGCAGGCGGGCGCTGACAAAGGCTGCCTGTGTGGAGCTGCCCGGCCTGGCTGCATTAGGATGCGGCGCGGGAGCCGCTGCCTTCTCCTCCCAGCGCCCTCCCTTCCCCTGCCCGAGCCCCGTGGCACCTCTCCCAGCGCCCGGGGAGGGAGGAGAGGCTTCGTTCGGCGTGCCAGGAGGTGCCAGGAGATGCCAGGAGGTGCCAGGAAGCTTGGAAACGTCGCCAGCCTCTGTGTACCCGAGCCCCTTGGCTCTGAAAGCGCCGAGGATCCCTTTTCCCTGGGGGAGGCGACACACCAGGGCTGGTTTCACCGCAGCCGGGTGCTACCTGAGGGCTCCTGGCTGGCTCAGCTTTCCCTCCAGGCCCAGAGGCACGGCCTTGGAGGCTGCGGCAGTTTTTGCCCTGTTTAGTTTCCAGCAGATAAAGCCCGGCAGGAGCCGAGCACTTTGGGCACCGCGAGCGTGGAGGAAACCCAGCTGTCAGCACCCCGAGCCACTCACCTCCCAAACTCCTTCCCCAGCTGCCACCCAAAAAACTCCACCCCAAGAAAAAAAAAACACAAAACCAAGAGAAAACGATGAAAAAACCACCTCCCCTGCGCTTTCACGTGCCACCTGAGGGGGTCTCGAACCCAACCACCCCCTCGTGCCCCCCGCGGCAGGCAGAGAGGTCACCACCAGAGCCCGGCGCTGGCGCCAGCGCAGAGGAGCCGAGGCAGGGAGCTGGAGGGCGCTGCCAACTCCCCCCCCCCACGGCCCCCGCAGATGTTTCTGTTTTCCCGGCCGCCTGGAAGCTGGCAGCGTTTCCTCCCGGCTCCCCCCCAGCTCTGCCACAAACGCTCCGGGTGGCAGCTCCGTGCCAGGACCCGATGTCCTCGGCAGCGCGCTGGGCGGGGAGAGGGGGGCGGGGGGGGCAAAGCCAAATAATTGGCAGCAGGCGGCTCCCAAAAACGCTTGGGTTTCCATCACTCAGCGCCTGCATCCCCTCCCCTGCCCCGCAGAGTCCAAACAATTTGGTGCCCGTTAACCCCAGGAGCAGGATTAAAGCCTCCAATTCCTCCCCCCAGGGGACGGAGAGCGATGGGGGGGAACAGGGCACAGATTGAGCGCTGCCCCCAGAAGCTGCTGGGCGTGCCAAGAAAACCGGGCTGCAAGCTGTAAATTAAGAGTTTGGGGTAAAACCGCCGCCTAAAAATAAATCGGGAAAGCCAAAAGGAAGGCCGGGAGCCGGCGGCGCTCACCCAGGCCGGGGTAGGTGCGGCGCTTGCTGAGGTTGGCCGCCTTCACCAGGAACATGCAGGACTGGTGGGTCATCCACGAGCAGAAAACCAGGAGCAGGGCGCCCAGCACGATGCCGCACTGCGAGGGAAAAAGGGGAGAAACAAGGAGAAAATGGAAAAAAATTCAGCGACCTCAGCCCCACCCCCCCTCCCAGACCCCTCAGGATCCCCCTCAGGCACCCCCAGCCCCACTCATGCCCACCCAGGGGTTCCCCACATGCCAGCCCCGAGGGGACCCCAGCCCCGGATCCCGCAGCCCGGGGGGGGGTCTCAGCCCCCTGCTCACCTCCCAGCACTGAACGGGGCCGGGGGCTCGGTGGGACACGGCCCTGCAGCTCCTCCCGGTGACCCCCCCAGGGCCGTGAGCGCTCCCCCGGTGCCCCCAGGCCCTGCAAAGCACCGGGACCCGCTGCAGACCCCAGGGCCCAACCTCTGCCCTTTTTACGCCCCCCCCACACCACGGGCACGGCACCGGGCTGCCCGCTATGGAGACACCGGGGAGGGGGGGGGCACCGGGGAGGGGGGGGCACCGGGGAGGGGGGCCGTTACCCTCCGTTTTTTTTACCGGACGCCTCAATACGGAGCCAGACCCCCCCCCACCGACCACATCACCCCCGGTGCAGCCCCCCCAGGGCCTCCCCCGACCCCACCGGGGGCCTCCCCCCCCGGGGGCCTCCCCCCCGGGGCCTCCCCCACCGGGTACCCCCCCGGTGCCGTTGCCGGTGCCGGTACCTGCCGGAAGCAGAAGGGCACGGTGAGCACGCTGACGCCCACGATGCTGTTCACCACGTTCATGATCAGGCCCCAGTTGGAGCCCGGCGCCGCCGCCGCCGCCGCCATGGCCTAAACCGGTGCCCCCCCCCACCCCCCCCTCCCCCCACACCCGGTGTCCCCCCGGTCTCCTCCGGTACCGGAGCTGCCCCCCCACACACACACACACCCCGCAGGGCCCCTCCCCGCCCCTCAGGGCCCGTCCCGGCCCGTCCCGGCCCCGCCGCCCTCCCTCAGCCGCCCGCCATGGCGGCAGCGCCCCCGCCCCGCCCCGCGCCGGCACCGGCCACAGCGGCACTTCCGGCTTCCGGTGCTCCGCTGGCGCTTCCGGCGACGCTCTAGCTGCCTTGGAGGACCGAGCTCGCTGCTCCTGGGAGGACTGAGGCTAAGGGGGGGGGGCGAGACCCCCCTGGGACCCCTCTGAGCCCCTCCCCGGGACCCTCCTGAGCCCCTCCCCGGGCCAAGGGCCCGATCCTGGCTTTGTGGGGCTGTGTGGGGCTGCCCCTGCCTCCCCCAACCCCAAATGCAGAGATTAATGCAGGGCCTGGGGGGTGTGGGGGGGGGCACGACCCCCATTCCCCATCTGTGGGACCCCCCAGGGCAGTGGGGTGGGGATGGGGTGGGGTGGGGTGGGACCCCCACAGCCCCTACACAGCCCCAGGCACAGGGCAGGGGGGCTGGGACCCCCAACGAGGCCTCATCCTGGGGCAAATCCCCACCAGCATCACCCCAAGGGGATGGGGGGGGCAAAAAGGGGGGTGCCCTGCGCTGGGCTGGCACCCGAGGGGCTCACACAGGGGGTTAAATGCGTGCACACGAGTGTACACGCGTGTATGTGCATGCACGGCCATGGACACAGCTGCACATGCATGCACACGCATGCACACGCATGCAAGCACCCAAGTGTGCACACCTGCAGACACCCAAATGCACACCCCTGCACACCCAAAAACACACCCATGCACATCCAAATTCACATGCACGCACACCCATGCACACCAAAATGCACACCCAAATACACACCCCTGCACACACACCCCACCCCCTGCAGCATCACCCCAGGCGCTGCCTTTGCCCAGCCCCTGCCCTCCCCTCCTGCTCTTGCACACGCGTGTGCACGCCTGGCCGTGCACCATCCCCTCGTGTGCCCGCGTGCACCATGCACACAGCAAGGCTGGTGCTCAGACCCAACCCAATGCACCCCACTGAGCACAGCCCCATGGCCGGACCCCCCAAAAAAAAATAAAAAATGGGGGTTTGCATGGGCTCAGAGGGGCTGGGGGCGCACCCGGAGCCCCCCAAAACCCCCGAACCCCAGGGTCAACCCTCGGAGATGGGGGGGAACCAAAGGGCAGACCCCGTGGTGGGGCTGCCTCGTGCCCGCAGCAGCGGTGTCAGGGTCAGGGCGGCGCGAGCCAAGGTTCCCATGCGCCCGAACGCGCGGCGCTCGTATAATTTGCAGCAATTGCACTGGGTAACCGCAGGAATTTGCTCTACAAAAGGTTGGCGGGGAGGTGGAGCGCGCCTGCCTAATTCCCTCCAGGTGCTACCGGGGGCTGGAGCCGCGGCGCCGGCTGAGTTTTGGTGCCTGCTGCTGCTCGAGGCAGCGCCAGGTCCCAGGAAGGATTTTGGGGGGGAAGGATTTTGGGGGAGGTTTGGGGGTGTCGCTGGCCCTGCTGCCAGTGGGGTCCTGGGGATGTGGGGCTGGGGATCCGTGGGGCTGGGGATCCATGGGGCTGGGCGCAGGGTGGCCCAGTGTCCCCACGCTGTCCCCAAGGCATCCTCAGCCCCCTCAGGGCCAGGAGCACCCACGGGACCAGCAAAAGTCCCAGGAGCAGCGTGTGGGGTGCCCCTCCCCACAGCCACAGCCCCCTGCTCTGGTTTAGGGCTGCCAGGCGGGAGGGGACCCGATGGGATGGGTCCCCTGCGTCCCCTCTCCCTGTGGTGCTGGGGGCTCGGCTTGGGGTCATGGGGGGGCTGGAGCTCCCAGATGTGGGATGTGGAGCCTGGAAGAGGGATGTGGGACCTGGACATGGGACATGGGACAAGGACATGGGACATGGGACAGGGACATGGGATGTGTGACCTGCATATGGGACGTGGTACAGGGACATGGGACGAGGGACCTGGACATGGGACCCCCACTTCCCAAACCACCTCCACCCCTCTGGGAGCAGAAACACCACCGTGACCCCAACTCTGCGGGCTTCCCGTCCCCCCCCTGTCCCCAGGCGAGGGGCTGGCACCAGGCACCCCCCACCCAAATAGGCTCAGCACCCTCCGGGGGGCACAGCCCCCCCCCCCAGGCACCCACGGCAGCCCCCTGCCTGCCTGGGAAGGGGAGCTCACCTTCTCCCTGCGCCGAGGAGGAGACATCTGCAGCGAGTTAGAGGGGAAATCATGTTTATCCAATTAGTTTTACACGGCCCCTAACTCAACGCTGGCAGAAAAAAGGGCTCAGGTGGCCGCTCCGCGTGCTCCACGGCCGCCGGCAGCCAGGAGCACGCCGAGAGCTGGCTGCCTGCGAGCCCCCACACTGCGGGACGGGGATGGGGACCCCACTGGGACCCCACGGGGACCCCGACCCATCCTGGTGATGCCCCAGCCGTGTCCCCGTCCCCACTGTCCCCATCCCCAGGTGGGACTCCTGGGGCACTGGGATGTCCTGGGGGGCCCTGGGGGAGGTGTTGGGAGGCTCCATCCCCACGCTGTGCCCACCCCTGGGGTGCTGGGCGAGCTGAGCCTGGGGGCTTTTTGGGGGGCTCAGGGTGGTGATGGCTCCGGTTTTGGTAACCGTCTGCTTCCACCTCTCCTGCCCCTTTCCCTGTTTCTCTTTTCTCCCTGATTTTTTTTTTTCTCTTTTCTCCCTGATTTTTGTCTCTTCTCTCCCTGATTTTTTTCTCTTTTCTCCCTGATTTTTTTTCTCTTTTCTCCCTGATTTTTGCTTTTCAGAGCAGCCCCCCTCGAGGCGATTTCTAAAGCCCCGCTGAGGATCAGAACTCCGTTTTCCCTCCTAGTAAAAGGGGGCAGAGCAGAGGGCACGGCCACTCTGGCACCGCTCGCTCACCCCCCCGGGGCCCTGGCTGCGCACCCAGGGCTGGCCCAAAGCCCCCCACCCCCAGGACAACGTGCTTCAAGTCACCGTGTCCCCAACCCCACTGGGATCCTGCAGCCGCTCACCTGCAACCCAGCAGCACCCAGCTACCGAATAGTGGGGGCCAGCGGGGGGCCACCGGCAGCCCCCGGAGCTGCTCCTCCCCTGCATTTTGGGGCAACCCCCCCAAAATCAGCAGGAGCTCGGTACGGCGCTGTGCAGCCCGCAGAGCTGAAATAAAGCAGACAAATACGGGATAAAAGGGAGCGAAGCCGAGGGGGCTGCTGTGCAGGGGGCCACGCCGTGAAGAGCGATCGCTGCCGGCCCAAAGGTCTCCGAAATATTTATTGCTGGCAATAACCGCCCGATATTGCCTCGTGCTGCTGCTCCTTCCTCCTTCGCCTTCTCTTCTTTTATTTGTCCTGCCCCAAGCAGCACCTGTGCCCCATCCTCTCCTCCCCTCCGGGAGCAGCTCCTCCGGGGGGGTTCCTGCCCCCCAGGGCCAGATCCTGCTCTGCCCTCCCAGCCCAGGCACCTTCCACGGGACAAGGAGCAGAATGTGGGTCACGGACGGGGTGGGGGTCCCAGTGTAGGGTCCTGGGGGTCTTCCACGGTGCAGCACTGGGAGCCCCTTCCCAGGCTGCTGGGTTTTGCTGGGGTGGCAGAACTGCTCCGTGGGGCTCATCGCTGCCCGCAGCCCCCAGGGGCAGGATGCTCGGGGGGGGCACCCGGCCCCGTCCCCAGCAGCAGGGAGCAGCCAGGGCCGCCTGCTCCACGCGACCGCGGCCACCCCGAAGACAGATGCTTGGCAGAGCCCGGGAAGAAGACGGCAAGTATTTAAAAACATAAATTAAAACAAATTGCGTTTTTATATTGCAAATAAGGGCAGTTTTATCGGTTTTATTGCATAACAACCATTAATGAAGTGCAGTTTCAGGCACCTTAATTGCTCGGAGACTAAAGTTCAATCCATATCTCCGGCGCGGGCTGGAAGACGCCGTGTGTCATGCGAGTACCTGGCAGCTTGGAAATGTAAATAAATTTATGGGCACCATTAGGAAAACGGAGGAGAGGGACCCCATTTATCCAGGCTATTTATCCGGGAGGGAAGCGGCGCGAGTCCAACAGCGCGAACCGGCCGGGGAAGGGGGGCAGCGGGGCTGCAGCATCCCCTTGGGGCCACCCCGATGTCCCCAAAACAACCCCGTGGTGTCACCCCGATGTCCCCCCAGTGTCACCTTGATGTCCCCCCAGTGTCACCCCGCTGTCCCCACCGGGGGGTCCCCACCAGGACCAGGGGAAGCGAAGGCTGTGGGGAGCGTGGGTGCCGGTGCGTGGGGGGCAGCAGCACCGGGAGGCTGCGGATTAGGGCTGGGGAGGGAAAACCCCGGCCCCGGCCCCAGCCCCACGACCACCCACGCGCGTCCGTGCGACACCCGTGGACCCCCCCCGTGCCCCGCAGGCGCCCACGCGCGGCCCCGCAGCCACCGGGGGCGCGCACCCCACGTGAGCACGGCCACGCTCGCTCCCGTGCAGCGCGTGCACGCCCCGCGGCCACGCGCCAGGCTCAGCACCCACGAGCCCCCCGCCCCCCACGCGCGCCCCCACGTGCCTGCGGCGCGCCACGGCCCCCTCCAGGCCCCGCCCCCCGAAGCGCGCATGAATGGGCTCGCGCCGCCCCGCCCCCCGCCCAGGCCACGCCCCTCTCCTTTTAAGGCACGAGGCGCGCCGCGGTGGGCGGGGCTTGCCCCCAGCCCATGCTCCGCCAATGAGGGCGGCGCGCCGAGCCCCCCGCGGGCGCCGGCCTTTGTTTGTGCGGGGCGCCGGGGCCAATGGGAGCGCGGGAGGGGGCAGCGCGGACCAATAGGAGCGCGGGGGGAGGGGCGGCGCGGGGCGGCCGGGGATGCCCCTGCCCGGCCACGTGCGCGCGGCGCCGCCACCGCGGGGCAGGGCCGGGGGCGGCGGCGGCGGCGGCGGGGAGCGGGGCCGCGCCCTCGGGTCCCCGTGACCCCCCCCCCCCACTCCCCCCCTCAACGGGGTCCTGCCCGGGTCAGGTCCCCCCAGCCCCCCCCGGGTTGTGCTCGTACCGGGGACGGGCCCGGTACCGGGCACCGGGGTTGCGCCGAGCTCCGGGAACGGCCCCGCCGGGCACCCCCCGGGACCGGGCGAGGGTCCCCCCCGGGGTTCCCGGTGCACGCTGGGGTTACCCGCGGGCTGCCGGCCCCGAGCACCGCGGGGCTGATTGCGGAGAGCCCCCCCCGGTACCGGCAGGTCGCAGCCGCCCCCCCTTACTGACGGCTCCCGTTGTCCCGGGGCTGCGGGGTCACGGCGGGGGCTCCCCCCCGCGGCCCCCACCGGAGCCCTGTGACCGCTCCCGGGAGCTGCGTGGGCAGCGGGGCAGGGGCAGCCCCGGGGGGGGGGCGGCGGGGAAGCGCCGGTTCGTGCCCCCCCCCCCCCCCCCGGGCCGGGAGCGAGAACAAAGGAGGCGGCTCCGCGGGGGGGGGGCCGTGCCCCGACCCCGGTGTGTGCGGGGCTGGGGAGGGGCTCGGTTGCTCCCCCCTCATGGGTTTGGCCCGTGCCTGTAAAGAGAAGCCCCCCGGTAACGAGTTTTGTCAGGGGAGCCGTTACCACACCGGGACCCGCACGTCCAAACGGGAGTTACCGGGACGTTACCGGGATGCTCCGGGACATTGCCACCGGGATTTTCGCATCCCGGCACCGGCGGGGCTCGGCCAGGCCCCCAGTGGGGACAGGGGACACCCGGCCTGGCTGTGGGACGGGGACAGGGGGCTGGTCCCAGGCAGCTCCAGCCCCAGTGGGTGCCCCCCCATCCTCCCGTCCTCCCCCCCGTGGTGCCAGGGGACACCCCCGCACCCCAAACCCGCAGCCCTCACGGTGCTGCTGCCGTGCCACCACCGTGGTGTCCCCGTGTCCCCTGCCACCAACTGTGACACCCTCGGGTGCTGCTTGTGCTGAGCAGCTGTGAGCCCCCCCGAGGAGTCTGCAGGGGCTGCTCTGGGTGGGGGGCTCAGTGATGAGGTCCCCCCCCAGTGGTGGTGTCCCCAGGCTGGTGGCAGGAACGTCCCCGTGCCCGGGGTCGCTCACCTGGGATGGGGCCGGAGCCAGGCTGGGTGCGGTGGGCACCGTGGGGGCTGTTACGGGTGGCATGGTTCAGGCACCCCCCCGGGCACGGGGCCGGTCCCCCGGCAGCATCCCGGCAGCCTGGAGCTGCTCCCGGCCTCCACGTCCGCTAATCTGCCCTTTAATCAAGCAGCCGGGAAAAAAAAAAATCAGGAAAAAAAAAAAAAAGCAAAATACAAACAACAAAAATAAAATTCAAAAAAATATAAATAAACCCAAAAGACAACAACAATTTATTTTTATTTTTTTTTTAAATGAATGCCAAACAAACACCCAAAGCAGGCGCCTGCTCCTGGCTGAGCGCACGGCTCGAGGCCGGGGCGGCTGCCGGAGGAGCCACGAGGCCGTGCCGGGACCCCGGGGGCCAACGCAGGCTCTGCAGCCCCCCCGGTACCCCCCCGATGGCTGTCCCCGGGGTGCCCCCGCCGCACAGCCCCAGGCAGCACCCTTGGGTGCTCAGGGCGGCTCCGCACGGCCACGGCGATGCAGAGCACGGGGGAGCAGCCCAAGTCCCTGTGCGCCCCCCCCAAGCCGTGCTGAGCCCCCCCCAGCCGTGCTGAGCCCCCCCGGGACGCTCAGCGCCGCGTGCTGCGGGTGGGAGCGAGGACAAAGGAGCCAGGTCCCGGTGCATCCCGTCCCGTGCCGGTGCCGAGCCCCCAGCCCCACATTTTCCCCACCCGGAGCAGGGGTCAGGGGAGCTCACCCCAAAGCTGCCACCTTTGTTCCCGGGGCAGGGGGCACCGGGTCCAACCCGGTTCGGTTCGGTTCGGCCCCAATAAAGGGTGGCCCCGCAGGACCCCCTCCCGCCGCCCTTTGTCTCCGGTGCCCGCGGGGCCGCCCCGGGTGCGGACAAAGGCGAGGGCGAGGAGGGGGGGTCCCAGGTCCTGAGCCGCATAGGACACACCGGGAAGGATGCACGGGGCCGGTGCCTGTTATTAAAACCCCATTAATTAACCGGCCCGGGTTCGTTTCAGCACTGACCTCACCGTTACGCCGGTACCGGGGAAGCACCGGGGCTGCTCACGGCACATCCCCGTGTCACCCACCTCATGCGGGAAGCCCGGCCGTCGGTTTTGGGTTTTTTTCTTCATTTTTCATTTCTTCCCAGCTAATAAATTGTCGGTAACTCACCCCACAGCGAGGGGCGGCCGGGAACAATGGGGTGGCCCCGAACAACCGCGCTGCTTGCGGCACCCGGTGCTCCGGTACCCGGCCCCGGTGCTGCTCCCGGTGCCGTCCGTGCCGGTTCCTTCCCAAACGGAGCCGATCCCGGTGGCAGCTCCGTGCGGGGCCGGCGGGATGCGACCCGACCCCATCCTGCGGGGCAGAAACAGGCGAGAAGGAAACAAAAATCTGCGGTTTGTGCTTTTTTTTTTCCTTTTTTTTTAAATAATTAATTTAATTTTTTAATGGGGTAGCAGCATGCAGGGAAGGGGAAGGACACCAAAACCCTGCCCGGGGGTCTCAGCGCATCCCCCCGCCCGGCTGGAGGAGCGAGCTGGGGGCTGCCCGTGCTGCTCGTTCCCGTGCCCGTTTCTCCCGGTGGGTTTCGCTCCTGCGGCTCCGGTGCTCACGGGGGGGGGGGTCCCGGTGTCCGGGGGTCCCGGTCCCGGTGCCGGTGCCCGGGTCCCGGCCGTGCCGCGCTCCGTCCCGACGCGATCACCGCCCGGGAGCCCCGAGCTGCGGCATCCCGGTGTATCCCGGTATATCCCGGTACATCCCGGTGCTCTCCCGGTACATCCAACCCTTTCCCACCCCCCCCACCCTTTCTCCCCCCCCTCCCTCCTTTCTATTCCCAGCAGCACCCCCGAACCCCCCCGACCCCAAACCCACCCCCACCGCCGCTCACCGGCCCCGCCGCCTCCGGAGCGCTCCGCTCCTCTCCCGGCCCGGTACGGCCCCGGTGCCCGGTAGCTCCCAGCCCTCCCCCGGCCCCCCCGGCCCCCCCGGCCCCGTATCCCCCCCCCTACAAACCTGCGGCTCCCGTCCCGGCCCCGTCCCGCTCCCCGCTGCCGCCGCCTTTGATCTCCCCGAGCCGCTCCCGGGGCCGCGGGGTCCGCCCGGGGGGGGGGGAGGAGAAAGGGGGGGGGGGAGCGGGGACGGAACCGGGGAGGGGGGGGGTGAGAAGGGAGACGGGGGGAGGGGAGCCTGGAAACCGCCGCCGCCTCCTTCCCCTTTCATGGCGCGGCCGCGGGGGGCCTTGAAACGGCGCGGCCAATGAGCGCGGCGGGCGGGCGGCCAATCAGCGCCTTGTTTACACTGCGTGATTGGCAGCGGGCTGGCGGGCGGCCAGCCAATCAGAGCCCACCCCGACGGCGAGGGGCGGGGCAAGGAGAGGTGGAGGGGAGGGGAGGGAGGAGGGGGGGGGGGGGGAGAGCGCGCGCGCGCGCCGGTCCCCGCCGAGCGCGCGCGCGCGCTTCCGAGCAGGGGAAGGGAGGGGGCGGGGGAGTGAATGGAGGAGAGGGGGGGGGGAGGGGAGCGCGGAGGGGGTTAACCCTTGCAGTGCCGGGGCGGGGGGAGGAAAAAGGGAGCGGGGCAGGGCGCTGGGCTGGAGGGGGGGGGTTTGGGGGGGTCGTGGGGGTTTGGGGGGTTGTGGGGGTTTGGGGGGGTTATGGGGGGGGTCCCCACGCGGTTTTGGGGTGTGCTTGGGGGGGGCATGGGGAGCAATGCGGGGGGGGGAGGGGGGTTGGAGGGGGGTCGGGGACTCAGTGCAGGGCGCGGGGGGGCGCTTGGGGAGGGGAGGGGGGTGCTGGGGGTGGGGGGGGGGGTGTGGAGGGGGGGGCGCTGCAGCGGTGTGTGCGTTGGGGGGGGGTCGCACCGCACCTCTGCTGCACCGCAGCCCCCCGCCGCGCCGCACGGCGCACGCGCACGAGCGGGGAGGGGAGAGAAAAAGAGAGAGGGAGGGAGAGGGAGGAGGGAGGGAGAGGAGGGAGAGGAGGGAGAAAGCGCGCGCGCGCGCGCTCGGGGAGGCCGGAGCGCGCCGGCGCGCCCCCCTGGCTGCGTTTGGCGCGCGCGCGCCGCCTCCTCCCCCCATTCATCCGCCGCGGGGGCTTGAATTCGGCGCCGCCGCCTCGCGGAGCAACCCCCGGCGCGCCCTGATTGGCAGGCGCCTGGCTCCCGGCCAGCCTATTGGGAGGCGCGGCGGGGGCGGGGGCGGGAAAGGGAGGAGAAGGGAGAGGGAGAGAGGGGCAAGGGAGAGAGAGAGAGGGGCCGGCGGGGCGCGAGCGCCGCGCGGCGGCCAATCAGGGGGCGCGCGCGCGGCACGCGCTTATTAGCATGCGGGGCGCGTCGCGCGGCGGAGTGCGCGGCGGGCGGGGAGGCGCGGCGGGGCCCCCGCTCCCTTTCTGCAGGCGCAGCCGGTGCATGGGCAGTGCGCGGGGGGACCGGCGGAGCTCAGCTGCTACCGCCACCGCCACCACCGTGCGCACCCCGGCGGGGCCGCCCCGCGCCGCTCCCTCTCTTCGCCGTGCCCCCCCCTCGCCGCGCGGAACGCCCCTCCGGTGAGTGCCGGGCACTTGGGGCGCGGGCGGTTTTTTGTTTGCGCTGCTGCTCGCCGGGGCGGGAGGTGGGGGGGGGAGAAAAAAAGGGGGGGGGGTTCTGTGTGTGTGGTGTGTGTGTGTGTATGGATGGTGCTGGGGGGGGGTGAGAGAAGCTCGGAGCGATTTTTTTTAAATTTTATTATTTTTGCCCTTTTTTATTTATTTTTTTTTTTTGCGTTATTTTGGATTTATTTTTTTATTTTGGATTTATTTTTTTATTTCGGATTTATTTTTTTATTTCGGATTTATTTTTTTTTCCGCCTTCTCTAAAAAAAAAAAATAATAAAAATTGCCATTTTCTCCCTCGTGTTGATTTTGATTTTGATTTTTCAAATTATAATTTCCCCGTTTATTTTTATTTTGACCCCCCCCAAAAAAATAAAAAAACCAAAAATAATAAAAATAATAACAAACAAACCTCTGCCCCCCCCCCACTCACCCCCCAACCTCCCTGTACACCCTGGGGGGGGGGGGGGGCTGCGCTCTCAGCTCCTCTCCCCGCCGTGCTCGGGCCGGGGGCCGCCCGCGGACAATACCGCCCGGTGCCGGCCCCGGCTCGGCTCCCCCCGGGACCCCCCCACCCCCCCCGGTTGAGCTCCGCGGTTCCGTTCCCCCTTTGTTCGCCCCGGCCCCGGAGGCGGCTGCGGGCACCCCCCCGGCTCGGGGCCCTCCGGCCCCGGTGCTGCCGAGAACAATGCCCCGGCGGGCCCGGCGCACCGGGCGGCCTCTCCGCCGCTGCTTTGTGCGGCCTCTCCGCCGGCCCGGAGAACCGAGCCCCGGTGGCGGAGGCCGGGGGGGAAAGGAAGGAAGGAGGCGAACGGAGGGGGGGGGGGGGAGACGGGAAACGGAGCCCGAGCGGCGGGGGGGGGGAGAAAGAGGAGAGAGGCCGGGGCCCGAGCACCGGGGACCGTGGCGAGCACCGGGGGCCGTGCCCGGGACGCGGAGAGCGGCCGGGGCCCCGTGCGCAGGGATGGGGGCGATGCGCACCGGGGGAACGGGGATTGCGGAGGGGAAACGAGCGGCAGGAAAACGGGAGGGGGAGGTGGGTCGGGAGCAGGGCACCGGGGGGGAGCGGGGGCCGAGGAACCGGGGCGGCCGCGCACCGGGAGCGGCGGCGGCACCGAGCGGGGAAACGGGAGCGGAGCGAAGGGGAACGAGCACCGGGGGGGAGCGGGCGCAGAGGGCTCGGTGGAACCGGGGGGGAAACCGGGGAACCGCGCACCGGGGGTGATGCCAAAAAAATTAAAAATAATAAAAATTAAAAAAAAATTAAAAAAAATTAAAAAAAGCGGTGGTGGGAAACCGTGGGGGGGTTACCGGGGGTCTGGCCGTGCTCTCACGCTCTGCTTTTTTTTCTCTCCAGGAGCGGAGGATGAGCCGGCAGCCCCGGCCCCGAGCGCGGCACGCCGCCCAGCCCGGCCCGCCGCGGCGCTGAGGATCACCGAGCAGCCCCCGGGCCCCCCCCCCCCCGGGTGGGCTCTTGCCCCCCTCCGGCCCCCGGCATGGACGGCCGTGACTTCGCGCCCCCGCCGCGGCTGTTGGCGGAGCGGGGAGGCCTCGGGCACCGGCACGGCACGGGGCGCGTCTCGGGCTCGGCGCACAGCACCGTGCAGCCCCCCGGCCACTTCCAGCCCGCCAAGTTCTTCCCCGCGCCCATCTCCATGGCCACGCACTCAGGTCAGCAGCACCGGGGGGGGGCTGTTGGGGAGGGTCCGGGGGGTCGCATCCTGCATGAGGGGCTCCGGGTGGCGGCACGGGGGTCGCTGGCACGGCGGCGTCTCCCGGGGACCCCCCCTCTGTGCCAACGCTGCTCCCCGCCGGGCCGAGGCGGCGCGCTCGGGGCGAACAACGGCGCCGTTATGCGCAGCAAAAAAAATAAAAATCAAAAAAATCCCCGTCCTGCACCCACATCTCGGGGGGGGGACGGATTTGCAGCTCCCACCTTCCCGTTACCGGCTGCAGCCGGTGCCCGGTACCGGAGCCGGGCTTGGTGCATCCTCGGTGCGGCCCCGCCGGCTGCCGCGGCTTTGTGTGCGGTGAGGAGCGCTCGGCCGCGGCCGTGCGGGGCTGCAGGGGGGGCTGCAAAGCAAGGGGGGGGTCCCAGCGGGGTGCGTGGAGCGGGGCCGGGTTCGGGGAGCACTGGAGCCGGGGCTGGATCCGTTGCTCAGCCGGTGCCGCCCGGGGCCTCCCGCTCCCCGCCGGCGTTTTTCTCTCCAGTCGCACGGCGGCAGCGCCTTGATGAGCTGTGAATGCTAATAAAATTATATCTGCTTTAATGGGATTACAATTAGTGCATGGATTAGGGCGGGGGGCACGGCCGGGCCGCGTCGGGTGCCAGGGGGGGGGGCGGCTCGGGTTCCTGCGAGGAGATGGAAAACGGGGGGACACCGGGGTGCCGGGACGCAGCGCAGGATTGGGCCCGCGACCGGGGCGGTTTCGCTTTGTGCCGATGGTTCCCGGGGGGGGGGCAGCCCCTGGCTGGGTCCCCCCCCCCCCAGGCTGCCGTTAACCGGGAGGGGCTCCCCAGCGGGGGACGGAGCCGCACGGGTTCCCGCAGCTCGGTGGCCCCTCGCGCCCGCCGCCGGGGTCTGGGCGACACATGGGAGCCCGAAAGCAAAGGAGGCTGTTAAAATAACATGGATCGGGCTAAAAATACCCCTGCAGAAACTCGCCTTTTTTTTTTTTTTTAAAAAAAAAAAAAAAAAAAAAGGAGAAGCCAAACCCAACAACAGAAAGAGCTAAAAATATTCCGGGCTTTGGCAGGGCCGCCGCAGCCGGAGACGTTCCCGGCGACCGCGCTCGGAGGCTCCCGCGCCTACGGGAACGGCGCTCGGGCAAAACCCGAACGGGGCCAGGACCCGGCGGCCGCGCCACGGGGCCGGGAGCCGTGCGGTGGTAATTACCGCCGATGATTGATAATTTTGATAATTACCCCGCCCAGCACCGGGAGCCAGCCCGCGGTTCGCCGGGCGGCGGCGGCGGGGCCGTACGGCACGCGGCCGCCCCGGGGCACGGCGCCGGCTCTTGGGGGGGTAGGGGAGGGGGGGGAGGCCCCCCGGTCCCGCTCCCCAAATGGCTCCCGGCCGGACTACACCTCCCAGGAGCCTTTGCTGAGCGCTCGGGGCTTGGAAGTAGCCCTGAGAAAAAAAAGGAGATAAAAAATGTTTAGCTTGATTTTATTAAAGCCATAATTCAGGGCTGCGCAGTTATTACAAACAAATGCTTCGCTTTGCATCTGTTTTTGGCACCGGGACCATGCAAATGACGGCGCGAGACGGCGCTGGGGGCCCGAGCGCGGAGGAGCCGCGGCCCTGCCCGGTGCCGGGGGGGGGTTCGGGGGGGGCCCTGCCCCACTGCTGGAGGGGTCAGGAGGCACCGGGGCCCCCCTGCCCGGTGCCGCGCTCCAGGCGTGCCGCAGGGCAGGGAGCGGGGTTCCCGGCGTGCCTGCGGTGCCCCCCGTGCCGCAGCGGGGCGGGGGGGTTTTGGCGAGCCGGGGGGAGGCCGGAGGGTGGGAAACTCGGCCAAACAGGTTCTGCCGACTGCCGGCTTTACCCAGGGCCTCCGTTTCTGCCCTCCTGACGTTTTTACGGAGGAAAATATCGCTGAGAGCGCGCCGGGCTGTTTGTCACCGCGCCGAGCCCTCGGTGCGCCGCGATGGCTCGCGGCACCGGGGGGGGGCTCGCGGCGGCACGGCGCTGCGCCGGGAGCCCCGGGGGTGCTGCCGGTGCTGCTCCCGCTCTGCGGCACGGTGCCGGTGTGCGGCACGGTGCTGGTGTGCAGCCCGGCCGTGGCACGGTGCCGGTGCCGCCGTGCAGCCCGGAGGCTGCTCCCCGCTGGCGGCCGCTCTCGGCGCGCAGCTCCCCGCAGCTGTCCTCCTCCCTCGCTGGATTAAATTCCAGGCCGAGCGCTGCATTTTTTCACCCCGGCGTTGCTGGGGCAGGGCCGGGCCATAAAACAGGTGGGGCCTCGGGGGGGGCTCCCGCTCGGCCTTGTGGCCTCCATCCCCGGGTTTGTTGGCAGGGGGGTGGGGGACGTGGTGATCCCCATCCAGCCCCGGTGCTGGCGCCGCTGCACCTCGGCCACCGGCTCGGTGCTCGCGAAGGATTTAATCCGGGTGAGGGGCTGGGAGGCAGCGGCGGCGGCACGGCCGCGGTGCTCGGGCTCCTCCGCGGCTCGCCGGCCTCCCTGCAACGTGCGCCGAGTTTTTATTTAAAAAAAAAAAAAAAATGGGGGGGGAAAAAAAAAAAAAAAAGTAGGTGTCAAAGTTAAAACAGATTTTGAGATTAACTTGTCTACTCCTTATTAGTGACACTTCTGCTGCAGATTACTGGGGGAGGGGGAGGCGGGAGGTAAACGCACATGTGTCAGGGAGAAAAAAAGCAGAATGCTGAGAAACCCAAATCTTGTGGAATTACAGCTGAGTGGTTTCATCTGTTCATTAGTTATTATTTGGAGCCGCGCGGAGCCGCGGCCGGGCGCGTGTGTGTGTGCCGGGGGAAGGCAGAGAGCTGCAGCACCGCCGCGCTGCGATCGCCCCAACGCGGGGGCGGCCGCACGGCCCCTTCCCTCCTTTGTCCTCCTGTGTTCAGGGCTGAGACCCCCGCCCGTGGGTTGGGGGGCTCGGGGGGGGCCGGAGCTGGGCGGCCCTGGGGAGGGCCGTGTGGGTTGTGATGCCTCCGGGCTCCGCGGAGCTGCGGGGGCGAAGCACCGGTGCGCACGGGGGGCTTGCAACTGACCCCACCAGGAGGGGCTGTGGGGGGGAGAGGGGATGGCAAAAGGGGTTTGTGTGGGTGCCCCCCCAGTTTCCCCTTTGCTTCCTGGGCTCTTCAGCCCCGTCCCTGGCCCCGGAGCTGCCCCCGTGCAGCCGCTTGGTCTCCCCGCGCGGGGCCGGGCGCTGATGGCAGCGCTCCGCGACAGCCGAGCTGGTAATTATAGCAGAAAATAAAAATAGCAGGATTTGGCTACTCAGTGACTTTGCAAAGATTCACACGGGCTTTGAACTGCGGCCCCTCCCTCCCGCCCGCGATAGCGGGTAAATAAACACTCACCCAATAATCTCATTCTTGGAGTTCTTCTTTATCCGCTCCGTAAAACGAAACAGATGGGCACAGCGCTGCGCGCGCCTCCCGGCCCGGCCCCGCCGCACCGCCAGCACCCGGTCCCCAACGGGGTCCCCGCGGTGGGCACTGGGGTGTCCCGGTGCTGGAGGGGATCCCGGGGGGGGCACAGCACCGCAGCCCCTCGGGGTTTGCTCCTTTCCCCTCCTGTTGGGTGCACGGGGATCCCCGTGTGCGCACGGGGCGAGGGCTGAAGGCGCGTTGAGGGTGCGGAGCTTTGCACGGGGCCGGGTGAGATTTGGGGGCTCCGTGGGGCTGTGGGGCGAGGGACGGGGACCCCATGGCCCTTTCTGGCTGCTCCACGGCCCCCGTCCTGTGCGGGGCCGGCGGCTGCTCCCAAAATGGCCTCTGGGCTGTGCAAGCTGCCTGTGGCGGGGGCGCACGGCGGCCGTGTGAGCAGGCGGCGCGGAGCAGGCGTGCCCGGAGCGGCGTGCACCTGGCTGCCGGCCGTGCAAGAGCCCCCAGCGGTTGTGCAAGAGCCCCCAGGCAGCCGTGCAAGAGCCCCCAGGGGCCGTGCAAGAGCCCCCAGCAGCCGTGCAAGGGGGCTGCGTGCGGAGCCGCGGGCGTCAGGCGCGCAAGGGGCACGCAGCGAGCCCCCGGCAGCGGCCACGCGAGCGGTGTGCGTGCAGCGGCCGTGTGCGAGCAGCGTGCAGCCAGCAGCGGGTTTGCACGCGCGGCCCCGCTGCAGCCCCTGCTCCCCTTCCAGCCTCCCCTTTCCCTCCGTCAGCAGCCGACAGATTGCAAGTGGCACTTAGCGCGGAGAGCCGGGCTGGTGATTACCCATCGGATAACGTTTTAATTGTACTTCTGGCACTCTGTCAAGCTAATTTGAACTGCGTTTCAATATTACAGCATTTATTTAGTGCCATAACAATATGGATTAATCTTAAATTATAACACCGAGGAAATTATATTACACTTATTTCCTATTTGCCCAATGTTTAAAGGGGCCACGTTGGGTTAAAAAGCGCCGTGCGCCGAGGGGAGCGCGGCACGAGGCGTGCGGGGCCGGGAGGGAGCTGGGGGGGGGTCCTGCAGCCCCAGCGCCTCCCCCGAGGGGGTTCCCGGGGCCGGGGGCCGCATCCTGCACCGTGCCTGGGAGGAACGGGACCGGAGGTGGCACATCCAGGGGAGCAGCTGGCGGACGTGAGGGGGGGAGGTTATTAACGACCGCGGATGTCGTTATTGTGCCGGGCTGAGGATGTGGTCGCGCCCAGGGCTGGGGGTCCCCGGGCAGGGCTGGGGGGGGGGTCCCAGGGCTCTGCTGCGTCCTCGTCCCCGTTGTGTGCCGCCGCCGTGCGCCCCGCGTGCCACCGGCTGCTGCCGGCCCGCGGTGCCAGGAGGGTCCCCGCCAGCTCCGGCGGCTCCGCGTGCAGCCTCGGCCCCGTTAGGAATGTTCCAGCCCCGAAATAGCCGAGGCAGTAACTCTACCCCGCACCCCACGCACGTCCCGGCTGCCCGCCTCCCCGCTCCTCCCGGGACAGCCCTGGGGACGGCCGTGGTGACGTGGGGACCCGTGCCTGGCCTGGGCCGCGTGCCCGAGCTTGGAGCAGGGACCACGGCATCCCTGGGGGGGCCGTCGCCCCTCTTCCCAACCCCCAGCTCTGGCTGCTCCAGGTCCCTGTTGCGCATCCCTAGGGCGGGGGGAGCCTGGAGCTTAAAAAGGAGCCCCCAAATCGCGGGGGCACAGCAGGGGTTGGGAGCAGCGGGGCCGTGGAGCGCGGGAAGAGCCGGGGCCTTCCTGGAGAGGGAGGGAGGGAGGCAGGGAGGATGCTGCGTGGGAGCGGGGCCGGGGACCCCCTCCCTTTCCCGGCAGCGCTGCCTTGGTCAGGCGCCCGTGGCCCCGCGCCCCGCTCCGGGCGGGCGCCCAGAACGCGGCTCGGCCCGAGCAGATGTGGCCGGAGCGCTCCCGCGGCCCCGCTCGCCGCCGGGGGGGAAACTTTCCGTCTTCCCAGCACATTCCCATCTGCGCTGGGCCCGGCGCGGGGGCGAAACGTGGCCCTGGGGGGGCTCACGCCCTGCTCTGCCCCGCGTTTCCCCCCCCAGGTCCCACCGCTGCCCGTCACTGCGGTCGTCGCTGCCGTGACCCCGGTGGGTTTGGGGCCGGGGCTGCCCTGGCGAAAAGCCCCCGAGCTCCCCCCCCCTCCCCATATCCCACCCTGGGCTTCCCGGCCCCCGCGGTTTGGCAGGGGATCAGAACAAAACGCAGCTTCGCTTTTAACCCCTTCCTCCAGCCCTGCGCCTCCCTCCCAGCCCCATTTCGGGGAGCCCCGGGGTGCTGCGAGCGCCCACATCCACCCGCATGGCCCCACCGCCTCCCGTGCCTCAGTTTCCCTTTCCAGGCCAGCTCAGCTCGGGGGGGAGCAGGACACGGGTGGCTGTGGGGCTGGCACGGATCCCACGTGGCCGTGTGGGAGCTCCCAGCACAGGCGCGAGCAGTGACCAGTGGCGGAGCCCCGCACTCCCCAAAGCACGGCTGCGGTCGGTCCCCTCCGTGCTGGCTCCCGGGGGGGGGGATTTTCTGCCCGGCCAGGCTGTGCTGGAGCCGGGAGCGGTGCCCAGCGGGGCTGAGTCACGGCGCTGGCCCCCGGGTGCAGGGAGCAGGGCCAGGGAGTTCCCAGGCGGGCGCTGCTGAGGGGCTGCGGGGGGCAGGATGGGTCCCATGGCACCGCGCCCTCCCCGGTGCCGTGTGCTCGGGGATGAGCTGAGTTCTGCACGGCCTCAGGACCCCCCCCCAAATCCTCTCCTGCTGGGGGGGCCGCCTGCAACCCGCAGCCCCCGCGGTGGGGGAGAGCCGGGGCCGTGGGAAGGGGGCGCGGAGCCGAGCTGGGGCCGGAGCGTGCGAGCTGCCGGGGCGAGCGTGCGTGCGGGCGTGCGAGCAGGGTGGGAACGGCGCGGGGGCCAGCAGCGTGCGCCTGGGGACCCGGCCGTGCCAGGGGGCGTGAGTCAGCGGCTGGGACGGGACGTGGGGGGAGAGGAGGGTGTGCGAGAGAGCGGATCGGGGCCCGGCCACTGCCCCGGGGCCGTGAGCGCGCGGGTTTTGGTCCAGCCCCAGTGCTCGGCTTCCAGAAAAGGCTCCTTCTGGAAACCTCGGCTTCCTGCCGAGCTCACGCCTCCCAGGCTCCGTGGGGGCACCCGGTGCCGGGGTCCCCCCCTGCTCCGTTCTCCTGCACGGTGCCCGGGGGCGATGCCGGGTCCCGTCCCGCTCGGTGCCGGTTCCCAGGGCCGCGGGCAGGGTGCGGCCGTGCCCCCAACCCACGCGCGGCCCCGGTCCGGGTTCGGCCCCCGATGCCGGCCAGCGCAGGAAGAGAGCGAGCTGCCTGAAACCACATCCCCGACACTCATCCCAGAGGCATCCCGGCGGGATTAGCCGGGGAGCGTGGGCCGGCTTAGAGAGCAAAGCATCACTTCCTGCCCCGGCCGGGCGGCCGGCCAGCCCTGGGCTCTGCTGTGCCATGCCGAGCCGTGCCGAGCCGTGCCGAGCCGTGCCACGGAGGGGCCAGGCAGGCCGCGGTCCCCGCCAGCCCACGTCGGCAAACACATGCAGGCGGGGAGCGAGGCCAAGCACCCCCCCCGCTCCCACCCGGCCGCTGGCTACCGGCTGCGATGTTTCCACCATGATCTCACGGCTCAGCCCGCCCGGCCCTGCGGGGCGGGGGCGTCCCCGCTTGGGGAGCTCCATGCCCCCCTCTCCACCCCCCCCAAGTGCAAGGAAAGGCCAGGTGGGGGCTGCCCCCCTGCCCTTTGCGTCGTGTGCCCTCCCCTGTGGTGTTCTCCGTGCCCACGCGCGCACATTTGTGCACATTTGTGCACGGCACCCCCCCGGTGTGCTGGCCCCCGCAGGGCGTTGCTCCGGGAAGCTGCTGCCCCGGTCACTGCCGGCTGTCCCCATGTCCCCAGCCTCCTGCCACCGCCCCTGGGCACTGGCAGGGCTCCGGCTGCTGCAGCTGGCAGCTGCCCCTGCTGGCAGCGGGCTGGCCCGGCGTGCCCTGGCTGCATGGCATGGCACAGCGTGGCACAGCATGGCACAGCGTGGCACAGCATGGCACGGGCCCTGGGGGCAGCCGGTGTCCTGCAGCCACTCCGGGCAGCGGTGCGGGGAGGCACACGCGTGTGCAAAGCCTCCCATGCGCTGGCACACGTGTGTGCCCACGACGTGCACGCGGGGTCAGGGCAGGACACGGGAGCTCCCCGTGCGTCTCTGCTGCACCTCGCGCACCCCCAGGTGGGGCTGGGGGGGCCACGAGGGGCACAATCCCATGAGGTGTGCCTGTACCCGAGCGTGCACGTGCCCGTGGTGTGTGCGCACAAGCAGCGTGCACAAGCAGTGTGCTCAGGAAGCGCGTGCACGCCTGGCTGTGCACAAATGTGTGAGCGCACGGCGAGCGAGGGGGGCCGGGGGTGCGCGTGCGTGGCGGGGGGCTGGGGGCTCCCCCTGACTCTCTCCTCTCCCCCCCGCAGCAGGGAGCGGACTGATGGGGAGCGCACCCGCCTCGTCCTTCATGGGGAGCTTCCTGAGCAGCAGCCTGGGCTCGGGGGCCCCCAGCCACCCCTCGGGCCCCGCCGCGTCCCCCCCGGAGCCGGCGTTCCGCGGGCCGCACTCCGGCACCTCCCAAATCTGGTTCTCGCACTCCCACGAAGGTGAGTGGGCGCCGGAGCAGGGCTGGGCAGGAGTCCCCCCCCCCGGGTGTCGCGGCCGCCCCCACGGCATCGGGGTGGCCGGGCTGCATGGGGGGGGATGTCCACGGCACGCGGGTGGCCGCGGCACGCTGGTGGCGCATGGGGAGCTTCGGGGTGGCAGCGGGGTGGGCAGCGCATCCCACAGACCCCCCCCATCCCCAGCACGGGGGGGCACCCACGAGGATAAGGCTCAGCCCGCTGCAAAAAGGGTGCTGGGGGGGGGCTGTGCGGGGCTGCAGCCCCCGTTTGGGTCATGCTGCAGGGTGCGGGGTGTCCCCGGGGTGCCCTATTAACCAGACACCGCTTCCCAATCGCTTTGGGCTGTGGGAGGAGGGGGGGGGGCAGCCCCGGCAGTGCCCCCCCGGCACGCCGCCACCGTCCCCGTCCCCACCTGAGCGGGGGCCGACAGAGTTAAGGAGCGGGGCGGTGGTATTGGCGCGGGGCCCTGGCAGCCGGCCCAGCTGGTAGTTTGACCGGCTGCCAGTTGGCTCCCGGCGTGCCGGGGCCTGCGCGCCGCGCCGGGGGGGGGGGGGGAGGACAGGGGGGGACGGGGGGGGGGGGACACGGGGACAGGCGGGGGGGAACGGGCAGCGCACGCGGCTCCGGCAGCGCAGCGCTCGCTGCTGACGGGCGGCTCGCACCGGTGTGCCGGCTGGGGAGCCCGGTGAGCGCTGTGCCGAGCCCCCCCAGCCCCCCCCTCATCTCGTGGGGGGTGCACTGGGGGGGCTCACAGCCCTGGCGTGGTGAGAGGAGGGCAGATATTGCACGGCCAGGAGGTGTGTGGCACACACAACGCGTGTGATGGGGTGTGATGGGGCGAGCAAGCCACTCAGTCCCGGCCCCCTGATTGCTGTGCGCCCCCCCCCTCAGCCCCGGGGTACCCCCGCTTCTCCGGGAGCCTGGCGTCCACCTTCCTGCCCATGAGCCACCTGGACCACCACGGCAACAGCAACGTCCTCTACAGCCAGCACCGCTTCTACGAGAGCCAGAAAGGCAGGTACCAGGGCCGGCACCGCGCAGGGTGCCCGTGGTGGTGGTGGGGGGCACGTCCCCAGCGCTCACGGGGGGGCAGAGGGGAGGCTGCCGGGCACGGCGGCAGCTGCCGGGGGGCTCGGTGCCCATCCCCGGTGCCCGTCCCCGGCGGTGGGTCCCCGGCACGAGGGGCTGGCGATGGAGCAGGTGCCGGGTCCCCGGGGATGGAGCGGGGTCGCGGGCACCCGGCCCAGCCGCCGCCGCTGTCGCTTTTCACAATATTGTGGCGGGCGCTTAATAGGGAACATTGTTTGGGTGGGAAATGGAGCTAATTAGCCCGTGCCTTCCCCCGCGCTCCTCCCCTCATTAGCGGGGAGCTGGCGCTTGGCACGGACGCGGCCCCGGGCGCCTCGAACGCGCGCGCCTTTGTTCGGCACGGGGCTGGGAAGGGGGGTACCGTGTGCGCACCGGGGTGGGGGCTGACCCCGCATCGCCCTCCCCTCCAGATAACTTCTACCTGCGCAACCTGCCCGCCCAGCCCGCCCTGCTCTCCGCCGGCCACGGCTTCCCCGGCATCGCCCGCGCCGCCCCCGGCCCCCCCGCTGGCTCCTGCAGCCGGGAGCGCGATGCCGGCCCCCTGCCCAAGACCCCCAAGGACTACGACCGCTTCCTGGCGGCCAAGGAGAAGGCGAGCAAGGCGGAGGGCAAGGAGCGGCCGCCGGAGGACGACGCCAAGGAGAGGCACCGGGCGGTGCTGCCGGTGCCGCCCGAGGGGCACTGCAAAGAGGGGCTCCCCCCCCGGGCGGCGGGCGACGGGCGCCCCAAGCACCTCGCCTCCTGCCTGCTGGGTGCCAAGGGGCTGGAGGGCGAGGGCGGCCGCGCGGCGCTGCCCAGCTGTGCCGGCAGCGCCCTGCCCCGTGCCGGCCGCTGCGCCAAGGAGCCGTGCCGTGGAGAGAGGGAACCGGGAGCCCCCGAGGCTCCGCCGCCCTACGGCGAGTGCCTGGAGCGGCGGCAGATGCTGCACCACGCCGTCTCCTACGCCGTGCCCACCGGGCCGGCCCCGCTCGGCGCCGCCGCCGCCGCTGCCGCCGGTTCCTTCCCCTGCCTGCAGCTGCACGCCGGCCCCGACGTGCTGTGCCCGCTGCCGGACAAAGCCGGGAGGGAGCTGAAGCTGAGCGGGGCCACGTTCGTGCCTTCGGTGGGACACCTTGGCGGACAAGAGCCGCTCCTTCCAAGTGGCGGCCGAGAGCTGCGGGCTGGAGCGCGCCGAGGGCAAGGAGCGGCACGGCGAGGTGGGCGCCGAGCCCCCCTGCCGCCTACGGAGCCTCCTTCCACCACCACGCCAAGGCGGAGGGCAAAGCGGAGCGGCGGCTCGAGTGGGGTGGCCCCGGCGCCCGGCTGAAGGGGTTGGAGTACCTGGGGGGCTGGCGGGGCGGCCGAGGGGCCCCCCTTCGCCAGCCTCGGCCCCCCGCCCCCCAAGGGCGGCCTGGAGAAGGGCTATTTCGAGGTGCCGCCGGCCCCGGACTGCTCCCGTGCCCCGCACGCCGACCCGCTGGGTGCCAAGGTGGGCCCGTCCTGCTGCACTTTAGAGAAGGGCCCCAAGGACCCCCCCGGGCAGACCCCGCAGAAGGTGGCGCGGATCCGGCACCAGCAGCACGGCGGCCCCGAGGCGGAGCCGGCCGGCGGCGGCCCCGAGGGCAAGCGGAAAGCCCTGGAGCTGAACTCCCTGGGCTACAACGGGCCCCCCCTGCCCCCCTGGGGCGTGCAGGGCCAGGGCCCCCCCATGGCCATGGCGGAGGAGAGGAAGGGCTCCTACCTGGACCCCTTCAGCACGAGTCTGCAGCAGGCTGCGTTGATGACTCAGGGCTCGGTGCTGAGCCAGGACATGCCGACCCCCCCGGACGAGGTCTCGGCCATGAAGAACCTTCTCAAGTACAGCAACCAAGCACTTATCGTGGGCCAGAAGCTCCCTTCGTGGGGCTGGGTGGCATCAAGGGCAGCTGCGCCCACCAGGACGCCAAGTTCCCCCCGGGCAAGGGGCAGCCGGAGCTGGAGCGGCCGGATTGCGCCCGCAGCCGGGAGCACGAGCTGGGCCACGGCGAGGGCGAGGTGCGGCAGCCCCCCGTGGGCATCGCCGTGGCCGTGGCGCGGCAGAAGGACACGCTCAGCCGCCCCGAGCCCTCCTACGGCAGCGGCTCCGGCCGGCAGGGCCGGGTGGCCACCGGCATCAAAGGTAAGGGGGTGACGGGGGGCGGCGGGGGGGGCCTTGGGGTGCCGGCGGTGCCGCGCTCACCGCGCCGTCCTCTCGCCCCGCGCAGCCGGCACGGCACGGCCCATGCACGTCATCGACCTGGAGGCAGAGGAGGAGCGGGGCCGGCTCTGCGAGGAGCGCCTGGGGCTGCCGGGGAGAGAGCTCCTTCTCCAGTAAGTGCCGTGGTGGTGGTGATTTTTTTTGGGGGGGGGGGATGGATGTGCGTGGGGGGGGGTCCCGTCGCCGTGCCGCCGCTTTGGGCACGTCGCGGTGCCCCACGCCGCCCCTCTCTCCGCAGGGACAACAAGGAGCTGGTGGAGTTCGCGCGGATGCACCCCTCGGGGGGGTGTCCCGGGGACCTCACCCCCCACCTGATGATCGCGGGGGGCTCCTCGCTGCCGGCGGGACAGCTCGGGGGGGACCCGGCCGCCCACGCGCACCCGGCGCACACGCACTGGCTGCCCCGCACCCGCAGCCCCTCCATCTGGATGGGGGGACACTCCTACGGTCGGTGCCGGCGGCGGGGGGGGGGGCTGCGGGAGCAGGGGGGGGCTCGTCCCCCCCTCCCCTCCCCGCCCCGGCGCTGACGGGCCCCCCCCTCTTTCCCCTTTACCCCCTCCCCAGGCATCGGCCACCCCACGCTGCACCAGAACCTGCCGCCCGCCTTCCCCGCCTCCATGCCCAGCACCATGCAGCCCGTCTTCCCCCTCGTCCCAGGAGCCCCCCGCCCAGCTCGTCATCCTGCCCACCGAGCCCCCCGCCCACGGCACCCCCCACACGCTGGGTGAGGCTGGGGGCGTGTTGGGGGGGCTGGCTGGGGGGGCACCCAGGGGTTGTCGTGCTGCTGGGGTGGGAAATGGGGGTCCCTGCAGGTGATGCTGATGGGGTGGGGGGGGAAGATGGGGTCCTGGGGGTGCTGCGGTGCAGGGATGGGAGATGGGGGGGACCCTAAAGGTGATGCTGAGGGGGTAGGGGGAGATGTGGGGGGGTCCCTACAGGTGGTGCTGAGTGTGCAGGGGAGAGATGGGGGTTCCTTATAGGTGATGCTGAGGGGGTGGGAGGAGATGGGGGGGGCCCTACAGGAGGTGCTAAGGGGATGGGGAGGGAGATGGGGTCCTGGGGGTGCTGGGGTGCAGGGATGTGAGACTGGGGGGGTCCCTACAGGTGATGCTGAGGGTGCTGGGGTGGGAGATGGGATGCTGGGGGCTGCGGGGCTGACCCCACCACGGGTCCCCTGCTGAACCCCCCCCCCTGCTGCCAACAGCCGACGTGATGGACCAGGCGTCGCTGTGGCCCCCCATGTACCCGGGCCGGGGTCCCGGCGCCCACCTGCAGCACACGGGGCAGCTGCCCGTGTACTCGCGCTCGCAGTTCCTGCGGCAGCAGGAGCTCTACGCCCTGCAGCAGCAGCGGGCGGCTCAGGCCCTCGAGATCCAGCGGCAGGCGCACGTCCAGGTACCCACGGGGCTGGGGGTGGTGGTGGTGGGGGGCAGGACGGGGGGCTGGGATGAAGGGTGGGGGGCCGTGGGGCTGGGCTGGGGCTGTGGTGCGAGGTGATGCTGGGTGGGATGCGGGGCAGGGGGATATGGGGCTGGGTGGGGGGCAGGGGGATGCGGGGCAGTGGGATGGGGGGCGGTGGGATATGGGGCTGGGAGATGTGGGGCAGGGGGATGTGGGGCTGATTGTGGGGCTGGAAGGGGGGCAGAAGGATGCAGGGCAGTGGGATGGGGGGCTGGATTTGAGGCTGGATGGGGGGCAGGGGGATACAGGGCAGGAGGATGTGGGGCAGGGGGATGAGGGGGCAGTGGGATGTGGGGCTGGATTTGGGGCTGGAAGGGGGCACGGGGATACAGGGCAGGAGGATGTGGGGCAGGGGGATGGGGGGCAGTGGGATGTGGGGCTGGATTTATGGGCTGGGGCCTGTGCTGTGGTGCTGCCAGGTGCCAACCCCGCTGTCCCCCCCCGCAGCGCAAGCCGGAGGAGCAGCCCCTGGAGCTGGAGGACGTGTGCCCCGAGAAGCCCCTCAAACCCTCCCACAAAGCAGTTGCCTTAAACCCCCCGGCCAAGGGCATGTCCTCGGCAGCCCCCGGCCCCCCCCAAGCTGTCCCCTTGCTGCCACTCCCCGGCCCTGCGGCACCCGGCCAAGTGCCCCGTGGCTCTCCCCGCGGCCCCCTGCACTTTACCCGTCTGCCCCGCCTGCCAGCTCCGCCGTGGCCCCCCGCTCCCCGGCCGACAGCCCCGTCCCCGTCCAGAGCAAGGGCAGCGACGGCGAGGACAAGCGCGGGGAGGGCCAGCCGCCCCGCGACTACCCCAAATCCCTGGAGCCAGGTAGGGTCGCGGGGGCGAGGAGGAGGAGGAGGAGGAGGGTGGATTTGGGGTGCTGGGGTCCCCCCGCTGAGCGTCACCCCCTTCCCCGCAGACCTGCCCCCGGGTTACAGCTACCCCGCGGCCACCATGGGCTTTTCGGAGGCGCACTCAGCCGAGCCCGCCGACCCCGACACGATGCACGCGGGCTCCCCCCCGGCTGAGCCCGAGCAGTCGCGGACCTTCAGCCCCGCCGAGGATGTGCTGAGGGAGCCCGGCCCCCCCGTGCGAGAGCCGCCGGCCGGGGGGGCTGCAGCCGAGGGTCCCGGCGCGCTGCTGCACCGCCACCACCTCCTCCTCGCCCCGGGGCCGGCCCCGGCTGCGGTGGCCACCGAGGAGCCCTTTGGGGTGCGCCGGGAGGTGGCTCCGGCAGTGCTGGAGCAGAGCTCGGTGGAGCAGCAGCGCCCGGTGCCCGTGGTGGGGTCCTCGCCGCTGGTCCCCCCCTGCGGCGAGGAGGAGGAGGAGGACGAGGAAGAGGAGGAGGAGGAGGGTGACAGCGAAGGCTCAGGGCCGGAGGGCAGCTGTGACGAGGAGGAGGGCGATGGCCCCAGCCACGCACCCAGCGGGCGGCAGGGCTGCCCGGGCGGGCTGGAGGCTCTCATCGCTGCCGGCATCGACCTGGGGGAGCTCCCAGCGCTGGGGTCCCCCGAGGAGCCCCCCCCGGCCCCCCCTTCACCCGCCCCGTGCGCCGCGGGGCTGCCCGGCATCGCGCTGCTCAGCGAGCTGGCCGACCTGGAGCTCCGCCGGCGCCGCTGCGACCTGGCCCTGGAAGGTGAGCGACCCCCGTGGCCCCCTCCCCGCGGTGCCTCCCGTCCCCTTGCTCGTGTGCCGCGGTGCTCCCTGCCCCCTTGTCACACCCCTTGGTGCCCTCGGTGCGTGCAACACGGAGATGGTGCAGGGGGGGGGGCTGCACAATGCGCGCAGGGGCCGGGCCGGGCGGTGCATGTGGTGTGCAGCAGAGGGGGGGCTGCGTGCACGCCGGCACCGCGGGGCACTGAGCACAGTCACAGCATGGGGCTGCATGCAGGGTGCTGATGCAGGGGCTGTGCACGTTTGCAGTGGATATTTGCAGCGCGTGCTTGCACTGCGTGCACGTCTGCAGCACGTCCTTGCAGTGCAGGGCTGGGTGCACGTCTGCGCCGCACGCTTGCAGTGCAGGGCTGCGCGCGTTTGCACCGTTGATTTGCACTGCAGAGCTGTGCATGAGCGTGACGTGTGTGCAATGCCGAGCTGCAAGCATTTTGTGAGGTGCAGGTGCAATGCAGAGCTGTGCGTGTTGGTGTACAAGGTGCACTGCAGGGCTGTGCACGTTGGCACCCCGTATTTGCAGCGCAGGGCTGCAGGGGCGCATGCACCACGTGTCTGTGCGCGTTCGCAGCGCGGTGCCCGGCTGCAGGGCCCTGCTCGCAGCCCGGGGCCGTCTCCGGGGCTCTGCTCCAGCGCTGGCTCCAGGCAGGCGCCGGGATTCCCTCCCGGCTCGGCTTCCCCAGGGAATCCCGGGGGCCCCGGCAGGGAAGGCCCTGGCGCCTCCCCAGCGCTGCCGCGGGCGGGCGCAGGGCCCCGCGTGCTCGCTGCTGCCGCTGGCCGAGCCCCGCTGCGTGCGGCGGTGCCGTGCGGGGGCCGAGGGGCCCCATTCCCTGGGGCCCCCCACCACAGCCCCCGCGGATGGGGCGCGTCACCGCGTCCCTCCCCGCCCCGGCCTTGGCTCTGCGCCCCGATGAGTTCAGCGCCGCGGCACCCTGGGGACCGTGGGCGTGCCATGCACGCAGCACCCTCTGTGCTGTCCCTGCGCCCCATGGGCACCCTGTGCGCGCTGCCCCATCTCGTGCAGCACCCCCAGCACGACCCCACTGACCCCTTTTCACCCCAAATGGCCCCGGGGGTGCCCGGCCCCACCCGGGGGTGCTGCTCATGTGTGCAGTGCGCAGGGTCGTGGTGCAGGAGCAGCGGGGTTCAGGGGGTGGTGCAGGGGTCCCGGGGTGCCCCCGCTGACCTCTGGTTTCGGCAGGGGAGGACGAGGACCTGCTGGCCTTCAACCTGCAGAACCTGGCCACGGTGGCGGCCGCCTGGTCGCTGGTGGAGGCGGCCAGCAGGGAGGGCAGCCCCCCGGCGCTCAGCCCCCTGCCCGCCTCGCCGCCGCCCCGCGCCCGCGTGCCTCGCCGCAAGTACACCTGGACGCCCAAAACCAAGGCCGTGAGTGTCCCCTTGTCCCCTGTGCCAGCCGTGGCCAGCCAGGGGCTCGAGCCGTGCCCGGTGCGAGCCGCCCGTCCCCATCCCATCCCCAGGTGTGCCCCCTGAAGGCGGCCATCGAGCAGCTGAACACGCAGGAGGTGGAGGTGCGGATGCGGCTGGCCGAGCTGCAGCGGCGCTACAAGGAGAAGCAGCGCGAGCTGGTGAAGCTGCAGAGGCGGCACGACCACGAGTACGTCCCCGTCCTGCTTTGGGGGGGCAGCGGGTTGGCCAGAGGGTGGGGGTCAGCGGTGCGCTGAGTTTGGGGCCGTGCTCAGCCCTCGGTCTCAGGCTGCCCCCGGTCTTGCCGCGGCTGCAGGCGCGACGAGAGCTCGCGGAGCCCGGCACGGCGCGGGCCGGGGCGGCCGAGGAAGCGCAAGCACTCCAGCACGTTGGGCAGGGCCGAGAGCCGCAAGGTCAAGTGAGTGACCGGGGGGCGCGCGCCCGCCCGTCCCCGTGCCGGGGGTAGGGGTAGGGGGGGGAGAGATTTGGGGGTGGCAGGGCCGCGTCCCCGGTGCTGCAGGTGGCTGCGGGGGGCTCCGTCCCGGGGCTGCCCCCCCCTCCCTGCCCGGCCGCGGGAGCAGCGTTGCATAAAAGCCTCTTTATCCGCGCTGTATAAAGTCATTGGTCACGCTGCAGTGGTGTTCATTGCTGCTGGCGCTTTATTATTATCCATTAGCCGCCCGGCGCAGTCGTTTTCACACTCACGGGCCCTGTATAATTGTCCTTCTCTGCTACAAATTGCCTCTCCCGACAGGCCCATTTGCATAAATCCTCCGAGCTAGTCCAAACACGATTGGAGTTGTGTGTGTGCGCGCGCGGCATCAGGCCCGATGATTTGGTAATAATAGTTAAATCTGCACTAAATGGTTCCTTCAATTAAGACAGAGAGGAGGAAAAAAAAAAAAAGAAAAGAAAAAAAAATTAATCTCTAGGTTTTATGTCACAAAACATTAGCGAGCGAGTGAAGGTTACAGGGGAAAAAAATAAAATAATAAAAAAGAGGGGAGATGGAGGGGGGGGGGGGGGGGCAGCCGGGAGCAGCCCCGCGCCGTGCCCACGCCGCGCTCCCCGCAGGGCGGTGAAGAGCAGCCTGTCCCTGCTGTGCGCCGGGCTGCGTGCCGAGCCCCAGCCCAAAAAGAAACGGAGCAAACTGGCCCAGGAGGCGTACGGAGGCATCAAGGGCCCCCCTTCGGTGAGTGCTGTCCCCTCCTCAGGTGGCAGGGCTTGGGGTTGGGTTGGGTGGGGTATTGGCTCCTTGGTGACCCTCTCCGTGCCCCCCCAGGACAAGGTGCGGTGCAAGAAGAGCGGCTCGCAGAGCAAGCTGTCCTGCAAGGTGGCCCACAAAGTGTCGCAGCTGAAGCAGAAGGTGAAGAGCAAGGGGCTCCCCGCCGGCATCAGCCCCTTCCGACGGAAAGACCCCAACCCCGGGGGCCGCATCCAGAAGAAGCTGTCCCGCGCCAAGAGCTCCAAGGGCGGCGCCGCCAAGTACCAGCCGCAGGACCCCGACCCCCGCGAGCCCCCCGGGTTCAAAGGCAAGGCTGGCACGGGGCTGGGGGGGCCAGGATAGGGCCTGGGGGGGGGCTACAGTAATAGGAGGATGCTGTAATGGGGGGGCTGCAGTGTGGGGGGTGCAGTGTGGGGGGATGCGCAATGGGGGGATGCTGCAGGGGGGCTGCGCAAACGGCTCGGGAGCAGCTCGTGCCTGGGGGACCCCCGGGACCACTCAGCTGTGCCCCCCCCCTCGCAGATGGGCACGATGAGGACTCGGACAGCGAGGACGCTGACTGACGAGCCGGGCTTGGCCCTGCTGCCCTCGGTGCCCGTGGCCGTGCTGGGCCCCTCGCCCTCCTCCGTGGTGAAGATGGAAGCCAACGAGAAGGCGAAGAAGAAGAAGGAAAGGCAGGGGCTGCTCGGTAAGGGGCTCCCCCCGAGGCAGGGGGTGGCGCTGGGGGCTCCCTGGCACAAATTATTTGGGCTGCTCCAGTGTGCCCGCGGGGCTCTGAGCCCCTCCGTGTCCCCCCCACAGGTCCCTGCCGCCTCGGCAGCCCCGAGGGCGAGGTGAAGATCAAGCGGCGGCCGGTGAAGCCGGGAGCTGGCAAGTTGGAGAAGGTCCCGGCACGGAGGAAGGCGGGAGGCTGCGAGGAGGGGGGCAAGAAGAAGCTGAAGGCGAAACCCAAGGAGAGCCTCAGGGCGCCGGCCCCGAGCGGCCCCAGCGCCCCGACCCCCCCCAACAGCCTCTTTGGGGGCGCAGACCCCCGGCACTTTGGGGCGCGGGACGACGGCGCCCGCCTGGCCAGCGAGAGGCTCAAGAAGGCGACGCGCAAGAGCAAGGTGCTGCAGTCGGCCCTGAGGGTGAGTGCGGGATGGGGGGGGTCCGGGGGGGTCGTGGGGTGCCAGGGGTTTGGGGTGATGGAGGGGTTGGGGGTGCCAAAGGGACCCCGGGGTGCAGGGGATGGGTGCGGGGCTTGCGGAGGATGCGGGTGCTGGTGAGGGGTGGGGGGTGCTGGTGGGAACAGGGGGCTGGGGGTGTTGTAGGGCTGGGGGGGGCAGGGGGATGAGCCCCCAAAAAGGGCCGTTGGGTGGGTCCGAGCCCCCTCTCCGTGTGCCACAGCGGAAGAACGGGGCGCTCTCGCTGGCCCTCTCGCCCCGGAGCGCCAAGACCATCCTGAGCAAGGGCAAGAAGTTGGCCAAGGTGAAGAGCAAAGTGGCCACCAAGCAGGTGAGTGGCCGAGCCCCCCCCCCCCCCAAAATATCCCCCCTCCCACCAAGACCCCCCCCCATCCCCACGGTCCCTCCCTGTCCCGCAGTGCAAGGGCCGGGCGGTCAGCAAGCTGCTGGAGAGCTTCACGGTGGAGGACGACTTCGACTTCGACGACAACAGCAGCTTCTCGGAGGAGGAGGAGGACGGGGGGGGGGGCTGCACGGGGGGGCGCCGCTCCCCCCTGCCCCACACGTGCTCCATCCAGAAGGAGGATCTGCGGGACGGGCTGCACATCCTCATCCCCAAGGAGGACAGCCTGCTCTACGCCGGCAGCGTCCGCACCATCCAGCCCCCCGATATGTGAGTGGGGCCGGGGGGGGGGCGCACGGGGCCGTGGGGGGGTGCTGGGGGGCGCGGGGCAGGGGTTGAGCCCCCCCTCCTGTCCCTGCAGCTACAGCATCATCATCGAGGGCGAGCGGGGGAATCGGCAGCGCATCTACTCGCAGGAGCAGCTGCTGCAGGAGGCGGTGAGGGGGGGGGGTGGAGATGGGGTGGGGTGGGGGATATGGGGTGGGGTGGGGTGGGATGGGATGGGATGGGATGGGATGGGATGGGATGGATGGGGATATGGGATGGGGATGGATGGGATGGGATGGGATGGGATGGGATGGGATGGGATGGGATGGGATGGGATGGGATGGGGATAGGGATGGGATGGGATGGGGATGGATGGGATGGGGATGGAGACATGGGTAGGGTCAAGATGGGATGGGACAGGATGGAATTGGGATGTGGATAGGGGTGGAATGGGACAGGACGGGATGGGGATGTGGACAGGGACAGGGAGACTAGACTAGGGTAGGGTAGGGTAGGGTAGGGTAGAGTATAGAGTAGAGTAGAGTAAAGAGTAGAGTAAGATTGGAGTAGAGTAGAGTAAGAGTAGAGTAGAGTAGTAGAGTAGAGTAGAGTAGAGTAAGAGTAGAGTAGAGTAAGAGTAAGAGTAGAGTAGAGTAGAGGAGTAGAGTAGAGTAAGAGTATAGAGTAAGAGTAGAGTGTAGAGTAGAGTAGAGTAGAGTGAGTAGAAGTAGAGTAAGAGTAGAGTAGAGTAGAGTAGAGTAGAGTAGAGAGGGTAGAGTTAGAGTAGAGTAGAGAGTAGAGTAAGAGTAGAGTAAGAGTAGAGTAGAGTAAGAGTAGAGTAGAGTAAGAGTAGAGAGTAGAGTAGAGTAGAGCAGAGTAGAGCAGAGCAGAGTAGAGAGTAGAGTAAGAGTAGAGTAAGAGTAGAGTAGAGTAGAGTAAGAGTAGAGTAGAGTAAGAGTAGAGTAGAGTAGAGTAGAGTAAGAGTAGAGTAGAGTAAGAGTAGAGAGTAGAGTAGAGCAGAGTAGAGCAGAGCAGAGTAGAGAGTAGAGTAAGAGTGGAGTAGAGTAGAGTAAGAGTAGAGTAAGAGTAGAGTAGAGTAGAGTAGAGTAGAGTAGAGTAGAGTAGAGTAGAGTAGAGTAGAGTAATTCATGTGGAAGGCACCTTCAATGATCATCTTATCCAATTGGTGATGTTTTCAGGTGCAACCAAAAGTTAAAGGGATGGGGATGGGGACAGGGACAGGGACAGGGACAGGGACAGGGACAAGGATGGGGACAGGGGACAAGGGATGGGGCCGGGGATGGTGCCAAGGAGAGGACGGTGCCAGCCGGGTATTTCTGGGCAGGTGCTGGACGTGCGGCCGCAGTCGAGGCGCAGTTTGCCGCCCGGCACCCGCGTCTGCGCCTACTGGAGCCAGAAGTCGCGGTGCCTCTACCCGGGGAACGTGGTGCGAGGTGAGGGGCGGCGGGGGCGGCGGCGGGGGGGCTGCGGGCTCCCGGCCATGCCCCAGCCCCACGCCCTGCCCGTGCCGCAGGCTCCTCCAGCGACGAGGAGGAGGACGACCCCGAGGCGGTGATGGTGGAGTTCGACGACGGGGACACGGGGCACATCGCCGTCTCCAACATCCGCCTGCTGCCCCCCGACTTCAAGATCCAGTGTGAGTGGGGCGGGGATGGGGGCGGCGGGGAAATGGGTCTGGGGGTGGTGGATGGTGCTGACCCCCCCTGGCTCTCCCGCAGGCACGGAGCCGTCCCCGGCGCTGCTGGTCTCCAGCTCGTGCCGGAGGACGAAGCGGTCGTGCGGCGACGTGGCCCCCCCCGGGAGCTGCCCCCCAGCCTCTGCACGGAGCGGCACGACGGCCCCGAGACCCCCAAGAACTCAGGCAAGAAGGCGGCCGGCAAGGAGAAAAGTGGTACGTGGGGGGGTTGGAGAGACACCCGACGGCAGGACGCTGCACCGAGGGGGGTGGCACCGGCAGCGTGAGGGGTGGGGGGATGAAGGGATGGGGGCAAGGGTGCAGGGAAGGATTTGGGGAGGGGTGTGGGGAAGGATTTGGGGAAGAATATGGGGAAGGATGTGGGGAAGGAAGCAGGAAGGGATTTGGGGAGGGATGTGGGAAAGGATGCAGGGAGGGACGTGGGGAAGGATTTGGGGAAGGATGTGGGCAAGGGTGCAGGAAAGGATTTGGGGAAGGATTTGGGGAAGGATGCAGGAGAGGATTTGGGGAGGGACATGGGAAAGGATACAGGGAGGGATGTGGGGAAGGATGCAGGGAAAGGATTTGGGGAAGGATGTGGGGAAGGTGCAGGAAGGGATTTGGAGAGGGACATGGGGAAGGATTTGGGGAAAGGATTTGGGGAAGGATGCAGGAAAGGATTTGGGGAGGGACATGGGGAAGGATTTGGGGAAGGATGCAGGGAGGGATACGGGGAAGGATGCAGGCACGGGGCTGGACCGTGGGGTGTTGGAGCTGGCAGGATGCAGGGAGAGGGCACAGAGGAAGGGTGCAGGGATGCAGGACCAGGAGGACAGGAGGAGGGATTTGGGCATGGGGGGGGGATGCAGGGATGCGGGGAGGGCAGGAGGCAGGGACGTGGGCAGGGAGAGGGGCGCAGGGAGGACGCAGCACGGGTACATGGGGACACGTGGATGGAGAGGGGATGGAGGGGACACAGAGGGAAGCAGGGATGAGGGCGCACAGCGGGGACGCAGCGGGGTCAGCAGCGTGCTCCTGGGCTCCGCCAGCCCCCCCCAGCCCCCCTCCTGACCCCCATCTCCCCCCAGGCAAAGCCGCGGAGGTGCTGTCGGGCGGGAAGGCGCCGGTGCTGAGCGACCCGTTCGTGGGGCGGCGCGGGGGGCCGCTGCTCAGCTGGTCGGCGGTGGCGCAGACGAAGAGGAAGGCGGCGAGCAAGGGCACGGCCGTGCTGCAGAACCTCTTCCAGGTGAACGGCAGCGCCAAGAAGCTGCGGGCCAAAGAGGCGCTCTTCCCCGTGCACCACCACGTCGCCGCCCCCGTCTTCGGCAACGGCTTCGGGGCCGACTCCTTCAGCCGCATCGCCAGTTCCTACGCCTCCTTCGGGGCCGGGGCTGGGCTGGTGCTGCCGGCTGCCCAAAAACTCCTGCGCTCCAAAAAGGCCGAGCGGCTGGAGGCAGAAGTGGGCAAAGGCGGCCGGAGAAAGGCGGGCAGTGAGTACCTGGTCAAGCTGGACCACGAAGGGGTGACGTCCCCCAAGAACAAGAACTGCAAGGCCCTGCTGCTGGGTGAGAAGGACTTTGGGGCCAAGCTGGAGCGGCCCCTGGCCAGCCACGGCTATGCCCACGCGGCCCTGGCGGGCAAGGATAGGAAGGGGCGGGCGCCCGTGCACCAGCTGCCCATGGGGCTGGCGCTGCGGAAATACTCGGGCCAAGCCGAGTTCACCCTGAACTGCGACAGCGACTGCCACAGCTCCTACTCGGACATGGACGAGGACGAGGAGGCGGGCGGGCTGGGCGCCGACGTGCCCTCGCGCTTTATGACCCGCCTCTCGGTTTCCTCCTCTTCCTCGGGCTCTTCCACCTCCTCCAGCTCCGGCTCCATCTCCACCTCCAGCCTCTGCTCCTCCGACAACGAGGATTCGTCCTACAGCTCCGAGGACGAGGACTCCACGCTGCTGCTCCAGACCTGCCTCTCGCACCCGGTGCCGGCGCTGCTGGCGCAGCCGGAGGCGCTGCGCTCCAAGAGCGGCGCCCCGCAGCGCTGCTTCCTCACCAAGGCCGCCGCCGCCGGCCCCAAAGCCAAGCTCAAGCGCAAGGAGGCCCTCAGCTTCTCCAAAGCCAAAGAGTTCTCCCGGAGGCAGCGCCTGCCCTCGGTGGAAAACGGCCAAAGATCTCCGCCTTCCTGCCCGCGCGCCAGCTCTGGCGGTGGTCCGGGAACCCCACGCAGGTACCTGGAGATGGGGGGACTGGCACGGGGCAGGGGGCGGGGGCTGGATATGGGGAGTAGGGGTGGGAGGTGAGATCTGTGGGTGCAGGGGAGGGTGCTTGGGGGCGTGGGGCAGGATCTGGGGATGCAGGGTGCGTGGGGTATGGGGTATGGGGTAGGGCATGAAGGATGGGGAATGGGGCATAGGGCAGGGACCCATGGGTGCAGGGTGCATGGAGCATGGGTAGTATGAGGCAGAAATGGGGCATGGGGCATGGGGCAGGATCCATGGGTGCAGAGTGTGGAGTAGGGTAGAAGGATGGATGCAGGGCATGGGGCATGGGGCAGGGACCCATGGGTGCAGGGTGCGTGGGGTAGGGCTAGGCACGAAGGATGGTGCAGGGCAGGGTGCTGGGGCAGATCCATGGTGCAGGGTGCTGGAGCATGGGGTAGGGCATGAGGATGGATGCAGGGCATGGGGCATGGTGCATGCTGCAGGTTGCAGGACACACGGGTTGGGAACTTGCACCCACGTAGGGTGTAGGGTGGCACAGAGCAGGGTGCCACGGAGCACAGTCCTTGGGTGCACGGGGCAGGGTGCCGCGTGCTTGGCACTGGGCATGGGGCCGGGGTCCCCGCGCCACCCCTGACCCCTTTCCTCCCCACAGCGGCGGGGCATGAAGGGGAAGGCGCGGAAGCTGTTCTATAAGGCCATCGTGCGGGGCAAGGAGACGCTGCGCATCGGGGACTGCGCCGTCTTCCTCTCGGCCGGGCGGCCCAACCTGCCCTACATCGGGCGCATCGAGAGCATGTGGGAGTCGTGGGGCAGCAACATGGTGGTGAAGGTCAAGTGGTTCTACCACCCCGAGGAGACCAAGCTGGGCAAGCGCCAGAGCGACGGCAAGGTGAGGGGGGGGTGGGGTGGGGGGCACAATGGGATGGGATGGGGTGGTTTGGGGAAGGGATTGGGGTGGGATGGGATGGGCTGGGGGATGGGTGGGTGGGTGGGATGGGATGGGCATGGGTGGGATGGATGGGATGGGATATGGGATGGGATGGGCAAATGGGATGGGATGGGTATGAAAACAGGGATGGGGATGGGATGGGATGGGATGGGATGGGATGGGATGGGATGGGATAGGGATGGGAATGGGAATGGGGACGGTAATGGATGGGGACAAGGATGGGGACGGGATGGGGATAGGATGGGATGGGATGGGATGAAACAGGGATGGGGATGGGTAGGAATGGGGATGGGGACAGGATGGGAATGGGATGGGATAGGGATGGGATGATGGGATTGGACGGGATGGATGGATGGGGATGGATGGGGATAGGGATGGGACGGGATGGGATGGGAATGGGATGGGATGGGATGGAATAGGGATGGATGGGATGGGATGGGGATGGGGATGGGAATCGAGGGATGGGAATGGGGACGGGATGGGATGGAGGGACGGATGGGAGGGGATAAGAATGGGATGTGGGACGGGATGGGATGGGGATAGGAATGTGAATAGGGATGGATGGGATGGGCACAATGGGATGGGCACAATGGGAATGGGATGGGATGGGGGGAGGGATGTGGACAGGGGAATGGGAATGGGAATGGATGGATGGGATGGGATGGGGATGGAAACAGGGATGGGATGGGGATAGGGATAGGGATGGGAATGGGAATGGGGACGGTGATGGGGGTGGATGGGGACAAGGATGGGGACGGGGATGGGGACGGGATGGGGATAGGATGGGGATAGGGATGGGGATGTGATAGGGATAGGGATAGGGATAGGGATAGGAAGGATAGGGATAGGGATAGGGATAGGGATAGGGATAGGGATAGGGATGGGATGGGGACGTGATGGGGATGTATGGGGATAGGGATGGGGACGGGATAGGAATGGGATAGGGATGGGATGGGGATGGAAACAGGGATGGGGATGGGACGGGGTTAGGAATGGGGATGGGGACAGGGATGGGAATGGGAATAAATAGGAATGTGGACAGGATGGGGATGGGGACGGGGACGGGGCCACGCATTGACGCCGTGCCGTGCCGTTCCCGTGCAGAACGCCCTGTACCAATCGTGCCACGAGGACGAGAACGACGTGCAGACCATCTCCCACAAGTGCCAGGTGGTTGGCCGCGAGCACTACGAGCAGATGACCCGCAGCAGAAAATACCAGGACCGCCAGGACCTCTACTACCTGGCGGGCACCTACGACCCCACCACGGGGCGCCTGGTGACCGCCGACGGGGTCCCCATCCTCTGCTGACCCACGGGGGGGGGGGACGGGGACGGGCAGCCCCCCCCCCGTGCGCCCCCCACCCCTACCCGCGGGACCCCCCCCCCCCTTCCCGGTCATTATGCAAAAGCCCGGGGCTGGTGGGTTTGGGGGGGGGGGGGGGTGGTGGTGTGGGGGTGGGGGGGGGGCGCACGGGGTGTTTTGGGGGGGTTGTGGGGGGGGCGCCCCCGTACAAGCCATACTTTCCCTAGTACCTCTGACTGTTTGCCAGCAGGTAAAGCAGAAATCAGGTGTGTTGTTCTATTTATTTTGCGTGTAAATATTGTATTTCTCGCCGGGAAGTTTTAACGGAAAAAAGAGGAAAAAAAAGAAAAAGAAAAAAAAAAAAAAAGAAAAAAAAAAGAAAAAAAAAGGCGAAACACCAACAGGCGACGAGGACGGAAAAACAAAAAAAAAATTAAAAAAAAAAATAATAAAATAATAATAATATGGGGAGGGGGTCGGTGGGGGTTTTGGGGGGCGTGGGGGGGTTTTGGGGTGGGGGGGGGGGCGCGTTTCCGTTTCATGCACTGTTTCCCCCAGCCTGGCTGGGACGAAGGACAGCGGGGAGCTCTGTACAGGGGGGGCCGCGGCGGGCAGGGCGGGGGGCTCGGGGGGTTGGGGGGCTCGGGGGGGGGTCCCAACTCTGCCTCCCCCCCCCCCCCTTTTTTTTTTCCTCGTCCCGGTGCAATAGCGGGGGGGTCGGGGTGGCGGCGGACGCTGGCCCGTCCCGCCGAGCCCTGCCCGCCGCGACCCCCGCTGCCCCCCCCCCACCCCCCCGCGCTGTAAATGTGTACAGGCAAGGGGGGGGGGGGGGCTTTTCCAGTGTAAACACTAAAAAAAAAAAAAAAAAGACAAAAAAAAAAAAGGAGAAAAAAAATAACAAAAACACACAGACGCAGACGCGGAGCAAACATTAAAAAAAATGACAAAAAAAAAAAAAAAAAAGGAAAAAAAGGAAAAAAAAAGGATTAAAAACACAAAGGTTTTATGAACAGCAAACTCTATGTAAAGGCCTTTTAGTATGGAACTTTTTTATCGCCCCCTTGGCTTCTGAATAAAGAAATAAATAAATGAGAAATAAAGATGGATATATGCAGCCCCCGCCTGCCCAGCTCAGAGGGGGGCACCCCTGGGGGGGGGGTATCTGGGGGGGGGGGGTGGGGTACCCCTGGGGGGGGTGGGGGCACCCAGAGGGGGATGGGGGACCCAAAGGGAAGGGATGGGGGGACAATGGGGGCACCCTAAGGTGGGGGGGGGGAATGGGGGCACACAAAAGGGGGGGGTTGGGGGTGGACGAGGCGCCCGGGGGGGGGGGAAATGGGGGGTACCTAGGGGGAGATGGGGGCACCCAATAGAGGGGGTGGGGGAAATGGGGGCACCCAGGGGAAGATGGGGGGCACCCAAAGGTGGGGGGGGAATGGGGGCACCCAGAGGGGGATGGGGGGACCCAAAAGGTGGCATGGGGGGTGGATGGGGGCACCCAATGGGAGGGATGGGGAGATGGGGGCACCCAAAGGTGGGGGGGAAGGGGGGCACCCGGGGGGGGCTGGGGGCACCCAAAAGGGGGGGATGGGGGGTGGATGGGGGCACCCGGGGGGGGGAAATGGGGGTACCTAGGGGGACATGGGGGCACCCAGGGGAGATTTGGGGGCACCCAAAGGGGGGGGGAGATGGCAAAGGGGCTGGGGGCACCCAAGGGCAGATGGCACAAAGGGGGGCTGGGGGCACCCAGGGGGAGATGGGGGCACCCAATGGAGGGGGGGGGGAAATGGGGGCACCCAAAGGTGGGGGGGAGATGGGGGCACCCAGAGGGGGATGGGGGCACCCAAAAGGGGGGGGGCAGGATGGGGGGCACCCAAAAGGGGGGCTGGGGGCACCCAAAGGGGGGGTTGGGGACACCCAGAAGGGGCTGGGGGCACCCGGGGGGGGCTGGGGGCACCCAATGAGGGGGGGGGGGAAATGGGGGCACCCAAAGGGGCTGGGGGCACCCAATGGGGGGGTGGTGGGGGCACCCAGGGGGGGCTGGGGGGACGCAGGAGCCCTGGGGGGGTCAGGCTGGGGGGAGGGGCGCGGGGGGACCCGGCCTGGCCCCCCCCAGCCCCGCCCCTCCCCCCCCCAGCGGGGGGCGGTGGGGGAGGGGCTGGGGGGGGGGAGGGGCCGCAGGGAGCCGGGCCCGCCCCACGTGGGGGCAGACGGACAGGCAGAGGCCGCCCGCCATTGGCCGCGCCGCAGCCAATCAGAAGGGAGCAGAGGGCAGCGCGCGGGCCCATTGGCTGGCGGGGAGCCCTTTTGTTCTCGCCACCCGGGCGCGGTTAACCCCTGAGCTGCCGGAAGGAAATGAATGGGATGTGAATGGGCGGGGGGGGGGGGCATGAATGGGGGGGGGAATGAATGGGGAGGGGGGGGGGTGGGGGGGGGGGGGGAGGGGGGGGGGAATGGGGGGGGGGCGGGGGATTGCGGGGGGGCAAGGGGGGAGCACCAGGTGGTGCGGGGGGCACGGGGGGGGGGGGGGGCATAGAGAGGGGGTAAATGGGGGGGGGCAAGGAATGGGGGGGGATGGGGGGTGGGGGCGGGGGGGGGGGGGCGGATGGGGGGGGGGGGGGGCAACGGGTGGAGCGTGGGGGGGCACAAAGGGGGTGAGGGGAGGGGTCCTTGGGGTGGGGGGGAGGCCCCAGGGGGTGACCCTGGGTTGGGGGGGGTCGGGGGGGTCATGGGGGGGGGCGCTGAGCTGGGCTGAGCCAAGCCGCGGTGCTGCGGAGCGGCGCTGCCCCCTCGCGGCCGGCCTGGGGGGGTTGGGGGGGGCGGACAGACAGACGGACAGACAGCTGGGGAGGGGGCTGGAGGCAGGGGTGGGGAGGGGCAGGGAGGACAAAAGGCCGGGGGGGGGAAGGGGAAGGGGAATGGGGGGGGGGGCTGCAGGGACAGCCGACAGACAGACAGACAGCTGGGTGGGGGGGGGGCAGGACGGACAGACGGACGGGTGCGGGGAGGGGTGGGCGGACAGGTGGCTGCCGATGGGGGGGGGGGAGGACGGACAGACGTAGGGACAGATGGACGGACGGATGGGGGGGGCAGCTGGACGGACAGACGGCTGCGGGGAAGGCCGGACAGATGGACGGGCAGATTGGGCACGAGGGGACGGACAGATGGACACGGGGGGGGGGACAAACGGACAGCAGCCCCCACCAGCAGCACGGCCTGACCAGGGGCAGCCCAATTAACTGGGTAATTAGCAGGGAAGGGAATGGGGGCAAATCAGGAGCCCCCCAGCAGCAAAACCCCACCATGAGGGGGGGGGGCACATGGATGAACTTGGCAGGTTGACCCCCCCCAACCAAGGCAGCCACCCCACACCTTGACCCCCACCCTATTTTAACCCACCCCAGGACCCCTTCTCCCCACCTCCCACCCCATTTTAATTTTTTAATCCATCCCCCCCATTTTATTTTTTTTTTTTTCCACCCCCCCTCGAAGCCCCCCCATCACAGCACACCGAGGCACAGGGGGGGGGGGGAGTTACTGCAGCGCTTTTTTTTCTTTTTATTTTCCTTACACAATGACGTGTTGTCGGGCGTTACAATTTTTTCTCAACTTTCGGATGACTTACAAATTTTGGTTTCCTACTTTGTCATGTGAGAAGAGAAAACATTAAGGCAACGTACAAAAAAAAAAAAAAAATCTTACATAAATTAAACAATGCATAAATTTACAGGTGTAAATGCAAAGTTTCAGCAACTCAAAGTTGAGTAACTTCAGCCCCGTGATGGTTACTGGGAGACGGGGAGGGGGAGGAGGATGCGGACTGGTTCGTAAGGCTCGGATGCGATATGTTTTTCCCGACCTTGCTAGAACGGCAGCAACAGAAGTGGGGGCTTGGATGGACTCCTACCAGCCTCTAGACGAAATCTGGAATACTCCGCACTGGGTGGACTGGAAGCCTGGCTCCCAATACCCTGTACACATCTGGCCGCCCGCGGTGCCGCTGTCAGTAGGGCGGGAGCTGCGCGAGGCTCCCCCCGAGGCGCCCGCCCCCCAGGCTGGAGCAGATCTGTACAGGGTATTATTGCGCTAAGGGGGACACCGAGGGAACGGAGAACTTGGCTACAAAAGGTCAAATCGAGTGGCAGCTCGGCCAGCCAGTGCCGACACTGGGCTAACATCAGGTACAGACTTTCCAAGGGCAAGTTTTCTTTTTTGAAAAAGAAGGCTTATTCCAGTTTTATGAGGCTAGCATGAGGTGTATAGATTTGCCTGGGCAAACATATACTAGTGAGACAACTCATGCAGCAGATGCGGCGCACCTGCTAGCAAGTCCGTTTAGAAGCATTTACGGTGGACGATGGAGGGGCCGGACTCGTCGTATTCCTGCTTGCTGATCCACATCTGCTGGAAGGTCGATAGCGAGGCCAGGATGGAGCCGCCGATCCAGACCGAGTACTTGCGCTCCGGCGGGGCGATGATCTGCAGGGGGAGAGCTGTCAGAGCTGCCCGGCTTCCCCCCACTGCTCCTCCCACCCACAGCCCCCAGAGCTCCCCCTGCCATGGGAGGGCACCTTTTCCTGAGTTCCTTACCTTGATCTTCATCGTGCTGGGAGCCAGGGCTGTGATCTCCTTCTGCATCCTGTCGGCAATGCCTGGGTACATGGTGGTGCCGCCGGACAGCACCGTGTTGGCGTACAGGTCCTTCCTGATGTCCACGTCACACTTCATGATGGAGTTGAAGGTGGTCTCGTGGATGCCGCAGGACTCCATGCCTAAGGGAGGAGGAGTCGGGGGCAGGTCAGCACCCACGCAGCATCAATCACGGCCACACCACCCCCACGCCTCCCCCCACAGCACAGCGAGTCCCCACCGCAGTGGCACAACATCTGTGAGGCTGTTCCAACCCCTACCTACCCAGGAAGGATGGCTGGAAGAGGGCTTCTGGACACCTGAACCGCTCGTTGCCGATGGTGATCACCTGCCCGTCGGGCAGCTCGTAGCTCTTCTCCAGGGAGGAGGAAGAGGCAGCGGTGGCCATCTCCTGCTCGAAGTCCAGGGCGAC